CTCATCTGTTGCATGTGTTCACTTCTCTCATACATACTGAGTGTTAACTTGTATCCCTGTTTACGGGCTCGCTATAGCCCGTGCTACGTGGACATTTCGTTCTGAGTAGCTAAATCTAAGACTACATGTATCCCTGAGGTTATCTATGATTTCAGTGTACAACAAAAGGACACAGATTCAAGCTAGGGGAAACAAAGATGCCGAAAAAAATTAGAAAGTTTTCTTTTGCAGAGTGGTAGACAGGTGGAACATACACGGGTGTGTGTGTGTGTGTGGACTCACGTAATTGTGCTTGCGGGGGTTGAGTTCTGGCTCTTTGGTCCCGCCTCTCAACTGTCAATCAACTGGTGTACTGATTCCTGAGCCTACTGGACTCATATCTACACTTGAAACTGTGTATGGAGTCAGCCTCCACCACATCATTGCCTAATGCATTCCATCTGTTAACTACTCTGACACTGAAAAAGTTCTTTCTAACGTGTGTGTGTGTGTGTGTGTGTGTGTGTGTGTGTGTGTGTGTGTGTGTGTGTGTGTGTGTGTGTGTGTGTGTGTGTGTGTGTGTGTGTGTGTGTGTGCAAACTCAGTAGTTTACCTGTTTGTCCTATGTATATGTGGTAAGTTCTTGATTAAAATGGACTTAATCATATTATAATTTGTAAATACCAAATTAATATTAAGTCTTCAAAGCTGGAGAAAGTTTAGAAAGTCCTTCTGAATTCGGTAACACAAGTGCATTTCTAAGATCCAGTTCAGCTTTTGGGAATATGATATATATCCCCTTGGCAAGGACTGGGCCGTCATGTACAATAGGACAAACAGGTAAACCGCTGAGTTTGCGCCTCTCTCAACATTTGTATTCAGTTAGAAGTGCACAACATTCCACATTTGCTCCCTCCTCACTAACCCATTACCCACTAACCACCTCCTCCCGTCTCCTACAGACTTAGCGTGATGCCGGACGAGCGACGTTACCTGCAGACAAAACAGAAGAAGAAGACCTGCAACCCTGTCTTCGATGAGCACTTCGGCTTCCACGTGAGACCCGCAGCTCTCCTCCCTACACCTCACGTACACATATATATACACACACATGCATACATAATATTATTGACGGGAGACATCTCCCGTCACGCAGGGTGCAGTCGCACCTCCACAGATCTCCAGTATCATCTATTGATACTGGAAATGGCTCAAAAGGGCCACCACTTACGGGCTATTCATGCCCGTGCCACCTTTTGGGGGACTTAATCTTCATCTTCTTCATCTTCTACATAATTCACACACACACAATATATACTACATACACACACATATGTATATATCAAATATCAAATTAAAATCAAATATTTATTCAGGTAAAGTACATACATACAAGGTGAGATATAAAACATTGATGGATTTATAGATAGAGCTAGTACATACAATGCCTAAAGCCACTATTACGCAAAGCGTTTCGGGCAGAAACGAATACTACATATACTATATATACTACTACAATACTATATACTACATACACATACATGCATACATATCACATGCACACACATACATGCAGTGCCAGATTATCCATTAGGCACAGTAGACACAATGTCTAGGATCTACAAAAAAAGTAAACGAGGACTTCTCATGCCTCTTTTCTAAAGGATATTATTAAATTGATGCTGAGACACTTTTTCCATTTATTTATTGCTTAATCCTATTAGTATCTATGTGACTTTATTATATTCTATACTATTTAGATTTATTCTGGCTATAGATGAAAGCAAAATAGCAGGCACTAGCTGGTGTTATTAGTGAATATGATGTCGTAACTGGGCCTATATATCTTGGAGGTGCCTAAGGCCTACGGAAGTCTTAGTCCGGCCCTGCAGGCCATCCAGAGATATGCCTAATATTAGAAAATTCGGCCAAATATAGGAACATTAGGCGTAAGTAAATTACAGTATTAATATATATATTAATTAATATATATATTAATTTCCTTTAATTGAACAATTAGTTTGCAGAGATTTAAGAAAATAAACAATATTGCAAGTACACATAACCTCGCAGAAGAAAGTAAAAGGCATCCAGGGAAGATTCTGTTGTTTCCCTGAATATTTGTTTAGTGGATTTTAAAATTCAGCAGTGTTTTATATTTTGACATTTACGGTTTCGGCGGGTAGGCGGTTCTACGAGTTTATAATCCTATGGGTGAAAAAGCATCTCCTGTTTTCTTTCCTAAATTATGGCTTATTGAGCTTGAAACCGTTGCTCCTTGTTTGTGTTACATCCGACTTTTTAAAGAAGCGGTCTGGATGAATATCCTCGAAATTATTCAGTGAAAAGTTTTGAAAAAAAAAATTTGAAAATAAAGTTTCGTTGAAATCAGTCCTGTCATGTCAGGTTTGAAGTATTTAGCCCCGTGGCCCTCAACTGTTCCCGGTGTGAGAGTCGATTTAATGCTGGAATTATTGAACAAATCCACAAGGGCCGTGACGAGGATTCGAACCTGCGTCCGGGAGCATCCCAGACACTGCCTTAATCGACTGAGGTACGACAGGGTTAAATTATTGTTATTGCCCGGTGTCGAGCGTTTTCCAGAGCAGACAAGTCGTTCCGGAGCGGAGGTACATTCAGCACTAACATTATAGTGAGTAAATATATCATAGTTCTTCATTACTTACGTAATGCTGGGAAGCTTTGGGTAATTAGACGGACCCTCGTGGGCATCCAAATCACCTGTCCGAGGATCACAAACAATGGCATTCGAGCCCAAAAGTGCCTCTAGCAGCACGCTGTTGGTTGGTTCATCATGTTTTATTCCATTTGATATTTCCCAACCCCCCTTTATATTTGTAATCCTCTTGCAGGCGATGAGTCACAATAACGTGGCGGAAGTATGTTGACCAGACCACACACTAGAAGTTGAAGGGACGACGACGTTTCGGTCCGTCCTGGACCATTCTCAAGTCGATTGTGGGGGCAGTGAGAGGGAGAATGGTCCAGGACGGACCGAAACGTGGTCGTCCCTTCACCTTCTAGTGTGTGGTCTGGTCAACATCAATGTAATCCTCTTGCCTTACATACACCCAACATTTTATTGTGACAATGTACCATATCTCTCTTTGGTAGATCCCTCTCCGGTGCGTGGCTGACAGGACTCTGAGGATCAGTGTGTTCGACGGGGGGCGACACAAGCGACTCCCAGCCATCGGCCACGTCTTCTGTCCCCTGGCCCAGGTGGTGGAGGACTCAGCGGCGGCGATCATAGCCGCTACGGCCACCAACGCCGCCGCCATCCCTGCCACTGTCATAGCCAGGGACCTGGTCAGGGTGAGTGACATGGTCTCTTCTCAGCGTCTACCAGCTTTGTTGTCCCTCTTTCGGGTTATAATATAAATATTCTGATGTACGAATTTTGTTGTCAAACCTGGCTTTAAAGTTGTGGTGGCTGGAGCTAACCACAGCTAACCACAGCTGGAGGTTGTGGCGGCTAACCTAATACTGGCCTTGTCTTATACAGGAGGAGGAATGTGAGGGTCGCAGCGACTTGGGAGAGGTCCTCGTCTCTCTCACATTCAACGATACTCTTCACCGTCTCACTCTCACTGTCTTCCAGGCCAGGGGACTCAAGGTGAGGCCTCTCTCTCTCTCTGTTCCCTCTTCCTGCCACCCCCCTCCCCTCTCCCTGTCCCCACTCACTGTCCCCACTCTTCCTGTCCCACTCACTGCCCCCCCCCTCTCCTTACCTCATCTCCCTGTCCCATCTGCCTGACTTCCTCCTTGTTCCATCAAATTCACTATAGTCACTCCAGTAGCACACAATAACTTACAATACTCACTACAGTAGCCATTCCAGTTCCCACGCTATAGCCGTTACAGTAGCCACACAATAGTCATTCCAGTAGCCATAATATAGTTACTACATTAGCACAAAGCAACTGCTCATGTCACTACATTGCAGGTGGGCGAAGGCGAGTCTGTGTCCTGGGTCAAGGTATCTCTCATGAGTCAGAGGCGGGCGATCAAGAGCAAGAAAACGACAATAGTGGCAGCGACCGACGACCCCCAGTATAACGAGTCCTTCCATTTCCGACCTCCGCCAGCCCTTGAGGGAGTTCACCTCAACATCCAACTCCATCTGGCCAATAATCCCACATCCAAAGGTGGCGAGTGCTGTTACTTGACCATTAGTACCTTTATTTCCAGATGTGACAGCTCTTAGTATTGTTTGGTTAATATCACAGGTGTTAGTGACCTTAAATGACCCTTAGAGAAAGTCTAGCGCGTAACCCACACCTGAAGTGATGTTCGATCATTATCCTTGTACCTTGTTACTGTGATAAATAACGTTGCTTATGTTAATGATTCGCAATGTAGGCGTGAGCGAGGAAATATTGTCTACCTCAATATTGTCTACCTCAGGGATGTCGTTCTAATTGGTATCAGGTCAAAATAATAGACACCCGCATTATATCAGTACATATACCAGACACTACAAAATCAACAAACATACTGGGAAACCCTATCAATAAACATGTTCATATTTACAATACACTGGTAACCCCTCCTCCCACTAGACTAACATGGGCACCAGAAGCCCTTATAGAACCATCATGGACACTGAACCCCCTTAATGAACCAAAATGTACACCAGAAGTCCTTACTGAATGAACATGGACACCATAAACAATTACTGAACAAACACCAGAAACTCTTACTGAACAGTCATTACACCAGGAATCCTTACTGAACTGACATGTACACCAGAAGCCCTTACTGAACAAATATGTGTACCAGAAACCCCTAACTGGACCAATATGTACACAAAACCCTTACTGAACCAACATGCAAACCAACATGAGAGTTGAGGCATATGAAGTAGAAATGGGACAGAGACTAACTGAATAAGCTGTTACTTTCAGATCTTAAAAGAGATATTAACTGGCTAGTTATCCTGTGGCACAGTAACATTTACCAGTCGTACTAAGTGTGAGGCTAATCATTGGTTTTCCTGTTGCAGGCCGCGTAGTGGGGCGTGTGGTGATTGGTTCCTTCATGTTCGCACGAGGAAGAGCTCTCAACCACTGGAACGAGGTCCTCTCAGCTCCGAAGGATGCCATCCAGTACTGGCACCCACTCACCGAGTAGTGTAACACCCACTGATCTCATAGTGCCCAGGATTGGCACTCAGAGGCCAAGTAGTGCCTAGTGTTGTCACCACTGACCAATAGTGCCCAGTGCCATTGTAAAAATATTCGTCGAAAAAGGAGAATAAACCCCCCATCCAGTCTCTGCACTGTGGAGACATTATGTTATCTGGAGAATGCTTGTGATATGTCTGCCTCTTATGTAGCTGCTCCAGTCTCTTGTTAATGTTACCTCATCTATATTGTACTATAAGCCCTCAACCAGTCACCAAGTGCTTCTCTAGTATCACCAAGCACTTCACTAGTATCACCGAGCCTTCAAGCAGTCACCAAGCCCTCAACCGGTCACCAAGCACTCCACTAGTATCTAGTATTGCCAGGCCCTCCACCTGTCACTAAGTGCTACTCTAGTATAACAAACCTTCAATTTATCACAAAGTGTTCCCTTATTAGCACAAAAATCCCCAAACTGTTACCCATTTTTGTTATTATCTCACAAGGTTCTTGACCTGTCACACCAAATGCTTCTCTCATCACCAAGACATCTACTTGTTTCTTCAAGTACTTCTTGAGCCATTAAGTCCTTGGGATTTTACCAACCAATTGACCTGTAAAAACCTGTAAGACCTGTAACAGTTTGTATAATATATACACCCCTTTCATCCTATCCATTAACAAGAATTTGACTTCTCTATCTAGTATCCTTCCCCTGCCGTCTGTATCCTGATTCCTACCTTCTGTACCCTGCTTTCTACCTTCTGTATCCTGCCTCCTACCTTCTGTATCCTGTCTCCTACCTCTTGTATCCTTCCCCCTGCCTTCTGCAGCCTTCCCTTACCTTCTGTATCATTGCTCTATCTTTTGTTCCTTTTGCTTGCTGTAACCCAGGTCTATTGTATTGTAACAGTGAGTGTGGTGTGTGTCATTACAGTACCACTATAATACACTAATTAGAATCGTTAAGCTGTGAGGCTGGCAGTGTCTTGTTATATATGTGTAGGAGGCGAAGGAGATAAGAAGAGACTAATTGAAATTGAAATACTTTATTCATATATATGTATACATTTACAGTTGGACTTGATTACAGAAATTTTCAGTCAAATATTCACTGAAAACAAAATCATAAACATAACATGTAATATATGAAATTATATATTTATATATTATAAATTATAAAACTTATATAATAAATTATCAACTGTATTCTCAAGATATAAGATTTAGATTTCAAAGTTACATTAATCAGTGATTTAAACATCATTACACTTCTCAGGTTTATAGTAGGAAACTATTTGATCCCTAACAACTAATATAATGTGTTACAATAATGGGTGAACTAAAGAGGTGTCCATCAGTCAAAATCAAACTTAGTATTTTGAGCATAAAATGAGTCATATTTAGCTTACAATTTGAAAGGTGATATATATATATATATATATATATATATATATATATATATATATATATATATATATATATATATATATATATATATATATATATATATATATATATATATATATATATTTTAGGAAACCTTTATTGGTTTACAGTAGTCTTATGGTGGTGTCAGGAGTATAGGTAGAACAGTGTGGCGAAGGGCAGAGCTGTAGATAATAATGGTAAATATTTCAGCTATAGAGTAATGTGCTTATAGGGCCACAGCTGAGGTTAAGTGCAGTCTATTTGGTTATTATAGAGTGTGGTGAATGGGTCAGTTGTACACCGGTGTGGTGAATGGGTCAGTTGTACATCGGTGTGGTGAATGGGTCAGTTGTACACCGGTGTGGTGAATGGGTCAGTTGTACACCGGTGTGGTGAATGGGTCAGTTGTACACCAGTGTGGTGAATGGGTCAGTTGTACACCAGTGTGGTGAATGGGTCAGTTGTACACCAGTGTGGTGAATGGGTCAGTTGTACACCAGTGTGGTGAATGGGTCAATTGTACACCTGTGTGGTGAATGGGTCAGTTGTACACCAGTGTGGTGAATGGGTCAATTGTACACCTGTGTGGTGAATGGGTCAGTTGTACACCAGTGTGGTAAATGGGTCAGTTGTACACCAGTGTGGTGAATGGGTCAGTTGTACACTAGTGTGGTGAATGGGTCAATTGTACACCTGTGTGGTGAATGAATCAATTGTAAATCAACATGGTCAATAGATCAAATGTACAATGTGGTGAATACAACACCGCAGAAGGTGACTAAAACAGTTACAGAAGAAACATCTTACACCTATAATATTATTACTGTCTTTGTCAACCTAGTCTATACACATCTACATACAGTATAATCATCCCATTTCCTTGGCTATGGACATGACCTATTATATATCTCATAATACTACGTACACATGTTCGAGAAAAGAACCACATCTAATATGTACGTCACTATTTTCTTATTTCAACACTATAATGATGCTATAATAAATTGTTATGGGTTTATATATATATATATATATATATATATATATATATATATATATATATATATATATATATATATATATATATTATCAATATAACTCACACTATATATATATTTAATAATTTAGGTAAGTTACATAGAGGTATACTGTACAGATGTAGATTAAGGCGCAAGTGTATATTATAATGTATTAACCAAGACAGTCTTGTTATTAATGAATAAGAATGAATTAGACTTGTGTATCCTGAAGTACCTGTGCACTAGGTTAGTGTCTCCTCCGTGTTTAAGTCCAGTTAAGACAATACCATTGTAGTTATATTTAAGTGAATAAAAAACCCATTCATCTTGAATAAGTGTTTGTTTAGCCTTGTGAAGGGTGAAGCATATCCCGGACGAGACAGAAATGGTTGGGCACGTTGGAGGAAATTGATGCAGACAGTTTCTTCCAAAGGTCAGATTTTATTTACCTGATTTTACCTGAGGGCCACTAATACTAGTAGCCTCGGCGAGGACAAGAAGGTGGCGGCTTGTCAAATGTCCCCCCCATTTGCCCTGATGTAACACTAAACAAGGAGCAAAGGTTTCAAGCTCAACAAGCCACAATGTAGGATTGAGAACAGGAGTTGCTTTTTCATCCACAGGGTTATAAACCCATAGAACCGCCTACCCGCCGAAGCAGTCGAGGCTCGCAAAATTGACGTCCTATCCCGTTTTTTATTCATGAGTCCTCAGTTAGGTTAGAATCTGGACATTTAGTACAACATTTCAGTGACGCTGTGAACACTCGAGAGGACGGACTGCTTGTCAGTGCGACAGTTTCTTGACGTTGAGAACGCTCGCCAGAAGGGCTGCACCCGTAGCTTTGTCCGTGGCGTGAGTTTTAAGGACTGTTACGATGACGATAAGACAATAGGGTCCCGGTAGTACAGTCGGGTTCGTTCTCGATGCACAATCGAGAATTTCGGGTTCGAATCCCGGGCGGGACAGAAATGGTTGGGCACAGGTCCTATTACCTAACGCCTCTCTTCACCTAGCAGTGAATAGGTACTCAGTAGTCAGCAGCGGGGTCAGTAATTCAACTCTAAGGGGGGGGGGGGAACTCGATAATAGCCAAATGTGTATGAATACACTCTGGCTTCCTGTCCCCCGATATAGTGAATTATTATTAATTATTTTTATTTTTTTATTTTTTATTTTTTATTTATTTATATGTACACGAGTGCTTACATTCTTGTACAGCCACTAGCATGCATAGCGTTTTGAGCAAGTCCTTAATTCTAATTTCCCTCGGAATACGACCCGAAAAATCGTTTAACAACCAGGTACCCAATCACTGCTGGGTGAACAGAGGCTACAGTTAAGGATTGTACCTTCTACTCTGCTCGTAATTTGGGTATTATTAATTTAAACGAAAGTAGTTCGTATTAGTAAATATTATTGTAGAAAAGAGTGAAGACAAAGATGACAGAAAGTGTGTATTCCACAGTTCAGTAATCAAGAAATGTGGAAATAATGAATTGACGATTATTGACGCACACCACGAAATTCACGATTATGTAAGTGTAGTTGATGGACAGCCGAAAGGCGGGACCAAAGAGCCAAATCTCAAACCCCCGCAAGCACAACTAGGTGAATACAACTAGATGATTACACCCCCGTTAATAGATTTAGATTTAAATTTTTTATTCAGGTAAAGGTACACACATTGAATTACATACATAATGTTGGATTTAAAGATAGAGATAGTACATACAATACCTAAAGCCACTAGTACGCATAGCGTTTTGGACAATGATCGAAATGGTCGAAAACAATGACTAATTAGCAGTGATTAGCAATCAGAGCCCAGTAGGCTCAGGCATCTCAGCCTACTAGGGCCTCTCAACCGTCAATCAACCAATTTATTGACGGTTAAGAGGCTGGACCAAAGAGCCAGAGCTCAACCCCCGCAAACACAACTAGGTGAGTAGTGAACGGCGAGCACCGGAATGCCATACAACATAGACCGTCCTGAGAGTCGTTTTCTTTAATGAGCGCATGGGAAGTTTTGTTCATAAAGCGACGCAAACCAAAGGCCTCCACATCCGAGTCTTCCAGTCAAGAGTGTTGCTGCTGTTGTCTCTAGTTGTCTCTAGTTTATAACTGTAGTGTGACGCGAGGAACCTGTGCAGGTGTGGAGGAATATTCGTGTTAAAACACAGCTGCGGGTATGTGAGAGGAATTAGTTTGAACAAAAATATGTATAGGCTTGTTATAAAAAAGTGTGCCTGTTTTAAGGTGTACAGGATTTAATTAATATTAGTACAGTATTTGGCTTTCTAGCCACTCTTTATACTAGTAATTACAATGATAGAGAAGAAGATTTCCCTGTTTTTTTTTGTCATTTTGGTTAATAGACAGAAAAGGTAAAAATCTGGTGTGATTATACCTGTACCAGCTTCCCAGGTGGCAGCACTTACACAAAATGTTTAGTCCATAACTGTTATTTCAAGATGGAAAATTTAGTCCTCTGTTGACAGAAAACTAAAAGTGACAAGTCGCCTGGTTGTCCTCCCCTTAAACCTAACCAAACATACTGGTATTCATATAACTAAACTAAACCTTACTTACTCTAAACTGTACTCTAAACTTACTCTAGACTGCTCTAAACTAGTAGTCCCCAAGGCGTAGTGGTAAGACACTCGCCTGGTGTTTCGCGAGCACTTTGGCCAGGGTGGATTTACTGGGCGTCAATCTTTGACTGTAGTCTCTGTTCACCCAACAGTAAAATTGGCCCCTGGTTGTTAAACGATTTGGCGGGTCATATTCCGGGGAATTTTAGGATTTCGGACCTGCCCGAAATGCTATGTGTACTAGTGGCTGTTCAAGAATGTAAGAACTCTTGTATATATAAATAAAAAATTAAAACTTAACCAAACTCACCCTTACCTAACCTAACTAAACAAAACCTAACCTAACTAACCCCTTACCTTATTTAATAAGAGTGCATGACCCCCCCACCAAGTAAAACTATACATTGGTATACAGGTACTATGCAGCAGACTGGAAAGGTTTTGATATGTTTATCTTGCTAATAAGATAATCTTTATATTTTTTAATATTTCAGCCTGCTAAGCTCTTCCTATCAATGACTGCCACACAGTAATGGTAGAAAACTATTTTTATAAGAGAAAGAGGGAAAGAGGCAGACAGAGATGGATAGATAGAATGATGGATTAATGAAGAGATGATGGATCCAGAATCTATCCATATAGATGGATAGACAGATGGGTGGATGAATAGATAAATGGCTTAATAATGGATGGATAGTGAAAGATAGCTGGATAGATTGATAGATATTCATAGATATAGAAGAATAGATACAGGAATTGATAGATGAGTAAATTGAGCAATAGATGGATGGATAAATGGATAGATCACTGGATGGGATAAATGGAGAGAGTGAGCGAGCTTGATGAATAGATGTAGAGATAGCTTGATGGACAGATTGATAAATGAATAGATAGATGGATAGGTAGCTAAGTAAATGAGATAGTTGGAGAGATAAACAGATTGATAAATGGATGGATAGCTGGAGATATAGCTTGATAGACAGATGGGGGAGACAGAACCAGGCAGTTTTGGGTACCCCCAAACCCTTGTAACTTCATGTAAAATACTGTACTCAGTCCTGTATGAAACTTGGCAATTCCAATAAGGCAACTAGCATTGCAGGTAAATAAAGGAAAGGTTTGTTCAACTTTATTACTATTCAGAATTTTGTTAAATAGTTTTGTATGGGGATTTTATTGATTCAGAAACCTAACTCTCTTTTTACAGCATTGTATGTACAGTACAATATGGTAAATAGTGTTCCAAATTTTGATAAATAGACTTATGACAGCCAATTTGAAATACATTCCTGCTGTAAACTGATAGCCCCTGTATTGTACTTCTTAATTTGATATCACTCATTACCTCTTAAATTTACAGTGTGTCACATGATAAGAACCCTTAGGTGAAGGATTTTTATTTTAGTGCTATGAAATAATCTGTAATATATTAACCAATGCTATAATTAATTTGGAAAGGACACACAAGATAGTTGAACATGGCAAGTGACTCTGACAGCTCAGATGACACTCTCCTGTCTCAGGCTTTACCGACAACAAAAGTTCCCAATGACTACAACCCAGCAATTCCTCCAGCATCTGCTGAAGAGTATCTTCGACATGTTGTGTAAGTATTTTCTGATAAGTAGTGAATAATCATTTAGAAATTCTGTTCTGTGTTTGTAAACAGTAAAGTTTAGTATACGGTATATAATATGGATGGTACAAATGTGATAATTATGCAAAATGCCAATTTTAATGCATGAAAATTCTGTAATAAAGTTAATAGACAGTACCTTAGCTGTAATTTTTGTAGATGGTGCTTTCATAATGCTTTTTCAAAGACCAAAGTTTATAAATTCTCTGAAAGGTCCTTTTTTTTTCTACTGTTCTGTACCTAGTTAGCTGGCAGCACAGGTAGAAAATGCAGAGTAATGCTTAACTATGATTAACTCATTATTATTTATAACGTCATTATTTATCACAGGTGGGAGGCCAAGCAGTGCCAAGAGGTTGTAACAGTGGACTTGGACAGGAAGAAATTAAAGAAACTAGGAAGCATTGTTAAGGTGGGTTTGATCTACTCTGCTAGGGGTTTAATATTGATAAGTTAGTTTCTTACAGATTAATTATAATAAATAAATAATATAATAATATTTATTCAGGTAAAATTACATGCATATGAGTTACAAACAGAATGTTGGATTTCTAGATAGAGCTAGTACAGCGGAACCTCGGGTAACGAACATCCCTCTTTACAATTTTTTCGGGTTATTAGCTCAATTTCTTTGCAAAATTTGAATCGGTTTAAGAGCTTTGCCTGGCTTTGTGAGTTTGTTGATACACGTATGGGTTGACTGAGCACATGGGTTCTGGTGGCACAGGCGACCACACTTCAGTTTACCAGTGCCTTCCACCTAATGACGATCTCGCTTGAATTCTTTGTAAAGAATTTCATTGTTTTTTCATTTTTTTTTGGTATCTAAACATAAAAGTAATTATTATATACCATGCCATGGGTCCCAAGAAAGTCAGTGGTAAGGTTCAACCTAAGAAAACACATGTAAGGATGACCATGGATGAAAAACAAGTCTGTATGGAAAGGTTCTCGGTGAGACAAACAAGCAGTGAGTCACAACCAGGTCCTAGTGGTATGCCTGCAAAACGTAGGAGAGTGTGTACCCCAGAGAAGTCATCACTGCCTGATGTTATAATGGAAGGGGACTCCCCTTCCAAACACTAACACCTCTCCTCCTCCCACCCTCCTCAGTCTTCCATATGCCAACAAGAGTCATCAGTAAAGGTAAGCTATAACTTGTACATACTATAGTACAAAATATTTGTGTGTACTGTATTATGTATGAAGTGTATTTTGAGGTTAATCCGTTCCACACTCCCAAAAATATTAATTCAATTTACATTATTTCTTGTGTGAAAATTTTTTTCGGTTTGCACAATTTCGATTTACAAACCGTCTCTGGGAACGGATTAAATAAAAAAATAAGGTACAACTGTACAGGGTACATACTAAATCCACTAATATGCACAGCATTTGGGGCAAGTACTGCATTTGGAGCAAGTACAAATTGTACTGTGCTGGGTTTCATTTTCAGAATGGGCTCAAGACATCATCCTGTTATTCCACTCAGTTGCTTATTAAGATTTGCTGTGTCTGTGGGACAGAATTATAAACATACAGGGTATGTCAACAATCGGGCACCAGCACCACAGGAAATATTCAAACATTCCTGCAGGGCCAGGGCTTGGAAAACACAAGAACATTTAATTTGTCCCAGAATCATCTGTAGGTTCATTCATAAAATCTCTATAATGTCCTTTCAAACACTCCTTGACATCAAAAGTGACCACCGGTGTTTCCTCGCTTGTGGCACTACTTTGCCTGCGCTGCGAACAGAGTTCTTGCGTTGGAAAGAATGTGGAGTGATTCTTGTTTAGAACCCACTTGTTGGTGAACTAATATGCACATGCAGGAGCATTTGAAAAGTTCACCGTGGCTCTGGTACTTAAATGTCAACTTGTTTTATTGCTTATGATTATATCCTATAGACATGGTGAAGCTTGCTTAAAGAGTAATCAAATAATCTGCTTATAGAGGAGCTTTCCATATCCACTGAATTTTTCTAGTCAATTACTTTTCTGAATGGCTACAAATTTGACAAGTTTAGATTCAGGAAGACCTGAGTAAGTACTTGTTTGGGAATAGGCTTGTTGATTTATAGAACAAATTACCAGGTAACATAATAGCTATAGGATAACTGGATTTTTTCAGGAGTAAATTAGACATGTATGAATGAGTTTGTGGCTATATATAGGAGCTGCTTTGTATAGGCCAGTAGGCTTCTATGGTCTTGTATTCTTATGGTTTAAGTTAAAATTAAGATTTGGATTCCATGTGCAATATTAGCATACTGTACTGATACATTATTATCGTATCAAAATAACCAAGTTTTATGTTTGGTTTGAACTACAATAATATAAATATTATTACCTTGTCCCCAGTGTCATAAATACTTACTGGCTGTATAATGTAGCAGTTACTGTGGCACGGCTGCTTTCCAAGCAAGAAATCTTTGGTATAAATCCTAAACAGGGGTGAAATGATTTGACAAAATTATCTTTAATAATACTGTAATTAATAATTCATTGTGTCGGGGGAGAGGAAGTCAGGTTGTACATACAGTACATGTTAGGCTTATACCGAGGTCCTAAATGCCCCCTCACAGGGTCAAATTACTGACTGTGCCCAGGATACAACCCCACAACAAGCGGACTAACTCGTGGGTACCTATTTAATGCTAGGTGGACAGGGGCATGAGATGAAAGGAAACGCACCCAACAATTTCTGTGCCGCCCAGGGTTCGAACCCCCGGGATTCTCAATTTTGAGTTGAGAATGAACCCGTCTGTACTATCGGGATCCTCACTATTGTGAGTTCTGAGAGCTTGACTTTACTGTGCACCCAGCAGAAACTTGAAGTCTAGATGTAAACTTATCGGAGGATCGTGTTCTGGGAACTGGATACTGTACTGGGAATAGGCTTTGTTATAATGATAATGCAAAGTTGTGAGTTAATATCATGAGTAAGGGACTGAATAAAGCATTATAATAATACTGTATCCACCATCCTTCACTCTTTACTCCTCCCTCTTCCCTAACATCCCAAAAAGTAATGCAGTAAATTTATCGATTGACAATTTACATTTGTTTTTATTAATGTACTCTTTTTGTACAACTTAAGCAGACATAATAAGTATGAAATACTGTACTGTAGTACTTCTACAATCCAAAAATTATCCCCACATTGTATATTTATTAGATTTATACAGTACTATATTAAAAAATTTAGTGGTAACAAATTTATGGGTAAAATAATGGCAATATAAATTGGAAAGGAGTGAGAAGGTACAGTCTTGATCATGGGAATTCAACACGAAAGTTGTAGCTTATGGCATGCATTCCACACAAAAATTTTCATCCACATGTATTTTTCATGTTTTTACCTTCACAATTGAGGGTTATAATAGTACATTTTGTAATTTTGCCAAGGTTTTTGTATTATACAGTAATTATCTAAGCAAATAACCATTACAGAAAGAAGTTAAAGCATCGGCCCCAAATGGTTACGCACCATCTTCAGAGACTCAGCAAGAATTATTAGCAGCATTTTCCAAACTCAGAACGCAGATTGCAAATTTAAGAACATCAAAACAAATTCCGCCATCACCCATTCCATTGGTAAGATGTCATAGAAGCAGAACATGTTGTCGTATTGGTACTCAGTCTGTTTATGTAGATTTAACCAGAGCTATAATCTTGTGTATTGTACATGTAATTCACCTTTTCTTTTCACTGGATTATTAAAAATTAAGTTTGCACCTAAGTTTTTACAGCCATCATCCTCTTTTTCCTTATATAAAGCTTCACCGTATTGTATGCAGTTTTAGCAGTTCCCTTTAACATTTCATTAAAACACTTTTTTCTTCATTATTGTTGTTTTAAAAATCACCGGAAAGATTTGTTTATTGGTTTGGCTTTGTATGCCTTTCCAAGACCACTAATAGACTACTGACAAATGATTATATTGCCATTGATATGATTTATTACACATAAGTTAATGTGGGAGCATCATCTTTTAATTTCTATATTTCATCATCCAGCCAGGTCTTAAAAATCACGAGGAGTGGTGCAAGTTATGTTTTGGTAACAGTTTCCAGCTGGCGTTACTGAAGCAGGCCAACAAGGATGCTGCCCCGCCGCCACTGGTCGAGGGCCAGCAGCCACTCATGAGCATCGTTCTTAACATTAAACAGGTTAGAATTTGGACCGTGTCAATTGTTCAGCCGTTTTTGTTTTTCTTTCCATTTTTCTACATATATTGGCCTGCATTCCCAGGAGGAATTGTCTATGAAGTTAACAAAAAACTCCACCAAAGAACAAAAATAATCTACTGTTAAGTAATTAGTTTTTCATGTAAGACAGAATTGAAAAGGCTGGGAATGAATGTTCACTGTGATGTAGATACATTATAAAGCTCTTTACTCCCTATTATGAATGTAAGACAATAATAAAGCAAAATTGACTCTAAAATATTGTTAAATCAATGTTCAGCCTTTCAACTTTCGGTTAAATTTCAGTCTTCATTGTTAAATCAATAAAAAATATAGTAAGACAGAATAGTAAAGTAAAACTTGCAAAATTTATTGTACATAGAAATGGGAGTGACCACAGTAAAGTAGACAGATTAACATCCATAAATCTTGATTAAAGTAGTGGTGTAAATAGATGCATTTTGACTTGTTTACTAATTTAATCCAAAAATTTTCACAGTTGGACAGTGCCTTATGTCAGTCATTCCATTGATCTTTAAAGCCAAACCAAACCTCCAGTTCAACACAAGAATTCATTGTACTGTATTCACTAATTTGATATGAAACACTGTTTTGTATTCTGTGTTCCCTTCCATTACATATTATTCAGTCTCATTTTTCCACATCAAAATATAGGTAATGCATCTGACATTTGTATATTGTTTACCTTTGGTTTATGTAACATCCATTAATACCATATTAGACATGCATTATTCTGTGCCATAAGTGTGTTTTATAAAACAAAAATAGAAGGCGACATTTGCTATTTCAATTGGAAAGTTATGAATATATTGCTATATACATTAAGTTTTCTAAAGTAAGAATATTAAGGTTAATTAATCATATTGATATATATCTGATTTAAGAAGGGCATATGAAGCATCTGAGATTAAATTTCAGCATATTTTTTGTCATTTCACACACAGTCATTAATTTGTCCTGTAATTAAAAGGTCTAAAACTTTATGAAACAGAGAGGTCTTCAAAACCTGTTGGAGTGGCACTCTCAGTGGCTGGAAGTGCTGGGCTTCTCGGAGCCACAGGGTCGCTGGTTTTATGCTCTCCTTGCATGTCTAGAGAAACCCCTCACACCAGAGAGCTGTTCTCAAATTCGACACATAGCTAGGATGTGTGCTCAAATCAGATCAGCTTTGGTAAGTGAAAGTTTTAATTTTGTTTGGCATATTATGGCCCCCATTCTATTTAAATAAAAAGTCTAAGTTGCATCATTAGTTTGTTTTAATAAGATTCTTTATAGTACAAAGATATTGCTAAAATGGGAATGTGTAGAACTTGTACAGTTTTCAGTGATTGTTTACTGTCAAACATACGTCTGTCATGTAAATTGCAGCTCTTCACAGCTAATATTATTCTCATTAACTGCACGATATCTATCAAGATAGACATACAGTACATAGTGATTACATTGAACAAATCCACAGGTGCGGTGATGAGGGTTCGAACGTATGCAGTGGGTGTTCTCGGATGCACGCTCTAGTCAGCTGTACCACAACATGATAAAGGAATTGCAGCCTGCATTACTACTGCACCCACAAGGATCCCAAGGCTTCCACTGAAGCCGAACCGGGGTTTCACACCATTGCACTCGGGCTCTGTCGTCCAGTAGCTCTACCTCTGACGTCCCTCATTCAAGACACAAAAATCACATCATGACATACCAATGAACAAATCCACGAGAACCGTGACGAGTGTTCGAACCTACGTGCTGGGGGTTCCCAGGTAGACTAAAGCGTGAATCTAGGAACACCCACTGCATAGGTTCGAACCCTCATCAACACACCTGTGGATTTGTTCATTGATATATCATGATAATGTGATTTTTTCTGTGTATTGAATGTGGGGCGTCTGGTAGAACTACGGGACGACAGAGCCCGAGTGCATGGGGGAATTGTGTGAAAACCTGGTTTGGCTTCAGTAGAAGCCTTGGGATCCTGTGGGTACAGCAGTAAAACGAGTTGCAATTCCGTTACCATGATACATAAATGTGGCAGGTAGTTTATTGAGGGGTGTCATTTTCAATACAGCATCTTTAATATTTTCCTGTGGTGCCATTTTATATTCTTCAGGTAAATGCCTTCCTACCTCATGAGAGCAGAAATGGGGTAATTGTTATTACTACTACTCAGAGTAATCACACTAACGTGACTGCATCAGTGAGAATCCGCAGGAGAAGTGACGAGGGTTTGAATCTATGCTGGGGGGAGGGTTGCCACGCGTGCACACTAGCAACTATACCATGATATGTCATAAGGATTGCAACCTGGAGTTCAATTGAACCCACAAGGATTTCCCAAGGCTTCAACTGAAGCTGGAACAGGCTTTTCACAATCCTCCCATGCACTCTGGCTCTGTCATCTAGGAATTTTCTACCTCTGATGCTCCTCTTTCAATACACAGAGTGAACATTCCTGGATGACAGAGCCAGAGTGCCTAGGGGGGAGGATTGTGAAAAGCCTGTTCCAGCTTCAGTTGAAGCCTTGGGAAATCCTTGTGGGTTCAATTGAACTCCAGGTTGCAATCCTTATGACATATCATGGTATAGTTGCTAGTGTGCACGCGTGGCAACCCTCCCCCCAGCATAGATTCAAACCCTCGTCACTTCTCCTGCGGATTCTCACTGATGCAGTCACGTTAGTGTGATTACTCTGAGTAGTAGTAATAACAATTACCCCATTTCTGCTTTCACGAGGTAGGAAGGCATTTACCTGAAGAATGAAGACTCGAGGGTTGTTAGATGGTAATGATTCCCATATGCAGGCGATGAGTCACAATAACGTGGCTGAAGTACATTGACCAGACCACACACTAGAAAGTGAATGGCGACGACGTTTCGGTCCGTCCTGGACCATTCTCAAGTCGATTGTGATGAAGGACTGAGTTGAAGGCAATAAATAGGCAAGAGAGGTGAGGAACAAGGCAAAAGGTATGCAAGGTAAGGTGTAGTAGAGGGGATAGTAACAGGAAAAAGATCAAAGGTAACTGCATAAGGCCTATTGAACCATACGCGGTAGCTCTTATTTATAACAACCCAATAAGAAGGGGGATAGTAATGGAATAAGAAGAGGATAGCAAGGGATCGTAAGAGAAAATAATGGACAGAAAACGAAAAAGAGAAAGATAAATGGAAGGGTAAGCTTATGTTAGGTCACGTTTGTTAGAAAGATTACAGCATTTGAGTATATACTGTGAAAGGGAAGAGTCAACAGCAGCAAAGCCAGGACTCAAGTTCATGTTGGGTACATTATGTATTAGAGCCAATTCAACATGATGGCATCTGTGTAGAGTAGAGGCATGAAAGATTATTTGAAAGATTGGTCTTCCTCCAAAATAATCTTTCCTGCCTCTACTCTACACAGATGCCATCATGTTGAATTGGCTCTAATACATAATGTACCCAACATGAACTTGAGTCCTCGCTTTGTTGCTGTTGACTCTTCCCTTTCACAGTATATACTCAAATGCTGTAATCTTTCTAACAAACGTGACCTAACATAAGCTTACCCTTCCATTTATCTTTCTCTTTTTCGTTTTCTGTCCATTATTTTCTCTTACGATCCCTTGCTATCCTCTTCTTATTCCATTACTATCCCCCTTCTTATTGGGTTGTTATAAATAAGAGCTACCGCGTATGGTTCAATAGGCCTTATGCAGTTACCTTTGATCTTTTTCCTGTTACTATCCCCTCTACTACACCTTACCTTGCATACCTTTTGCCTTGTTCCTCACCTCTCGCTTATTTATTGCCTTCAACTTATTTCCTCATCACAATCGACTTCAAGGTCCAGGACAGGCCGAAACGTCGTCGTCCCTTCATTTTCTAGTGTGGATTGGTCAACATGATTCCCATCTTCTGCAGGTGGTTGAAAAATGTGCACACACTACCACCAGTAACGCCGAAACCAGGTGGCAAGGTTTGATTTAGTGTGTGTGGGGTTCTGTAGGGGCAGCAGGCTGGGTAGCACCTGTGGAGAGAAAAAAAAATTAGAGAAACTAGGTAGCAAAAAGACACGGAATCACTGGTTTCGAGCATAGGTTACACACACACGAGAGAGAGAGAGAGAGAGTAGTTGGGAGCTGCCATATATAGGGCAGTAAGGTTTTATGTAGTTTCCTCTTTGCTCTTACAATTACTTTTATAAATCAATTTAGATTTTTTGTTCAGGTTAGGATAACTTGTTCCTCTTACCTGATCAGTGTATCCATATTGTTTCAGAAATCTTCAGAACATCCACATTTGCCTCATCTCAACGTTATCATCTGTATTGTGGCTAGATACTTCAACCAGGAAGATCTTGCTGATGGATAACTAATGGAAGACACTACACTATAAAATTAAAAACTCTTAACTTCAGTTGGATCCTGAATGCAAATTCAGGTTAATGCCTTCTCGATACTTTGGTGTGTAACAGTCAGGAGGAGAATGCATTGCAAAATTTAGCCTCGAAAGCTTTTTTGTTGCATTTAATAAATGTTAAAAATTTGCATATTTGTTTTATAAAATTAAATTAAAGAAAAAAAAATTGTAAAGTATAATTTCCTGCAGTTCCCATATGAATGAAGCACTGTAAAGATTTCCTATTGGGGGGGGGGGGGGAAATGACATTCAAAATTGTGTTAAATGTGCTCCATTATGTCCCTGCAGTAAGGAAATTTGTATAAAGCTATTTGCAATAGATTCAATAAGTTTCTATTAAATTATATCGGGTTACATTTCTTTATTCCAGATTTTTCTTAGAATTAACTAAAATGTAGATACTTACACTACTTACATATAAAATAAGTTTTGGGAATGTTTATGTACAGTTTTATTGTGTGAAGTAACCCAAAACAGGGCCTACAAGAGAAATATCATGTGATTGCATAACCCATGTGTTTTATGTAAAATATGTACTGTTCATGTTTTGTATTGTTGAGTTAACTATATCATGCTAGTGCTTAGTACACAACTTAGAAGGGTATATAGGAACAAACCTTAATATTGTTCATTCGTTCGTTCAGTTATGACAGACTTTCAGATTTGAATGTTGGATTTTCTCACATGCTATGCATGAAAGTACTGTAATATAAAAAAAGAAAAATGCACTTTATGCATATGAATATTAGGACAATGTCACTGGATATTGTTGGGGGATGAGCTTTTATGAAAAATGTTGTATGAGGAGCCTGACCATTCTGGTTTAGTGCCCCATTTTGATAATACTTACTCCAGTTTTCCAAGTCAAGAATGTTTTATTCACCCTCATTATTAGTATGTTTTCTTATGAACTATTGCTATTATTTTATGTATCGCATTATAATGGTGAATGAAGTTATGCACTGTTATATTATAATAAAGTAATGTTGGATTATAACCCAGAGCTATTAACCTACCATAATGTTTGTTCATGTAAACACGCCTCTTCTTGTATTATAGCGAGATGTGAAATGAGATTTACAGAAAGGTGTGAGCCTAATGTTTGAGAGATACTGTCCAGATACCACAGTTGTGGCAGTTTAGATGATAGTTTCTTGTGTGCGAGAGATATGATGACTGAAAGGGTAGAGAATTAAATTTCATATGCGAATATTGGGTGCATGGAGTGTTAAAATTGAAATTAAAATACATGGGGTATACACTTGATAGGATACATTTATGCAAGTGAAGTTTAGCAACCCAAACTTATGGCACCTCTTCACTGACATTCTCAGTAATTATTAAAGCCATATTTTGGAGAGGTATGCTGAAGGATAAAGAACCTCTCATTGGAGGCCAGGACACCAGCACAGTAAGCAAGAGAAAAGACAATCAGCAAGAAGAATGGGAAGAGAACATACTACATAGGTGCAGGAGAACGTTCTGACCGGCCCCTCCAACCCACACACCACAGCAGGCCAAGTTATGAAAGCTTGTTAGTGGAAACATTCCAAAGATCATGTGCCTGAGTATTTACTTACAGGCAACTCAGTTTAACCAACTACACATCTGCTGAAAAATATGCCCTGGACACAGAGACCATGTTTTACATTAAGCAGTTTTCCTTTACCAATGCATTTACAACTGGAACAAGCAGTAAAGCAAAATCCAAACTTCATGAGGAGAAACTCTGAAAAATGTCTCAAAGCACAGTACCAGAAAAACCCATCAGACTACCAAAGTCCGTAAAGAACCGTTACGGGTGAAACTAAAATATAAATCAAGGTTAAAAACAAATAAGCAACCCATAAGAACATCCTGTGAAGGGAACAATCATCAGCAGGTAAAGATTAAGGAACAGAATCTTAAGCCCCTGAGCATATAGATGCTTATACAATACTGTATACCCATCAGACAAATTCCAGACAAGCAGAACAGAGCTGATAGTTTAAATCTACAAACTTTCAATTAATTCATCCATGCTGACAAGCATGCTACATGCTAAAAGTATCTTGCAAAGGAAAAACATAAGAGGTTACTCAAGCAGCCAATGCAAAGCTCAGAAGAAAAACACTATGAATTGGTCTAAGTCAATGATCATTTAGATCCGACTGGTAAGAATAACCTAATGGAAAACCTAGTGAAGTACAGTGAAGTACATTGGGAGGTCAGCATAAAGTCGAAGCTAAAAACCTATCAATTGACAGAAGACGAGCACATCAGACCACAGCCATTATATCAGTCCGTCCTCTCAAGCGTTCACGTCATTACTATACTGATGTACTAAATGGCCTGAACCTAACCTAACCAAGGACTCATCAATAGAAAACAAGACATCACATCAATTTTACAAGCCACTATGATTTTTAGGGCGTGGCCTTAGGGAAGTTGTACGTTAAAATTACCATGAACTATTCGAGACAATATGTTGATTGTATCTTAGTACGTATGATATGCAATACAAGTACTGTATTTCATTCTAAACTTGAAATTCAAGAAAAATTAAAGTCAATTAATATAATGTACAGTATTCACACATTTTATTATTATGTACAACCATTAACTAAAGTACTGCAAACTCTGCTCCAGTTATTACTTACAATGTCACTGACGTAAGTGAAGTATAGCCTCTATTGCTATACAGTATGCAACAATTTGTGAAAGGATCTTCTATATGAAATATTGTGTGATACAAGGGTGTTTTACTGTACATAATAAATAGAACAGAATTACTTAACCTATCTTTCCAACTCATCAGCCAAAGACATTCATTCTTCCTGTGTTTCTGGCTCAGGATATTCCACGGGTCCTCCTTTTTCTATCCAATCTTCGTATGATCCAACATACACCCTACCAGGAAAGAAATGTATAGTTGTTAAAGATTTAATCATGAGCAAAATTTCATTAAGTGTGTATGTAAACTACTGAAATGTATCCTTAGTCTAGTTAAAGTAGCAAGTCTGTATACATAAACACTCCATAACATTTCCAAATCAAGACCCTTTGGCTCCTTCCCGAGCTAAGTACACATTTTTGAAATGTGAAACATTTTTCACATTTTGATTTTTTAAACATTTTGGATTCACAAATCAGCTAGAACCCCACTTGCAATAGTGAGGAAAAGATGACTTGGCCTAATGAACCAGAAACTTGAACAAATGAACTCCGCTGTTGCTTCCTTAGGAGAGCACTGTACTTCAAGTGGTAGTAACTCAAATAGAAAGAATGGTTACCAAAAGCAACTATTTGCCCAGAAAACCTAAGAATTATACCATAATGTACAAGGGACACTCAACAGACCTATAACAACACCTCACTTCAGTGTACTGTGACAACAGCTTAATAACTGGAACACATTTCTATGATTCCAAGATACAAACCAAATTAAAAAGCAGGTCAATTCCTAAAAACTGGTCCATTCTACAATCTTACTGTAAATACACACATGAAGCTGGGCCTATGTGCAGTCCTGCCACCTGGTGGTGGTCAGCAAAGGTAAATAAAGTGTGGAAAATTGGTTATTAGCCACAGCTTGCCTTGGATGCTCACCCTGTTATATAACAAGGAAAAGGGGGCTATGATTATATCTCCAGTGTCTCCCTACCATCTTATATGACCCTGAAGGGACAATCAAATATGATATCTATAGCACCAGTGCATATGTTGTCTTGCATGACTGTGTATAATTCTTTTCCAATACCACAGCAGACTATACAGACTATACCTTAGAAAGTGGCAGCATGAGCAACCTCAAAACGGACAAGACAGTTCATTAAAATGTTACAAATGTTACTCACTGCATTGAAAGTTGACTAAGAAAGCAAGTCTTCTCACCTGACATTGGTGTATCCAACTCCCATCATTGCCAGCTGAGCAGTTCTGGCACGAATACCACCCAAACAGCTAACAACAACAGGTTCATCCAATTTGGGTTTGGAAAACCCAAGCTGTTTTGCAAAATCCTCTTCAGGGATAAGGATCTTAACTCCTAGCATTTGTACTGAAAATACAGCAATAACTTAGAATTTAAAAAATTACAATTTTTATCATTTAATTTACAGTAGGTATACCTTGGATTAGCTTTATTTATTTAATTCATGTTTTTAGACTAGTTCTTATGTGATACCCATAGTCACTTTAAAGGCATTGCATATACATGCTTATTTCATTTAGACAAAGTTCAGACTTATGAAATGAAGCTTCCTGCAAAATTGAATTAAATACTGTTATGCATTTCACCATAGGCAATTACCTTTAAATATGACATACTGTTTCTCTCCAATTTTACTTTAAATTAATATGAAGAAATACTGTATATATATAAATTCATACTTTTAATTATTGTAAATAATTATCATAGTGTATTCAGTTGGAATAAAATTTTAAATTATGAAACATTGAAAGCACCAATTTGCTAACAAAACAATCTTATTACAGTACATATCCTAAATCATTTGAAGAGTTAGTGTCTTATATTTCATTCCATGCTGTGCATTACTGTGCCAAAACTAGTTATATAAACTAGTTATATAGCTATAAATACCTTTGGATATGTACCAGAAATATAATTACAAATTTACAACTAGAACACACTCACAAAGGTTTTAGCATTACTGCAAGTGTTCTTTTCATACATACATACTAAATTCTTGGATTTAGGAATTTTTCCATCTGTGACAAGCTCACTAGGAGTGCGAACATCGATCAGGGTCACCCTATCTTCCTCCAATTTGTTCTTCAACTCTTGAAATTCAATATCTGAAAGAAACTTCCTAATTAAAAAATTCAATGTTTATAAAATCTTTAAAATATATAAATAATTTTCTTTGTTAATTTTATAATGTCTGAGATGGTGAAAATCTTTAGCCAAATACATACACAGTGGCATCTCCCTATAATGAATCTCTTTAGACAACAGACCAAATTCAGCCACTGGATCATTTCTTAAAATTTCAAATTTTAAAAACTTTCCTGTGATGCCAGTGCAAGAATGTTATCCAATCGACTACATGAGTCTATCTTTTAAGTACAGTATAAATCATATATAATGGAACAGCTGAATTGAATAGCTCAAGTAAGTAAAGTATCATAAAGTGTTAAGCCAGTATGGATATTGCAGGAAATAGCTTTATCATTTTGTTGGGGTTACAGGGTATATCTTTTTAATTTTACAAAATTCCCCATTATACTGTAATTAATTGACACGTCTATGACTGATAGTCAAGCTCAACATATTTGTGGATAAACAAGTGCACTACTGTATTTGTCTCCATTAAAATGCAACATAAGGTCAGGGAGCAGCCGAATGGTCTGCTCCCTGACCATTCCCTGAGAATGGGTTATTTAATTGTAATTATGGAAAACTTTCCTTTGATGGCTTTCCAGTCAGTGATTATCTTACCTTATGGAGCAGCTGAATGGAACATCAAAGAAAAAAAAGCTTTTAGGCACTTTGTGGTCTTGATATTGTTTTAATTGTACAACTTTCACACCTTTATCATTTATGAGCATGATTTGTTCACAGTGTAAAATAAAACCATGACAAATAATATACCTGGCCCTTACAAACTCTATACAAGAATATTAATGTAAGTGACAGACAAAATTATAAAAACTTGTCTAATTTTTTACAAATCAGTCAAGACAGGAATAATTCCACAAAATGAGGAAACACGCAAATGTATTCCACATGCAGAAGCATAACAAATCTAAGCTATGTAATAATCAACCTATAAGTTTAACATCAGTAGTTGGGAAAACTTATAGAAACAATAATCCGAAATCACATGGTGCATCATCTGGAGAAACAACTACCTGTCTACTGAGTAAGGATTCTTAGCACGATTCTGAAGTAGTAATGGTTTTAAAATTACAGAAAGACGATTTCTATCACATACCGCTAAATACTACTTAATTATTCAAGTGCCAAACCTTAGGGAACAGCTTAACAGGAGATACTAGATAATGGAGAGGTACAATAAAAGCATTTAAATTGAATTTAGACATTCATCTAATCTTCAATCATCTATGTTTATAACCATCAGCAGCTTAGTCTAATGGATTTGTTGGTCTGATCTAATGCTCTGTTGCTGTTTGGAACCCTTTGAAAACTTTGTAAATGTTTATATTTGTGTAGCTTTGTGTTTAATATATTTGTGGATAAATAAGTGGACTACAGTAATTATAAGCTTTCGTCAAAACATAACTCCCTCTGTATGCACCATGTGACTCAAGATTTTATCAGCTAGTACATTTAAAAACTTCATAGTATATATGCCAAAATTAAAATATTTTAATTCAGCTAACTAATCCTTTTGTGCTAATTTTAGTTTAAAAAATATTACATGTACAGTGCCTATTTTCAATAACTTTTAGACAAATCTTAATTCATTTATACCACACTGAAGTCTACTACATGTATTAACAAATTTGATATCCGAGTACTACTGTGTATAATTATCTAGTGAAAAATGATCAATCATGTGATGTGCAATAGTACTGTACTGTGAATCATGCTACTAACAAAATTCTTCAATAAGTATTGTGCAAGCAGATTGAGAACATTTACAATTTTAAGACAATATTTCTTATTTTGTGCATTAATTCTTTCTCACCAAAATCTGCCGTAAGTGGATACTCACCCGGTGGGAGTGTGACAGTAGAAGTGAGGTATCGGGAAGTCTGGCAGTGCGCCGGGATAGAAAAACGACAGCCAGACCTCAAGAGAGCATGTGGTATTTTTGCAAGCCAGTTCATTTCACATACAAATCTGCAAAATTTCACAAAAATCTTAACATGTACAAACATGTTAACTTTAACAGTACTTAAAAATACAGCACTACAATCAAATTAAAGTTTTGTGTCAATTTTGTATCCTGCCCGACAGCTGAGTGGACAACGTTCGGGATTCGTAGTCCTATGGTTCCGGGTTTGATCCCTGGTGGAGGAGGAAACAAATGGGCAAAGTTTCTTACACCCTGATGTCCCTGTTCACCTAGCAGTAAATAGGTACCTGGGAGTTAGACAGCTACTACAGGCTGCTTCCTGGGGATGTGAAACAAAACAAGAGGCCTGGTCGACTACTGGGCCGTGGGGACGATAAGCCCCGAAAGCTTCTCAAGATAACCTCAAGACAAGATATACTCTCATAAACCAAATATGCCTTCTTGTATATATATAAAGAAATAAATAAACCTCTGTTGCCCAACACAGGGCGATATATGAACCAGACATTTTAATAATCTAGGAAGATGAAGGATGTCTTACGGGGAGATCAGCACACAGCCAGTAAAGAAGCAGCACCACAGCCAAACTGACCCACACCACATTCTCGCACTAACCATAACACCCAGGAGCCTCACGGTTGCCAGACCCGAATTGCGGAAAGTAGCGAGCTGGCGGCCTAAAAGCGGCGAATTTGCAATAAGAGTAGCCCAACTTCTTTTTTTTAGTGAATATATATATATATATATATATATATATATATATATATATATATATATATATATATATATATATATATATATATATATATATATATATATATATATATATATACAAACAAGCCTGAATGGTCCCCAGGACTATATGCGACTGAAAACTCACACCCCAGAAGTGACTCGAACCCATACTGCCAGGAGCAACGCAACTGGTATGTACAGGGACGCCTTAATCCGCTTGACCATCACGACCGGACAAAAGGAAGTGATAGCCGAAGCTATCTTCGGCTATCATTTCCAACTTATTTGGATCCAACTTATCCAACCAACTTATTTGGATCCTGATTATCTATTGCTCAACAATGATAGTGTTGTTTGGGCAAAGAGGAACAGTGTTCGTGGTGAAAAACAAAGCCAGGTTGTTGCCTTGGTAAAGGGTGAGGCTCCAGAAAGAATTTTTGTGCAAGGACTAGGCTACAGGAAAGTTGTAAAATACATTGAGGAGCCCATATTATGCATGAAGTGTTCTCGTTGGGGACATATGGCTTGGAAATGCCAGTTTGACCCCAGGTGTCGGTACTGTGGTAAGAAACACGACTCTCGAGAGTGTAGAGTCAAGATTAAAAACGGTGAAAAAATCGTCCCATCTTGTTGCAATTGTCGAGGAAGCCACAATGCTGGTTCCTATCTATGTCGCATGAAGCCTCATCTGAGAGACTCGAGGACGGGTGCTACAAGCAGGATAGATGTATCCTCGAAGGAAGGAAAGATTGTGCAGCAGGAACATGGAGGAAACAGTTGGAAGCCAATGACAGCGCCTATGAACAATGTGTGGGAGAAAGGAACAGAGACAATTAAGGCGAGCCTAGGGAAAGTAGGAAATGCAGCTGAAAAAATTAAACCTTGTGGAAACAAGGTTCAGGTCAATATAGTGAACTCTGAGGTTGGTACTCAAATATTGGAATATCTAAAAAAACTAGAAAAGAGGATTGAGGCATTAGAAAAATTAACTATGGGGGGTAGACGGGGTGAAGATGGTGGTGAAACAGGACGTGAAGTGGAAAGTGAAACAGGACGTGAAATGGAAAGTGAAACAGGACGTGAAATGGAAAGTGAAACAGGACGTGAAATGGAAAGCCAAACAGGACGTGAAATGGAAAGCCAAACAGGACGTGAAATGGAAAGCCAAACAGGACGTGAAATGAAAAGCCAAACAGGACGTGAAATGGAAAGTGAAACAGGACGTGAAATGGAAAGTGAAACAGGACGTGAAATGGAAAGTCAAACAGGACGTGAAATGGAAAGTGAAATAGGACGTGAAGTGGAAAGTGAAACAGGACGTGAAATGTGCGTTGAAGAAAGTAAGGAAGAACATGACGTATTGATGATAGAGGATAGTCAGGAAAATGAACTTTCTAGTAGTGTTAGCGTTCAACCTTCTGTAGTGACAAATGTTGAAACAAAGGTTAAAGTAAAACGGTATAGAGAAATAAGAAAGAAATTAGATATGAATAAGATCACCTTTGATGCTAGTAGCTGTTGTGCAAATGAGGAGAAAGCAGAAATGTTACAGTGTTGGGAGAGTCTGTCTGAGAAAATCTCGTATCTCATGGAATGTGACAGACAGGGCAAAGGTAGTTTTATTAAATCATGGATGAAAGTAGAGTGAGAATATTATCTTGGAGCGTTAATGGGTTAAAATCTAGTGCGGTGGATGTACACTATTATACTCTTAGATAGTACTATATTAACCTGATATGTTACATGGGATTCTTGTATTTGTACTCACTGAATTTGTGCGCCCCTTGAGGGACTTGAAGTATGGGAAGGGGTAGAAATAGCCTAAGCTAATCTTCGAGTTTTTTTTTTTTTTTTTTTTTTTTTTTTAACTTGTCTCAATAAACCTACTTGAACTTGGAAGACCATTATGTATTAAAGTGTCAAATTATGGATAACCATAGAAATAAGGAAATAAGTAGTGTACCACTTCAAATTGTTTGGATGTGTGATAATGATATGATAGACAGAATACTTAGGAACTACAAGAATTTTGCCCCAATGATTGTAACACTTACTATATTAATATGCAATGTTAAATGTTGTATTGTGATTTGTGTATCTGTACTCACTGAATTTGTGCGCCCCTTGAGGGACTTCAAGTAGAGGGGGGTAGAAATAGCCTAAGCTACTCTATCCCTTTGAGATGTATTTTTTTCTTGTCTCAATAAACATACTTGAACTTGAACTTGAACTTGTAGCCCAACCTGGCAACACTGCCTAGGAGCTCACTGTCGTACACTCACCCGCATGATGACGTACATTAAACTATTAGCGGGTATTTACCGTTTGTATCTATATAAATAAATAAATAAATAAATACATAAATATTTATTCAGGTAAGGTACATACATACAAGAGATTTTACAAAAATTGATAGGTTTATAGATAAGAGCTAGTACATACAATGCCTATTACTCAAAGCGTTTCGGGCAGGATCTGCAGAATCGAGCTATTAGCTCTTGGACCCCGCCTTTCTAACCTTTTTTTTCAGTCTATTATGTCTACTACATATTTTTATCTTACACACGCACACATCCCCAGGAAGCAGTCCTGCAGCAGCTGTCTAACTACCAGGTACCTTATTTATTTATTTATTTACATACAAGAATATACATTGGGTTTATGAGAGTACAAAGCATTGATGTTTTAATTTTTTGTAAAGCCACTATCACGCATTTTCGGGCAGGTCCTTAATCTAACAGATTATTATAAGAAGGTAATTTCTAGCAAAATTGCTAGAAATTTACAGCTAGGGAAACAGGAACATCAGGGGGAAAGAAACTCTGCCCATTTGTTTCCGACCGGGGATTGAACCTAGACTCTTAGGACTACGAACCCAAAGGGGGGGGGAGGGGGAAGAAATAGCCAAAGCTACCGTATCCCTTTGAGATGTATTTCTATCTTGTCTCAATAAACATACTTGAACTACGACCTCAGAGCGCTGTTCACTCAGTCGCGAGGCCCTTTGTACTCAATTTTATTAATTCTGCTAGAATTTACCTACTTAAAATTATCTGTTAGATTAAGGACCTGCCAAAAACGCTGCACGTACTAGTGGCTTTACAAGATTGTAAATACCATGCTATGTATCCTCACAAACCCAATGTACTTTCTTGTATATAAATAAATAAAATAATAATAAAATAAAATAATGAAAGCGTGTGTGGGGTCGACCGCTGGATGTAATGTACTTAGAGTCGAGACTAGGTTACTGTAAATGCTTCAACCACATACAGTACTACAAATACAAATAATCGCCAGCAGAATCTAAATGCCTAACCTATGCCTATATATGCACAATATGCTAATGTATTATAATATTAATTTATATTTGATAAAATTTCCGTTTTGAATGAACAGCATGATAAAATTTATGAATGCGTCTGTGGGGTCAACTGCTGGATGTAATGGACCCGAGTCTAGGATGTGTTGAAAATTTAAACTTTTTGAATCTACAGCATAAACCCAAATTTATAAGGACTGTAGAAACTTATGCTGTGGTTTCTAAAAGCTCCAAATGTAAATCAATTGTATCAAATGTTAGGATATTAAAACAGGTCAATCAATATACAGTATTAATATTTATGATGAGTAATAACATGTGACTAAACGAATATGAGGAAATTACAGAGAAATTAATGAGTGATAAACCCAATGGTTACCATTGGGACTTGCAAAAAGAACAAAAATGGATAATCTAAGTAACATGTATGGTATTAGAAACGTTAAATTAATGAATGAAAATGTTGTGGGGAAATGTGGAATGCAAAGGTTTATAAAACACAAGGTTTTGAAGATGTTGTTGATGATAGAAGATTAAGGAATCTTATGCAAGTGAATTTAAGAATAGCAGTTGAGGAATGCCAATAAGAATATGTGTGGATATGATGTGTGAAGAAGTAATTGCAAACAATGGAGAGGATATAGTAAGGAACAAAGTATGGTGTAAGAAGTTTGTAAGAATGAGTTGTTGTTGTGGATAACTACTAGAGTATGATGGTGCTTCTTTAATTGACTATGATGATATATATACTATGAATGTGATTACAAAAAGCAATGCTCAAATATTTAAATTTATAATGCAATTAGTTACACAATTGCCTAATACAATTTGTATACCTAACAAATTTACACTTTATACTTGTCATATAACATTTTATTTATAAATAACTTGTATGTAATAGATGTACACTTATGTGTGTGGGTAATATTAAAGAAACATCTGTTGCAAAATGGTCATATTTAGACACTGTGCTTCCAATGTTGCACATATATCACACATCCTCATACACCAGAAGCCTCATATTCATTGTACAATGCCACAAGTATACCATACATAATCATGTATTACAAACACATACACCTTGTACATACAGCTCTATTTCAAAACCATTCCATACGTATCAACATCACAATCACTCCCTGCACAAATTTATTACAAGAATACACTACAATATATAATTTGAGACTTTCAAAAACATTTAATGACAACTAGAATTCAGAAATACTGATATTAAAAAAATCACACTCCATATTATCCTGTTCTCTATCACTGCAAGTGCTTGAAAATAATATGAGGCCATTTGCTTGCAACAGCAATAAATTTCAAGTTGCTGATCCACTACCAATGCCACCTTGTTGTTCAACTGCAAGACATAAATATTTCATATTAAAACGACTTCAATATATCTTGAGGGATCAAGCTCTTTTCATTGTTTATACTTCCCATTGTTATCATTTTCACTGTTGATAATAAACAGTAATGAAGCTAGTTTGTAATGTAAATAAGAAGCACAGAATTAAGTATTGACATTAAATAACTACATATAAATAGAAAACTGACCTTTATAAGCATATTCTAAAGCAGTAGCAATGGTCTGCATGTCTGACTCAATTGTTGTTGCCCAGTTTTGAACGTGGCCAACCTCTTTCATGGAGTCTGTAAAAGATGAAATAAGACCCAACCACTGGGATGTCTGTCTCTGAAAATTGGTAGCATTTTGTTCAAGCTGGCTTGCTTCACTGTCCAGTCGTTTCTGATTGAGATATGCTTGGGCCACCCTGGAAGCAAATGCAAAATCATATATAAACAAGAGTAAAAACAGATTTTTCACATGACAATAGCAACTATGGTATAAAATTATGGAAACAAATTTTGAGGTTATTATGTATTGCTCTTGCACTTTGCACATTCAATTTTAAATTTTGCTGCTGTTATAAATGACATCAGTTCTGTTGACAATGCAAAGTATCACATGTTAATATGACTAATTATCAAACATTAAAATTCATGTTAATTAAATTGGGCAATGACTACCAATTACAGTATTTGTTATATGTTAAATACTGTATTAAAGTTCAATAAGAAGCAAAGTACCATAATTGTACAATTTATGTACAAAGTACAATTGTACAATTTGTAATATACAAAGTACAATTTCAATAAGAGTAAAGTACCATAATTGCATCTAGAACTGTAATGAAAATTTAAAGGATACTTTAAATTTAAAGGATACTCCAATGGTGCAAGTGGTTGGGCACTATTCCTTCCCTGTCCTTTCCTAGCTCCTTGTTCTCATATCCCTTTCAAGTGCTATAGTGTCATATTGGCTTAGCTCTTTCTTTTTGAGATATATACAAGAGTTGTTACATTCTTGTGCAGCCACTAGTACGCGTAGCGTTTCGGGCAAGTCCTTAATCCTATGGTCCCTGGAATACGATCCCCTGCCGCGAAGAATCGTTTTTTCATCCAAGTACACATTTTACTGTTGCGTTAAACAGAGGCTACAGTTAAGGAATTGCGCCCAGTAAATCCTCCCCGGCCAGGATACGAACCCATGACATAGCGCTCGCGGAACGCCAGGCGAGTGTCTTACCACTACACCACGGAGACTGCAATTCTTCTTATAATTATTGTACCTTACCACTCCAAAATCATCATATTTCTATAAATATAGAACTGTGGTTATTTCTAGATGTGAAGAATATGTTAATACTTAATACTGTGCCAAAACAATTTACAAAATGTGTACTTCAAAATCAAATGATAGTTGAAAACAAATACTAAAACTAGTAACTTGCCCCACATTTAGATGATCAACGAGAGCGTGTGTGAGGTTACTGCTTGCTTGGACAGCTTCCTTGCGTCGCCGCTCTGAAGAACACACACACAGAGAACTTTAGAACATGCAGAGAGAAATTTAGAACATGCAGAGAGAACTTTTTCAGTGTCAGAGTAGTTAATAAATGGAATGCATCAGGAAGCGATGTGCTGCTGGCTAACTCCATACACAGTTTCAAATGTAGATATGATAAGAGCTCAAAAAGTTCACCAGTAGATTGACAGTTGAGGTGATATCTCTTATCACCCTGAAATATCTCTTCCAGATATTTCAGCTTGCCATTGAGTATTAAAGAGATATATGAAAGATACCCTGAAACATATCTTTCAGGGTATACCTGATTGATACCTACTTAATGGGGTTCTGGCAGTTTTACTCCCCAAGCCTGGCCCGAGACAGGACCAAAGAGCAGGAGTCCATTGTACTGTACTAACACTGGCAGCTCAAATAATACAGAGTTGATAGCATTAAAACAAAAAATTATTTAAATTTTGCATCATGCACGGAAGCAGAACAAGCTAAATCCCACCATGTACAAATAGCAGTATATTGCATTAATTGCTTCAACTAATTACCTATGTATTCTTCTACTTATTTATTTATTTTTAGTGCACCTATCTACTGTATGTACTATTTTATTAAATTATACTCCTATATACCTTTAGTATCTACTATTGAATCATCACATTTAATAAGTCAATTAATTTATCCCATGTAGTAAGAATTACAAATGCATCCACTCATCAATAAGTTTAAAATATCTTCTTTTGCCAACAATGGTACTGTACTAGTATATACCATACATTTCAATGCCATAAAATAAAATTCTCCTTTATTAATATTCTCAATTATTTTATGAACTTTTTGTAATAAGCAATATACTTAAGATGGTGGGTTATGTAGCAGTGTTATTGTGCCATGCTAAGCAAAATTAAGTTACACTCACCCTGTTCTTCCTTACGGGACTGCTGCCTTGCCTGATGCTCCTTGACCATTGACGACAACATCACTGGGTCTATGCTGGTACAGTGCAACCTACATTAAAAAAAATCAAAATACTCAGTAATAATAACCCTGTAGTAATAATAATAATAATAATAATAATAATAATAATAATAATAATATTTTTTGCTGGAGTTCTAATGTAACTGATACAGCTCATAAAAAATATTGAATCTGTACAATAGATTGAATTCATAAGTACTACCTATGTACTTTACCGTATTTTATAGTACTGTACATAAATTCTTTACTTCTATATATTTTTTATTCCTGGATGTTTCCCATTCTTGAGGAGCTGGTCACAATTCGAATCTCTTCCAGATATTTCAGATTGTCATTATCTTCCAGATATTTCAGCTTGCCATTAAGCATTTAAGAGATATCTGAAAGATACTCTGAAACATATCTTTCAGGGTATGACATGACCAAATAATTTTACATGTTGATATGGCTACTGTAGCAGTAAAGCAGTCACAAAATGCTTCCACTAGAAAATTGGAATATGTGTAAGGAATGAGCACTGTTTTTGGCAAGCACATTAACTTAATATCAAACAAAAAAATGGGAAGAAAAACAGAAAATCAACAACAGGAAAAAACTGAATTTGAAAACAGTATATAGTACCGGATATTATATTACGAGGGTGACATTGAGGTGAAGAAAAAAGAGAATGTCATGGGGGGAATGTAGTCAACTTGTAAAGTGACACTACAGTATAAGCACAAGTATATCCAAATAGGAAACATGCAACTCTTCCCACATTCCCAACAAGCACAGCTTCTGTTACATGACAATTTGGCAACAAGGGCTCACTGGAAAATGCACAGTACTTTCTCAGGAAAGTTCCAAGAGTTCTTGCCCGAAATGTAGTGTGTATTAGCGGATTTAGGCCTAGTATGTACAGTACTAACTCTATCTAGAAATCCAACATTCTGTTTGTAACTCATCTTGTATGTATGTACATTTACCTGAATAAACATTTATTATTTATTATTATTATTATAGTTATCTGAATAATTAATTCCCATTGTCGGCGACAACGAGAATTAATTATTGTACAATAGGAAGCCTGTACTTATGCTTATCGATACCAACTACTGACTTTCCTAAGACACAATCCACAACCGTTGCCTAACTCCTGAGAGCTTATTTAACTAACAGGTAAATGGAGACATCAGGTGCAAGAAAATGTGCCTAACCATTTCCGTCCCACCTGGGAATTAAACACAGGGCCCTCAATTGTAAGCCGAGGATGTAAAGCATTGTACTTTACAATACTTTACATTATTAACTTTACAATACTTTACACTGGACATTACCTAATGTAATAATTGTGGATGCTGTATGTTAATGAAATATGCGCATGATTCAATTTAGGAACAGGTCCATGGGGGGGTTATGGGCTAACTGTATCAAGTATAGCTGTACTTTATTAATCAAAAAATAATATGCATTGTCTAAGTTTTCTGATTCCATATATGATTAACCGTCTTGTGAGATAGGGATATTTGGTAAACTTATAGCTAGATCTATATTGTGTAATCTCTCATATATTGCTCACATAGGGGCAAATTTGCTCATATAGGACAACTGGGGGGACCTTTGACAAGCCACTGGCTTCCTGTCCTCATCGAGGCCACTAGTATTAGTGGCCCTCAGGTAAATATATAATAGAATGTTATTAATAAAATAATTGAATTGTATCAAGTTGGAAAAGAATGAAACCTTTACCTGAAACTCCATATCTCTTATTGTATTAGCAGCGGTGATTATTATTTTAGCCATATTAGCTACATTCTTTTGGCCAGGTAAGGATTAATTACACTACTACAAAAGTTTACTAGTGAGAGAGTGCAGTACAGCCTCCAGCTCGCCAAACATCACACCAGACATACAATAATATTATTTAACTCGATATTAACGCTAAATACAATTAATGTTATACCTGTACAAATGACGTGATATCTTATTTCCTCTTGCTATAGTTCATTAAAGTTAGAGTAACTGAGAGTTGAGATCTTTTGAGATCTTGTCCAGCGTCAGCCGCGGCAGCGAACACACGCCAGCGTCTCACCTACTCACAGCGACCAACATCAGATTTTTACCTGAATTTCCGATACTTTTTTTTTAAATATATCTCAAATGTTTTGTGACAATTTATGCAACATATTGTTATAAACATGCATTCTGCTAGTTAATATCACCTATTAAATTTGCGACGATTGAACCACTGCGTATATGAGGCTAATGTGCCATCAAACACTCTCCAGACAACAATATATCTGGGATAAGTCGCTCTACAACATTGGCGCTTGCATCGTCGACTTCCTATGACGTCGCCTGCAGTATATTTAAGTCTAATTTCGTTATAAAATGAGATTATGTTTTCTCATGTTCCCCACATTCAGCACCAGTATTATAACGGATAAATATGTTATATTTATTCATTACTTACGTAATGTTTGTATTGTTAGAAAGCTTTGAGTGGTTTTGGGTATTTCTATGGTTTAGGGTTGACGAGGTTGTCTACTGCGCTTCCGACTTCCTGTGTCACGGTTATAATAATAATAGACATAATAATAATAATAATAATAGCAATAATAATAATTATTATTATTGATTTACAATAATAGTAGAGTTAATTCAGTTTATTGTTGTGAGCAAGGTTCTATGATTTATAAACGGAGAATTAAATTAAATAATGAGAAACTATGATAATTAAGATAGCTCCCATTAAAAAAAGTCATCGTCTTCCTGATGGTACGTGCAATTTGCATGAAAAAAAAATCATTGAGGCATCTTGTTCACACCAACAAACGTTGGCCAGCGACTACCAGCAAACGTGACACTAATCCAACGACGGTTACGTTGCCCGTATTTATTTTATTTATTTATTTATATATATGAGTTCTTACATTCTTGTATAGCCACTAACACGCATAGCGTTTCCAGCAAGTCCTTAATCCTAATTTTCACACACACACGCATCCCCAGGAAGCAGCCCGTAGCAGCTGTCTAACTCTCAGGTGAATAGGGGCATCAGGGTGAAAGAAACTTTGCCCATTTGTTTCTGCCTTGGCCGGGGATCAAACCCGGGCTCTTAGGACTACGATTTCCGAGCGCTGTCCATTCAGCCGTCAGACCCCAATTTAATAATAATGAAATGTGTCGGGGGACAGGCACTGGACATTTTTTATAGCCCCCCTTAATTCCTGACCTGCAATTTTTGGAAATATTCATCCACACTGGATAATGCTCTCGTTATCCTGATTCTTCTGTCATTATGCTGCAAAGTTTGCTCCATATTTATTTCTGCAAGGAGCAAGGATGATGCTGGATCACTTTGCTTGCATACAAGTCCTTCAGCCTCACCCTCGGGTCTTTCTGCTGCAGGCCGTTCACCACCTTCAGTTTTCTAGGTTTTTACCCGCTTCTTTAGTTTTCTAGGTTTTTACCCGCACCTGACTTGCATAGGCTTATCTTTCGATAAAACTAGTGTAGTCAAGCCATTCTCTCCTTAATATTTTCTTCCTTGGATACTTGACACTTTTAATAACTTACCAGTTTCTTTAAGTGTGTTATGCTACGGGTTATTCATGCCTGTGCCATCTCTTGGGTGGCTTAATCTTTATCAATCAAGTGTGATGTCTTCCAAACCCTAACTCTCTGCTCATATGCTACACATCTTTATAGAGTACTTGTGTACTTTTTCCATGCCATTTCTTTTTCTTTTGAGGGTTGGCCATTCCATTTTCGAGACATGGGACTTCAAAACAGCTCTCCATTTGGTTAAGATCACTTATAAATTTACCAGTCATCAGTGAACTAGTCACTTGTCATATCTGCTTTGAGATAGTACCAATAATTCCACCAGACTTTCTCATTTGAGGTCAAGTGGAATGATCTATTTACATATAAAGAACTGTGCAGCAATAAGGAAGCTTGTAGAACATGACCACAAGTAGTCTTGCCTGAGAATGGAGCTAAATACTACCGAGGCGAGTGATTCAAGTTCAAGAGACTGCAATCAAAGCAATGTTTTATTTACTTTAAATGTCTAAAGGGCAATTTCATAGTTTGTATGAGCAGAACCTACATGCTAATTGTGAACCATGCTATATGCAGAAAATTCTGAAATACAATTCGGCAGCATAACATACAAATATACTGTATTTTTAAGAGTACAGCAATACAAGACCTCCTGCACTATTTGGATATAAGGAAAATCTGTTTTATACTGTACAGTACAGTGCAACACAGTGCTTTGACATCTTGCACATGCTCATTTTTATTTCCGATAGTTGGGGACAAAAAAACCTGTTTGGCTTATCAAGGACAACCCACAACCAACCACAGGGCAACCCACAATAGCTGTATAACTCCAGAGTACTTAGTCGCTGCTAAATGAAAAGGGACACGTTTCATTTCGCCCGATTTCTAAACATCTGTCTATTTGAGAATCGAACCTGGGGCCTGCCACGGGCATTTCAGCTGTCTACTAAATATATATTCTTCCATTATCTTTATGAAAATAAAAAAACCTTCATGACAATTTTATTTTATTTTTTCATCAAAGATATATACAAATACACCTTATAATAACAACAATTTTATTGAATGTCGTACACAAAGTATATCAATTCGACAAATCAAGGAATGCAATCCTGCACACTAAAATTATTGCATTGATAATTGCAGTTTTATATCTAAAAGGGGGAAACACATGTGGTAGGAGACTAAAAACACTACTGTACTTTAACTAAGTGTATAACCCCATGAGTTTCCCCTGCAAAATATTTTACAGGCATCATCACGATTTTCAAGTCGTCTTTTGTAGCATTTGGAAGTCACACCAGCCTAAACAGTTGCACCAGGATACCGCTCAATAATCATACCCACACCCTAGAAGAAAGAACATTGACCAGTTTATATTACTGCAGTAGCATATTATGTGCTTCCACATTAAACAAAATATATGGAATGATCGCAAAATACTTGGAATGTGATCAAGGCTAAAAATGGAGCCTAATAACGAGAGCCAGTAGTAAAATACACAACATACTGCATGATCACAATACACATAGCAAGACTCTTTATGGTATCACTGATTACATATTTACATTTATACATCATTACAAACTAAAAATGCCAAATATCCCATCCGGGATCAATAAAATGCTAAAAATGCATACTGCATCACCCACCTGCCCACCAGCAGCGCAAGCAGTAATGAAAGCGAATGTGCCATCTTCCTTTATCAGACGGTTGGCCGAGTGCATCATTAGGCGCACACCTTAAAAAAAAATAAAAAATTATTTATCCATAACATATTTATACCAAAGATATGACAACATAAGGCACTTATGTTAACATACAACATAACATTTGTTAACATTTTCTGTTCTTAGAGTTGTTCTAAGACAACTCTTAGAACAGAAAAGCTGAAAATCTGGAAAGACGTCATATTTACCCGTTTAGGTTTAAATTTGTCAGACGAAAACACAAGTCTTGCTCTGGCTGTACATAAAATATTATGAAATTACCTGTTGCAGCAAATGGATGACCAATGGATAACGAGCCTCCCCAAGTGTTGATTTTGGCCAGATCTGGCGCGCCTACTTTCTCAGAGCGTCCCTGGTAAGTTTGTGCAAACCAGTCCGAGTCCATGGCCTTCATGTTGGCAAGCATCTGACCTGCAAATGCCTCGTGGATCTCCCACACATCAATATCCGAATTCTTAAGGCCAGCTTTTCCTAGAACCTGAGGTAAAAATATTTAGAAATTAGGGTCTTGTATAAACAAACTCTTTGTCCTACGTCTGGAGTGTTATTTTTGAAGAAAAAGAAGAGACTGCAACACATTTCATCCCCCCTTCCTTTTCAACTACCTCCTCTTATACCTATTCTGCTCCCACTGATAAACTATTAAGTGACTTCCATCATGGACCAATAGTAAAATAAAATATACTTTTCTTAAACCTCAAACAATGTTCAGCCTACATTAACAGCCTTGAACCTCTATCATACTTTCCAAAAATATTCTCAAAGTCAATAAGTAAATTATCAACCTCGGGATACTATTAGCACTGTAAATACTCTCCAAATATTTACATTATATAATACATATATTAAAACTACCAAACCTGTGGTGTTGCATAGGTTGGCCCCAAGAGCAATTGATCCTTTGGGTCCTGAGATGTGTAACTAAAGTCTCGGATGTAAGCCCTGGGCTTCCATCCCATCTCCTTGGCCTTTTCTTCAGTACAAAGTAGACAAGCAGATGCACCATCAGTCTGTAATGCATGCAAGAATGTGTTTTCAACATGTCAGAATGTTTTAATAATCTGGTAAATAAATTTTCATTTGTTATTATTGATGTAAATTGTACACTCCACAATTCAGTCGTGAGTTTGTACTGCCTCTATGTTCACAAACAATAAATTTAAAGAATGATACAATGTATCCTGAAAGCTGAAGCCCTACTTGGGCTTCAGCCTTACTTGGGGAAATGGATATACATACTGTAGTTCAATGAACACCAAATTCCTCAGCAAACTGCAAAGCCATGTGTAAGCTAACTGAGTATCATAATCAAAATATCTTAAATTGCTCATTAACTTTAGCTATTCAATTTTTTTTTAAACCAGTATGCTAACTCGTGAAATATAATGAACTACTAAATATATATCAAATAAATTGATCTAAGAAAGATCAATTGAGTAGAGTATGACATCAGGATTAGATACCCATTATGGTCGTGTAATTTTTCTAACCAATAAAAAACAAAAAATACATCATAAAAAGTATAAATTAATGGACATGACAGGCTGCCAATTCATATTATTATATGGTCCTCTAATTAAGTACTAGCTTATTTTTGCAACACTTACCAGAAAAGAAGCATTTGCTGCTGTAACAGTGCCATGCGGCTTCACAAATGCAGGTTTGAGCTTGGCCATCTGCTCAGGAGTAGACACACGAATACCGTTATCTTTCTCCACAACTTGGTCTACACCTGGGACTTTAAAGGGCACCAAGTCAGTGAGGTGTCCTGCCTCCTGTGCTTTGTGAGCCAGTGTGTGCGAGCGCAGCGCATACTCGTCCTGTTCTTCTCGGGACACCTGCATGCCAAGTCCAAATGCATAAAAAATCAAATCTTTATAAATTACATACAGTGGAGTATGTAATACTGCACTGTATGTAATGCTTCTAAACATTAAACAATGTAATACAAATTATACATTTCAAATTACAACAATAAATCAAATTAATAAGTGAATGGAAAAGATAATAAAAAAAAGTTTGTGAGAAGTGTGGAAATACTGTATTCAAAAGTAAAAATATATATATGCCGTGCATGTTAGCTTCCTAGTATTGCATTAGCAGGGAGTGCAATACATAAGATAGATAAATAAACTCCAACATGTGACTCAAGGTCCTATGACTTGCTTAAATTTTCCTATAATCCCACATCTGTTCAAATAATGCCAGAATATTAGGCAAAATTAAGAAGTTTAATTTAACCAGTAACCCAAAAAGTAATGGGCATTAAACACAAAAATAATTGGCTCGTAACACTAAAATAAAGCTTGTTAAAGGTCTTATGAACCATATATGAGGGTGGTGGTAAATATTCCCATGTTTATATGGTATTTATTATTCAACAGAATCCACAGAGGTAAATGGTTCCCAGAGCAAACAATGACAATAATAACTCAAAAAGAATCAGCACACAAGAGAACCTTGAAAGCAGCAGCCAGACGGTCAGCAGAATGGCCCATGGTTTCATTTGTAGAGAACTCTGCCACTGCAGGAAGCTCGGGAGCAAAGTGCTTCAACGACAACTGGGACAGAAGACTCATTCGTGCACCTGAAATACGCAGTTTATGAAGTGTTAATCTTGCAAACACTTTCATTCCAGTGTGTACTTTCCAACACACTTGCCATCCAAGACATGTTAGGCTGGGTTTCGGTCCTTTGCTTACTAATACCGTATTACTAGCTACAGAAAAGTCACCAAATTAAGTATACTTTATTAAAAATGACAATTACTCTTGAAAGGGCTTTATAATGTCCTCACATTTATATGATAAGCCTTTAAGTGGTGTATCTCAATTTTCAGCAAAGCATTGAACCAATACCACTAGGAAACATTCTGCCTGTTATAGGATGGTTTCAACAAAGAGAATACATACTGTATTTCATAATTTCACTAATTTATGTTTTATATACATCAACCACTAATAAAACTGGTAATTTGACTATAGATAATTACTAGATATGCAAACATATATGACATAGTTAAGAGAAACTGAAGATTGATGAAGGGGGATTAGCAGGAGAAAGCACAAAGCCAAAAATGTAACATGAAAGTAGTTGTAGTTTTTATCTATGAGAACACTTGAGAGCAACTCTCACATGTATCTAAGTACAGTGCAATACTAACCCGTTGTTTTGGCTCGGTTCAGCTTAAGCAGGAGTTCTCGCATTTTGCGAGAATGACGAATGGGCACGTCTGACATGAACTCTACTCCACCAGCAATACACACATCATACACGCCTGCATACATCAATCCTGCACCTGTTGGTAAAACGTTTGTTATAAAAAAATACATTTTTCTTTTAAAGATGCAGCTCTTCATCACATCTTGGTGTTCTCTATTCTCTTCATTCATAATTTAATTGGAGAACACATTTCCTCAGCACATTTTTAGTTTTAAAGCTATCAGGGGGCCAACTAAAAGTTTTATTTACAAAACTAATTACTTGGAAGGATTTATTATGAGACATCAACCCAATATAAAACTACAAATTCTCAAAAGAAAAACAAAAATTTGAGGATATTAGAAGCTCATGCATTGTTGTAAATTCTGAACATTGTTACAGTATACTTAACATGTCTGATATAATAGTATCAGTATCTTAATTCCAAGAAAAAAGCTGCACAAGTTCAGCATAAAATCTCTTCAAACATGTTAATTTGTTTAATTTGTGCTCTTTTTACAATATTTTATTTTAGTTACTAGGAAATTTGTTTTATATAATGCTAAATATGCAGCCGACATCTAACTTTTGCATAGCTTGATATACTGTATTGTGGCATTAATGAACTCTAGTAAACAAGGTACAGTATACAATTTATTGGCATTCAACATTTTCTAATAAACTAGTTACTGTATTAATTTTATTTGTTTTTGTTTACTTTTATCAAACACCAGAAAAGTTTTGATGCCTACGTTATCCTTCAATAGTTATTGCAAGTTCAAAATTGTTGCCCTTTTCAGTCCAAATACCTCATGCTTTTTTGTCTTTTTAATTTTCAACAAAATGTCTGTTAATTATGCTTTGCCTACAACTGAAGTGCATGCTTCAGAACTACTCTAAATATAATTGTTACAAATTTATAAGTTGTCTATATGCAAATGAGATATCTTTTACTATTGCAGCCATTAACTACTATATAATAAAACTTTCCACTAGCACTAACCACCATTGTACTTACAAGTTGTGACTGCCTGGTTCGAGGAGATGCAGGCCATAGCAACAGTATGGGCTGGAATCTTGTTAGAAAAGCCTGCCCCTAAGGCTGCTTCACGAGCAACATTTGAAGTTTTCACCTCCTGGATGACAGTTCCCATAGTAATGTAATCCACAGAAGATTTATCAAGCCCAATACGAGATGCTAAGCTCCTAGAGAGAATAAAAAACAACAAAATAGAAACATTGCAAACAATAATGTATGTCATGATTAAAGCTGACCATATTCATCTTTTCTTTGTCTGACCTTCATAAGAAGTTCAAACATTTTTCTGACATCGTCCTTAAGGCTTTTTAAACCGCTAAAACTCTAGACATGTCCTCTAATTTATTCAGTTGGCTTTCACAAATCTAATAAAATAAAATATGCAATCTTAAACTGAATCATTAGGCCAGAATAATCATTATGATTATTATTATTTTTAATTTAAGAACACGCTGTAGACACACCTCATGTTAGAAACATTGTACTGTAGCTTCCAAACCTTGTATAAGCATTAATATTTAAAATTATTAAACAAGAAAACAGTCAAAAATATATTTGTGCCATATAAACTACATGGCAATTAATTAAAGGCTACTACTGTACAGATAACTGGTGCAAATAATATAATGAATTTATTAATAATTTTTACTTACAACTAAAACCTTTCACAACAGAGTCATTATTACAGCTTTTTCTGATAATCTCTACCCAATGAAAGTGGTTACAAAGGTAATGATAACGTATTTACAGATTTCATAATCATTAAAAATTGAACAACAACAAATGGTAGATGCATAATGTGCAAGTAAAAAAAATTGTATGCAGCAGATTCCTAAAAAATTCATTCTCTTCTGAATAAAATTCACAATGAATTTCCAACATTCACTGGTTGTAAGTCTTTCCCAAAATAGTACAATACATTTGCCTAAATTTACAAAAAAGCCACCATCTTTAATGGTGTCTATGGAAACAAAGCCATTAGGTGTCTGGTATCTTGTGGAAACACTCTTCCCATTCCCCTTTCCCATTAGTCCTGACGGTTTTATCAAACTTTTATTTTAAATTTAGGTTGTCTGGTATTTAGGGCTTTAGGGGATAAACAATCCCAAAGGTTTTTAACCACATAACATATTTTATTATGTTGTCTGGTATTTAGGGCTTTAGGGAATAAACAATTCCAAAGGTTTTTAACCACATAACATATTTTATTATGTTGTGTTACGGACCCGAGCCCAGCGTCCGAGCACGGAGCAGTGACGACCGCGCCATCTGTGGGTCAGCTCCCGAAACCCCCTCCAAATGGACGACGCCATCTAGTGAGGACGAGAAATACCAGCCACAAGGGCTAGTTTCCCGTCTTGATCAGCTCATAACACAGCCGCTGCTGACCTCTGGTGAGGTGGAGCTTAGACAGCAACGCCATCTATGAAGTGGATACGTCGGGCGTTTGTGTCTAAGCCTGTAAGTGAGGTGCCCTAGAGTGTCCCTATTACTGATGACGTGTCTGATTACAGAGTCGACCTGGGACTGCTGTAATGAACGTTGGAGCAGTCTACCCAAGGCAGCCGTCTTGTCTCCAAGTATTTGCTGCAGCAGCTGTGAGTCACCCCCCGGATGAACACTGTGGTGTTAGCCTGCCGGTGACGTGGCAGCTGAGGGATTGTCGTACCCGGGGCTGACTGGTGGAGACGCTTAACCACTGGGGTGTTGTGGTGAAGAGAGTGACCTGTGGGATCACACGAGGCTCCTGACTAGGGCTCGCAACCCTAGTATCAGTCGTGGAGTGGCCTAACCAGCGTTGCTGATTGGAATCTGCCAGCTACAGGCTGGATTTGTGGTTGACGGCCTTCACGACGGTGCCCCCAGTGGAACTGTGATTTGGCTGGCCTGTGGCCAGGGTAGACTCAAGAGAATCGAAGGATTCATCGTGAGGCCACAAAAGGACCAAGAGCTTAGCATCGTTGAGCACCGTGAACGTCCAGTCTTCAGAGGAAGACTACGTTGTATATAACAGTGTTTATACCCCCCCCCCCCCCCGTGTGATAAGATATATATTATTTATGGTGATGGTGACAATTATATTATTAAGTTTTTGCCTTTGTCTCCCTTCCCCTTTAATTTACTTGCGTTACGGATCACACCCCTTGAAAGCCACCACTAGCTTGGGGCCGGATACCCTACCTCTAACAACATCAGAGAAAGAACCCGGTTGCGACCCGAGAGGGCCGTAACATGTTGTCTGGTATTTAGGGCTTTAGGGGATAAGCAATTCCAAAGGTTTTTAACCACATAACATATTTTATTATGTCATATAAAAGATAAAATGGCAATATTTTAAACCTATGCAGAAGATTACCTTCAATACATAATTTACACAAATGGAGACTATTACTGCATTTACACCATCTTCAAAATACAACTACTGTATGCATGTACTAGTGCAAATCCTCCCAAATAATATACAGTACTGTACTGTACATGCGAGCAACAAGTCAACACTCACTTGAGAGCCTGTCGGGCAAGGTCATGTGGCATCAGTTTCTGGTACTGTGTCCCAGACATAAGGAAGGGTGTACGCACTCCATCCACCAGCACGATATTCTTCAGTCCTGGCCGTGAGAGAGAGGCTTTCGTTTTGGCAACCGCCAGATGTGGTGCCGACGTCCCAAGTGCCCGTGTCCCAACTAGAATGAAAAATCGTAAGCAACTACAATACTAGCAAGGTACATTAAGAATATAATACAATAATTTTATTAATTTTTACCATCTTCTTCAGGTCATCTTGAGATGATTTCGAGGCTTAGCGTCCCCGCGGCCTGGTCCTCGACCAGGCCTCCTTTTTGCTATTCACCCCCTGTTGCTGTTTTTTTTTTTAACTCATTCTCGCGTGCACAAAGACATCATCATAATCTACTAAAAGTCTGCTACTGGTTTCATACTGTCGAGGCCTGGAAGCTCATTAAGGGTATGTTACCAAGGACAACGACTTATCGAAGGCTGCAACCCACAACAGTTAACTTAAACCCCAACTACCTTTTACACTACTAGGTAAACCAGCCATTAGGGTTTACGGAAATGGGCCAAATCATCTAGTCTTGCCTGTAGAATGACATAACATTGGGTATGATATCCAAACCACACATCAAAACACGAAGAAACGACGACATTGCCACCCTTCCTCGACCATTATTAAGTAGTCTAGAAGACTTGATAATGATTCAAGACGGACCATAGGGAAGGGAGGGAGGAAATTATTAGGAAGAAAGCGCAAAGCCATTACGACTATATAGCACTTGGAAGGAATCGGGATAAGGATTTAGGATGGGACGGGGGGAAGAAATGGTGCCCAACCACTTGGACGGTCGGGAATTGAATGCCGACCTGCATGAAGCAAAACCGTCGCTCTACCGTCCAGCCCAAGTGGTTGGACCGTAGGGAAGGGAACTATCAGGAGTAAGTGCTCCTTGCAAGAACCTTGCTCCTGATAGTTCTCTTCCCTTTGGTCCGTCTTGACCCATAACGTCCATTCTTCCTCATTTTCCTGATATGTGGTTTGGTCATCACATCTTCAGCCATATAATTCTCACTCATCGTCTACATAATTTGTGGTCATTTATGATCCGGAAAAATGGGTGTGAACATCACTTTAATAACCAAAACATCGACTTTAAAAGCTTCTGTTTTACACTACGACCTGAACAGCTTTGCTATATATCAACACAAGCAAATACTATATCTACTAATGCTGTAAATATAAATTACTGATAAAATACTAATCAAGTGCCAAGAGCCGTACAATAATTGGCACCATCTCTCGTACTCTCTCTCTCCGGGGGATACAATTTTAAACACAAATATTCTCCAATCTTGGGCATAAATAATGAACGTAGTGTCATGTGGTGGGGTAAAAGACAGCTAGCTACAACATACTCCCACAAGAAGGCCCCTGGTGAAGGCTACACACCATTATTGAGGGTCGAGAGGAGACCTGACGAGCCGTAAGCCTTCGCCAGCGCCATGTTGCCGGTGGACATCTGGCCTGTGACGTCACAGCTCTCCTTATCAACGTGCCTATTATTAATTATATATATGTATATAATACACTACATATGTGTGTGTGATGACGGGGGAAATAGCTTTAAGGAATAGTATTATGTTTATATGTTGTTTACAGGTATATTTAAATTATATTTATAGGCGTGCCCTGTAATATGTGATTTCAGATCAAATGGTATATACCTCTCTCAACCAGTTTAAGATAAAAACTAAGCACTACCTAATTAACTCCCTGTAACCTACCTTACCCCTATAATGTCAACCCATGTCTGTTATTTTCAAACAATGCTGTTTGTCGACCAAATTGTATTTTTTGCTGTTTTTCTGCCATGTTCCCACTTTTTTTTATTTTTTTTATTTTTTTTATTTTATCAACACATTTTATACTTTAATCTCAATTAGTATTAAGTTTTAGTCTTTAGTGTTTTTCCTGCCCGAAACGCTTTGCGTAATAGTGGCTTTAGGCATTGGATGTACTAGCTCTATCTATAAATTCATCAATATTTGTATCACATCTTGTATGTATGTATTTTACCTGAATAAACATTTGAATTTGAATTTGAATTTGGTATGTGGTACTTATTTGAGCTGTTATTAGTTCATGCACTCATGAATACTGGAAGATATTCTTGTGTTGTACCAAGATTTTGCTAGTGGAAGCTATTATATCAGACTTGCATTTTAAGCCCAGAACACTATATATATATATATATATATATATATATATATATATATATATATATATATATATATATATATATATATATATATATATATATATATATATATATATTTTATTAAATATGACCGAAAAAGTAAGATTAATAATTCTAACACGAATTTTCTCAATCTTTCGTACATTATGCTTCACTGTTGGAGGTAAATCAAAAATCACTTCTCCAAAATTCATTTTTATTTCTAGTCTGACGCGACACGGGCGCGTTTCGTAAAACTTATTACATTTTCAAAGACTTCACAAATACACAACTGATTAGAACGTAACGTCGTCTATGCCTTCAAATGCCCACTTGGGGACTGTAAGCTCCAAAAAACCCAGTATATAGGCAAGACAACAACATCTCTTTCTAGGCGTTTAACGATGCATAAACAACAGGGCTCCATTAAGGAACATATAATCTCTTCCCATAACCAAACCATCGCCAGAGAAATCCTAGTAAACAACACAGAAATCATCGATAGATACAGCGATAGCAGGCGGCTCGACGTTTGCGAGGCACTACACATCAAGAAGTCAACACCAGCAATCAACAGCCAATTATTGCACAACTATATTCTACCCACCTCAAGACTCCGCTCCAATATAGAAGCATCAAGAAATATGGACCAATAGGCTTTCTACAAACACTTCTATTCAATATCCATTGTTTCGTGTTCTGTCTTGTGTTGATACTTTTAATACCCTATTAATATCCTCTAATGCCACATCATCCTTCCCACCTTACTCAAATGTAATGCCACATCACCCTTCCCACCTCACTCAAATGTAGATATAAAATCAGGGAAACGCAAGTTCTAATCAGTTGTGTATTTGTGAAGTCTTTGAAAATGTAATAAGTTTTACGAAACGCGCCCGTGTCGCGTCAGACTAGAAATAAAAATGAATTTTGGAGAAGTGATTTTTGATTTACCTCCAACAGTGAAGCATAATGTACGAAAGATTGAGAAAATTCGTGTTAGAATTATTAATCTTACTTTTTCGGTCATATTTAATAAAATATGTCTACAGGAAAGACTGCTACCAAAATATACTAATATATATATATATATATATATATATATATATATATATATATATATATATATATATATATATATATATATATATATATATATATATATATGGACATGTTTATGAGTGGGATTGGATGGCTATAGACAGGAGCTGCCTCGTATGGGCCAATAGGCCTTCTGCAGTTACCTTTATTCTTATGTATACCACTACCCACATATATCGGGCCCCCATAGTTACTGCTTTATTAATTAAAGACATTTAATATCAGATATTTTATTTTATTTTACAATTTCCTTATATAATGCAAGTGTGTGTGTTTACATGGGTTTTTGTATACATACTATAGTCAAAACTTTAATACTACTGTACAAATCCTAAATTAACACAACTATACATCAATTAAACTGTATGAAAACATCGGAAAATGAATAAACATCTTAATAACAAACGTTTCACCACCAGAGCTTAAAATTAAAAATATTTATATATATATATATAAAATGTAAAAATGAAATTTAATGAACCTAAAAGGAGATCAATCAGGTGATAATGACCAAACCAGGACCAAATGGTCATGACCAGAGCCTGGCGATAGTAATTTGTAATTACTTCAAGAAAGTGTTCAACCAGTCCTGTGTAGTAGCCTTTGGCAGGGATATTCTGGTAAAAAGCTGGATGATATGAGTCTACGCAGTAATGGACGTAACCTGAAGGTGTAGTGTGTAAATTAAGTCTAGTGTTCCTTACATCCCTTTCAATTACCACGGAGATTTGTCGCAAGGACATGGCCAGAGGTGTATATCTTCTATCAGAAGTGAGCTTGAGAGGATAACGAGGAGAACCTTGTATGTCGTGCCCATCTGACAAGATCATCTGTGTAACAGGACGGGAGTGAATGATGCATGTCACTCAGTCAGTCAGGTTTAAACACCGTTTCTAATAACGTGATGTATCAGTGAGAAATCAGCATAATTGTTTATTAACACATCTTATTCAAAATATTTACACTATATGTCATTATAAACTCTATATAATGAATAAATTCTATGTAAACACCGCCGGATACACCTAGTACACAGCCGGATACCCCTGCTAGTACACCGCCGGATACCCGTGCTAGTACACAGCCGGATACCCCTCCTAGTACACAGCCGGATACCCCTCCTAGTTCACAGCCGGATACCCCTCCTAGTACACAGCCAGATACCCCTCCTAGTACACCGCCGGATACCTCTCCTAGTACACCCGCAGATATCCCTCCTAGTACACCCGCATATATCCCTCCTAGTACACTGTGGGATATCCTCTCATAAATGTTCTGCAATATAATATAACCATATCTTAGTATAAACGTGATTACCATGCGTGGTTGAAAATCCTGGAATAATGAATACTCTCTATTGGGTGGATAAATTCATACAGAGGATATACTTAAAGTATAAAATCCTAGCTTGGATTTTTACAGATTAGGACATCAACTATATATACCTACAGGGAAACTTGTAAATAGTGGATTATGTATAATGCAAGTAAAAAAAAATAGTAAGCAATGGTCGTAGCTGGTGGTTAGGAATTGTGGTAGCATCTGGAAATTCGCAGGATAAATTCATTCTTGGGATTTCAAGGCGAGAGCGTTGTTGTTGTTTAAGATTCGCTACTTGGAACAAAAAGTTCCAAGCAGCACGGGCTATGGTGAGCCCGTAATGAGAGCGTCTGGAGTACCAATAGAAGTTACTCGGTCCTAGTATCGTACCCAAGTGCTTTATCCTTAACGTACCGGAAAACAGTACAGTACAGATACCGAACAGAAAACGGGGGCACTATGTCAATTTCGCGAGCCGCGATCATTTTCCAGTACGACAGTTTTTGGCCGTAGGCGAAGTATACGTCGATAAAAATGCGACGTGCTGTTGGGAGAGGGTCGGGTTGCCTACAGACAGGTGTCAGCCAGGTCTGGAGTCGCGCCCTTTGGCATTAACTGCGGGGTTCCGGGGGGTTCATTTGAGGTTCCTGGGGTTTCCACGTTAGTGATCTTGGCCAAAGAGCACTTGGAGATTTTGCGAACGTTGAACCTGGAAGAGGTGTTGGGCGTGGCGGCTCTCGACGGTCTGCGGCTGTTGTCACTCGTAGCCTCCTCTTTCCACTTTAGCGTCTTACGCGATACCTGCAACAAATATAATAGTAAATATTCACATGTAACCTATAAATATAAGTCAGATATACCTGTAAATTCATGACTGCATCATTCCTGTAAATTTACGTCCGCAACATACAAAAATACCCTTAAATCCACGTTATGACATACAGATAAATACACACAGAGATCACACTAACGTGATGCATCATATGAACAAATCCACAAGGGCCGTGACGAGGATTCGAACCTACGTCCGGGAGCATCCCAGACAGATTCGAACCTGCGTCCGGGAGCTCAGTCGATTAAAGCAGTGTCTGGGATGCTCTCGGACGCAGGTTCGAATCCTCGTCACGGCCCTTGTGGATTTCTTTGCAGATAAATACACATCTGCAACATACAAACATGCCTGTAAATCAAAAAAACAAAACTTGGAAAGCACTGATCAGAGACACAATCGAACCCCAAGGGAGAACAAATTAATTTTCAGTCTGTTTCTGTCTCCCTGATGGCTTGCTTGGGCCATACCAGTAATTAATGACTAAACATTACTTAAAAAACTTTTATATACCGCCCTCCACTTCATAATGTTCAATGAATACAAAATCTTCCCTCGGTAATGTTCCATCATTATCCATTTCAAGACTAGCAAAATTATGAGTGTCAATGTGTGACATTAATCACGTTAAATGTAAGGTTTTCAATGTTTTTTTTATATTGATCATAACAAAATTTAGCCACTCAATAAATCAAAAGAGGATTATTACTGTACACAAGAAACACAAAGACAACAAGCAAAGATAAACAAATATGATATTGGTTAGAAATGTGACTTGAAGGAAAATGGTTCTCTTCACGCCAGCTGTCAAATCAGCAGCATTCACGACACCTTGGCAAACCCTTCACGCAAACTGCACCTACTGTCAAAAAGAAGAAGAAAGGAGTTACTGATTAGTCCACCTGTATTGATCGGCTTTAGATATATCTACTTTAGATACTCCAAGAAATGAAACACTGTCCAATCAGTCTTCAATGCTGTGATTGTACCATTCTTGCCCTCCGTCCCACCCTAAATTCTTATCCTAATCCCTTCCAAGTGCTATATTGTCGTAATGGCTTGGCCCATTCTCCTGGAAATTTGGCTTAGCGATTCTTATATGTAGCCTGATGCGATAAAAAGGAGATGGCTTTATTTAGATCAATGGATAGAGCTAAATATTGGGGATTTAGTGGTAAGGAAAACTATTACCTAATTCTGCAAGCTGACCTGAAGTATACGAACAAAAAATGATTACAGTATATATTTAAATTCCTTATCATCGGGGAAGTGATGATTAAAATTCCATGGTGTCTATCATATTCTTTCTAAAAACAAAACAAAAAAACACCTAAGGAGTATTTTTAATTGACCCCAATCTGTGATGTAAATGATGAGGCCCCCATGGTATCCTATCACTAGCTGTCTTATCTTCTCACTTTCCTGACTCCGATGAGGGTGTATAAATAGCCTCGCTCGGGTAATGTGAACACTGGAGACTTGACGAGGCTTCTTAACTCATATACAAACTCGACCCAGTGATGGATTTCATCGTGTAGAAATGCTTTTTGGTGCAAAATGTTCACGGCATGACCAGTACCATATTCAGGACAACCAGAACACCACAAAACACGGCATGACCAGTACCACATTCAAGGCAACCAGAACACCACAAAACACGGCACGACCAATACCACATTCAAGATAACCAGAACACCACAAAACACGGCATGACCAGTACCACATTCAAGGCAACCAGAACACCACAAAACACGGCACGACCAATACCACATTCAAGATAACCAGAACACCACAAAACACGGCATGACCAGTACCACATTCAAGATAACCAGAACACCACAAAACACGGCATGACCAATACCACATTCAGGACAACCAGAACACCACAAAACACGGCACGACCACGAACGCAACAGTGTTCATAATGTTTGCACGAAGCTGGCCACATTCAAGATAACCAGAACACCACAAAACACGGCATGACCAGTACCACATTCAAGAACACCAAAACTACACAAAAACATCTTCAAAAACACCTTACTAACACCGCTGGTATCAGTAAAGTTAATTAGCGCAAATACATTTAACAAATGCTGAATCTTTTTACCGAAGATATAACATTGGCCTAATCTTTACAGCGTTGGGATTTTTATAAGCGAAGCAGATAAATTAACAAGAGACAATCTATAGTTTGGTAGTTTGGTGGCAACTAGACACGCAGTAGCAGCAACCTTTGGTGTATAGTGGTCAGTGCCCTCACACCGCTGGATTCGAACCCTGGGCAGGATATAGGACGAACGGGCACAGTTCTTTTACCGGCTGTCTCTCTGTAGTAAATGGGGACCTGGATGTAACACGAATGGGTGGATCGTATTCTAGGTAAAACATGGCGTAGAATAGCCTAACAGATTCCATTAGTTTGCCCGAAACGCTTTGCGTAATAGCGAGTTTCATTAGTATGTGTAACTCCTGTCCTTACAGTTGTACGTTACTCTTATGTTCTTCATAGACATATTCGTTTGAATAAACATTAATTGACTGATCGAGTGGTTACCTAGTGTAAAGGCTAAATTACCCCGCCTTCCAAACAAACGCCTGCTAACATCACTCATCCCAAACAATAGCCTATAAACATCACACCCTCCTGCCAAACAATAGCCTATTAACATCACACCCTCCTCCCAAACAATAGCCTATTAACATCACATCCTCCTCCCAAACAATAGCCTTTTAACATCACACCCTCCTCCCAAACAATAGCCTATTAACATCACATCCTCCTCCCAAACAATAGCCTATTAACATCACACCCTCCTCCCAAACAATAGCCTATTAACATCACACCCTCCTCCCAAACAACGGGCAGCGCACCGCTCCTGTGCCAGGTAAGTCCACTACGGGCTCACCATAACCCGTGCTACTTGCCCCGCTCCTGTGCCAGGTAAGTTACGGGCTCACCATAGGCCGTGCTACTTGGAACTTGTTCCGAGTAGCTGAATCTATAACAACAACAACAACAACACATCACAGTAACACGACTGTTACAACTCCAAAATGGATATGCCGCTAAACTTCTCCCACTTATCCACATCCCATACTTCTTGTATTTCTAATCCTAATCCGTCTTCCACTCACTTCCCCCAATCCTTACCAATCCCTATGATCACGAAATCGAATCGTCCAGGACAAAAAGCAAACTCTCAGCGTATATATATATTATATATATATATATATATATATATATATATATATATATATATATATATATATATATATATATATATATATATATATTTATATAATCTTCAAATCATCGGAGCTAGAACTGGAAGTGGGTTTAGTGGCTTGCAACAATTTGCAACAGTGTTCATAATGTTTGCACGAAGCTGGCAGAGTCAATAATAGAGGGCACGAGTGGCCGTGAATCACCTCGACAGCTGACTGGGTGCTGACTGAGGTCAGCTGTGGTGCTGAGGCCTCACCCAGGATGTAAACACCACCACTCCACCTGCACCACTTTTCACTTGACCACTCCCCCCTCCCTGAAAAATTGCCTTTCTCGTGATATGTAAATAAAACAACCTTGTTGACAGATAATAATAATTATTATTATTGTTATTATTATTATATACTTTGCAACATGACTGGTGTAAATTGTGAAACATTTCCGCCAACTGAAGCTCACGACAACATTCGTATGCGAGACTAAAAGTCATCAATCCTAAACACAATAACAGATCATGTTTAGTGCAAAAGCTGGCTCCCCCTGATCCAAAAATGGCGCGCAATATACAAAAGCTGGTACCCCTGATCCAAAAATGGCGCGCAAATATACAAAAGCTGGTACCCCTGATCCAAAAATGGCGCGTAACTAAACAAAAGCTGGTACCCCTGACCCAAAAATGGCGGGCAACTATACAAAAGCTGGTACCCCTGACCCAAAGTGGAGCAAGAAAAAAAAAATGGCATCCGTTACCAGATTACAAGACGTTGATCATACCTCCTTGAAGTTGGGCCACCACCTGGAGATGTAATTGACGTAGGCATCGCGGTACTGGTTGTTCATGAAGACGTAGATGAAGATGTTGATGCAGTATTGGGCCCAGTAGAGTGGGTGTAGCAGCAGCAGCAGCGTCGGCATGTGCATCTATCAAATCAAAACATATCTGCTTTATTCCACTCAAATTTTTATATTTCAAAGCGATGATATTTTGCCGTGATAAAGGCATGATAAATGTGTGTGTGTGGAGTAGAGATTTTGGGACGGGAGAAGAGACGGGTGCTCAGAGACACAAGGAGAGACGGGTTGGGACAAGACAGGAGGAGACAGGCGGTTAGAGACAAGACACAGAAGGCTAGAGACACGGGAAAGGACAGGGACAAAAACCGTACCTTGGAGTCGAAGTAGTGAGCAATAGAGACGGGTGTGCAGCAGATCATGAAGGCCAAGAAGATGACCCCTATCGTCCTGGCGATGCGGATGTCACGTGTTCTCAGGCCTACCCGAGGCTTATTGAGCCTACCGGGAAAATACAAATCAAATCACCCACCCCATTTTAACTTTGGCAAGGGAAAGACAGTTCATAATACAAGTTAAAAATATATTACATCAGGTTAAAATTGACACCAGTTCCCGCCTACAATCCCATAACGGGAGCAGCTAAGAGAAAAAAAATGATTACATAGTATTTGCAGTTGCTGAACAAGTGTACAGAGGTATTAACCGTTGGTGTAGTAGCTGGTGAAACATGATAGGGACGGGTACTAACCTTGGATCAGAGCTACTGGCGCCGTTCTTCAAGAGGCTGTTGTTAGACTGCATCTTGGACGAACTCTGGCGTGCCTGGGGTGTATATATTATATATTATATATATATATCACATAGAATTGAACTCAGCAGCATTAATATAATTATTTATATGTATCGGTTCAGTCATCAGTTGCTTGCGGAAGTTGAGGATGATGATCTGTTGATCTAGCAACAACAGATAAGTCTGGATTTCCACAGACAATTGATGGAGGAACAGATACATCTACAGAAATACACAATTGGAGTAATGTTGTTCAGTTCCAGGTATGTTAAATACAAACAACTCCCAATTCATATATATGAATATTCATTCACAGACACCTATTCACTGGCACTGCGGGTATCTGTATATGTTAGGGTATGTGGTAGATGTATGACGTCAAGAGTGCCACGAGGTGGGTGAACAGAGTAACAAGTTAGGGCACGTGGCACGTCACTAGTGATGACAGGTTTCCCCCCCCCCCCCCTCTCTCTCTCTCTCTCTCTCTCTCTCTCTCTCTCTCTCTCTCTCTCTCTCTCTCTCTCTCTCTCTCTCTCTCTCTCTCTCTCTCTCTCTCTCTCTCTCTCTCTCTCTCTCACCTTGAAGAAAATGTAGGAGTAGGAGACGATAATGATGATGCAAGGCAGCAGGAAGCCGAGAACCAGGAAGAGCTTCCGGGGGCGTTCCCCGAACTGGGTGCTGTCGTCGAAGTCACACTCATCTGTACTGGTGTTGTACGTGAACTTCCCATAGATCTACGGACGGGGAAAGGCGCCAAGGACGGACATCAGAGTATGATAACACAGAGGAGGAGGAGGAGGAAGATTACAAATTCAAGTGCAGGCGATGAGTCACAATAACGTGGCTGAAGTATGTTGACCAGACCACACACTAAAAGTTGAAGGGACGACGACGTTTCGGTCCGTCCTGGACCATTCTCAAGTCGATTGTGATTGTACAAATTCAATGACGGGTCCACAAAGACGCAAAAACATAAATGAATAACTTTCGACATAAGAACTACACACGCATAACACAAGGTCGGAAGGTTTGTGTGTGGGAGAACAGTCAGAGGCTCTTGAGTGTAAACAGAGGTAAAAGGGAGGGCAGGGTAGTGGACAAACCACACACCACTGAGTAATATACACTAACCACAACACTCGTACCCCCCCAAGCAACACAAACAATCCCAGGAAACCCACAATCACCACATGAGAGTTTCAACAACTCTTACAGGTGAACCCGGGCAACAGGAGCCAGAGGCAGGCGGCTCTTAGCCTATTGTTTACCCGGATGACGCTCCACAGGTAAATATTAGCGCCCTCCTCTGTCCTGGGGCCAGATTCACGAAGCAGTTACGTAAGTACTTACGAACGTGTACATCTTTCCTCAATCTTTGACGGCTTTGGTTACATTAATTAATCAGTTTACAAGCATGAAACTTCCCAATAAACTGTTGTTATTGTTATAAACAGCCTCCTGGTGCTTTGGAGCTCATGAACTATTTAATAATTGTAAACAAAGCCGCCAAAGATTGAAAAAAGATGTACAGGTTCGTAAGTGCTTGCGTAAGTGCTTCGTGAATCTGGCTCCAGGTCTGGTGGTGTTCATGTGCTTAGGTCAGTTCATCCTCAAGCATGATGGTATAATTGTACAAAAAATAGATCAAGGCACGCAATATATTATATAAATCAATATTGATCAACAATGATCACAAAAACACTGATCCAAGTATGCGGAAAAAAACATATGTGAAAAATAGAGAATGCTTAACGCGTTTTCGGCTTAATTCGCCTTCATCAGAGCAAAGAATGAGCATTCTACTGAGGCAGATCATGTGAGGCAGGTCATATTGGTCCATGTGAGACAGGTCATATTGGTCCATGTGAGACAGGTCATATTGGTCCATGTGAGGCAGGTCATATTGGTCCATGTGAGGCAGGTCATATTGGTCCATGTGAGACAGGTCATATTGGTCCATGTGAGACAGGTCATATTGGTCCATGTGAGGCAGGTCATATTGGTCCATGTGAGGCAGGTCATATTGGTCCATGTGAGGCAGGTCATATTGGTCCATGTGAGGCAGGTCATATTGGTCCATGTGAGGCAGGTCATATTGGTCCATGTGAGGCAGGTCATATTGGTCCATGTGAGGCAGGTCATATTGGTCCATGTGAGGCAGGTCATATTGGTCCATGTGAGACAGGTCATATTGGTCCATGTGAGGCAGGTCATATTGGTCCATGTGAGACAGGTCATATTGGTCCATGTGAGGCAGGTCATATTGGTCCATGTGAGGCAGGTCATATTGGTCCATGTGAGGCAGGTCATATTGGTCCATGTGAGGCAGGTCATATTAGTCCATGTGAGGCAGGTCATATTGGTCCATGTGAGGCAGGTCATAAGAACATAAGAACATAAGAACAAAGGTAACTGCAGAAGGCCTATTGGCCCATACGAGGCAGCTCCTATTCTATAACCACCCAATCCCACTCATATACTTGTCCAACCCGTGCTTGAAACAATCGAGGGACCCCACCTCCACAATGTTACGCGGCAATTGGTTCCACAAATCAACAACCCTGTTACTGAACCAGTATTTACCCAAGTCTTTCCTAAATCTAAACTTATCCAATTTATATCCATTGTTTCGTGTTCTGTCCTGTGTTGATACTTTTAATACCCTATTAATATCCCCCCGGTTATGTCCATTCATCCACTTGTAAACCTCTATCATGTCACCCCTAACTCTTCGCCTTTCCAGTGAATGCAACTTAAGCTTTGTTAATCTTTCTTCATATGAAAGATTTCTAATTTGGGGAATTAACTTAGTCATCCTACGCTGGACACGTTCAAGTGAATTTATATCCATTCTATAATATGGCGACCAAAACTGAACTGCATAATCTAAATGGGGCCTAACTAGAGCAAGATATAGCTTGAGAACCACACCAGGTGTCTTGTTACTAACGCTGCGATTAATAAATCCAAGTGTCCGATTTGCCTTATTACGAACATTTATGCATTGATCCTTTTGTTTTAAATTCTTACTAATCATAACTCCCAGATCCCTTTCGCAATCCGACTTCGCAATCACAACACCATCTAGCTGGTATCTTGTAACTCTATCATCATTACCTAACCTCAGAACTTTACATTTATCAGCATTAAACTGCATCTGCCAATCCTTTGACCATTTCAAAACCCTATCTAGATCAACTTGAAGTGATAGTGAGTCCTCCTCCGAATTAATTTCCCTACCGATTTTCGTATCATCGGCAAATTTGCAAATGTTGCTACTCAAACCTGAATCTAAATCATTTATATATATTATAAACAACAGAGGTCCCAGGACAGAGCCTTGAGGCACTCCACTTACAACATTTTCCCACTCTGACTTGATTCCATTTATACTAACTCTCTGTTTCCTTTGGTATAGCCATGCCCTAATCCAGCTTAATATAGCACCCCCAATACCATGAGACTCTATTTTTTTAATCAGTCTTTCATGTGGCACTGTATCAAAAGCTTTGCTAAAGTCAAGGTATACAACATCGCAATCCTTACCACTATCAACTGCCTCAACAATGCTAGAATAAAAAGATAACAAATTTGTTAAACATGAACGGCCATTTATAAAACCATGTTGCGACTCAATTATTAATTTATGTTTTTCAAGATGAAGACGAATTTTATTTGCTATTATAGATTCGAGTAACTTTCCCACAATAGACGTTAGGCTAATTGGTCGATAGTTAGACGCAAGTGATCTATCTCCTTTCTTAAAAACTGGTATCACATTAGCAACTTTCCAAAACTCTGGCACTCTGCCTGACTCTATTGATTTATTAAATATGGTTGACAGTGGGTCACAAAGCTCCTCTTTGCATTCTTTAAGCACCCTAGCAAACACTTCATCCGGCCCTGGGGATTTGTTTGGTTTGAGTTTTACTATTTGTTTAAGAACATCCTCCCTGGTAACTGCTAAACTCGTCAACCTGTCCTCGTCCCCACCCACATAGACTTGTTCGGCTGAAGGCATATTGTTAAGTTCCTCTTTAGTAAATACAGATACAAAATATTTATTAAAAATACTACTCATCTCTTCATCACTATCTGTTATTTGACCTGTCTCAGTTTTTAATGGACCTATTTACCGGGGGGATATTAATAGGGTATTGACCGGGGGGATATTAATAGGGTATTAAAAGTATCAACACAGGACAGAACACGAAACAATGGATATAAATTGGATAAGTTTAGATTTAGGAAAGACTTGGGTAAATACTGGTTCAGTAACAGGGTTGTTGATTTGTGGAACCAATTGCCGCGTAACATTGTGGAGGTGGGGTCCCTCGATTGTTTCAAGCACGGGTTGGACAAGTATATGAGTGGGATTGGGTGGTTATAGAATAGGAGCTGCCTCGTATGGGCCAATAGGCCTTCTGCAGTTACCTTTGTTCTTATGTTCTTATGTATATGAGTGGGATTGGGTGGTTATAAATAGGAGCTGCCTCGTATGGGCCAACAGGCCTTCTGCAGTTGCCTTTGTTCTTATGTTCTTATGTTCTTATGTTCTTATCCTTTCCCTAGTCTTAGTACGATATAACTGAAAAAACCCTTTAGGATTTGTCTTTGCTTGCCCTGCTATGCGAACTTCATAGTTTCTTTTTGCTTTCCTTATCTCTTTTTTAACATTTCTAACCAGTTGTACGAATTCCTGTTCTAAAGTGACCTCCCCATTTTTAATCCTTTTGTACCAAGCTCTCTTTTTACCTATAAGGTTCTTCAAATTCTTTGTTATCCACTTTGGGTCATTGGTATACGATCTATTCAATTTGTATGGTATACTACGTTCCTGTGCTTTGTTTAGAATATTCTTAAATAAGTTATATATTGAATCCACATCGAAATCCCCATTTAAGTCACCTATCGCTGGGTTCATGTCTCGCTCCAAGACCGGCCCACACCCCATACCCAAGCCTTTCCAATCAATTTGACCCAAAAAATTTCTTAGGCTATTAAAATCAGCTTTTCGAAAATCTGGCACTTTAACAGAATTTTCTCCTACTGGTCTATTCCATTCTATGCTAAATCTGATTTCTTTGTGATCACTGCTCCCTAGCTCACTCCCTATTTCGATGTCATTAATTTGCGTTTCCCTGTTAGTTAACACTAAATCTAAAATATTATTTTCCCGTGTTGGTTCCTTAATGTGTTGCGTAAGAAAGCAATCGTCAATTAATTCTAGAAAATCTTCTGCTTCACTATTCCCTGTTTTGTTCAACCAGTTTATTCCGCTAAAATTAAAGTCACCCATGACATAAATACTGTTAGATCTAGATGCTCTAGATATTTCATCCCATAGATGCTTTGCTTCCATTCTGTCTAAATTTGGTGGCCTATATATTACTCCTATTATAATATTATTAGCTTTTTCGTTTAATTCAATCCAAATAGTTTCTGTGTGTGGCTCTGTTTTGATTCCCTCTTTGAGACTACATTTTAAATTGTCCCTAACATATATGGCTACTCCACCTCCTCGTCTAATATATCTATCTGTGTGAAATAGTTTAAATCCATATATTTGATATTCAGCTAATAGTTCTCTATTTTCTACATTCATCCACGTTTCGGTAAGTGCAATAATATCTATTTTTTCTGTGCAGACAAGAGCATTTAATTCGTTAATTTTATTTCTTAGACTTCTACTGTTAGTGTAATATACCCTAAGTGAATTGTTATTTTGCGGACCTTCTCTTTCCCTGATCGTTTTGCCAATTCCTTTCTCCCACCAACACATACTTTTATTACCTCCTTCCTCCAAATCAATTCCCATACCTCTATCTACTAACAGTTTAAACCCAAACAAACACCTCTAACCACTTCTTCTAGCGAGTTCGCAACAGCAACAACCCCAGCTCTCGATAGATGCACCCCATCACGAGCATACATTTCATTTCTTCCATAGAAGTGTTCCCAGTTGTCTATGAAAGATATTGCATTTGATTTGCAATATCTTTCCAGCCGGCAATTGACACCAAGTGCCCTCGATATCCATTCATTTCCCACTCCCTTTCTTGGAAGAATGCCACATATGATCGGGATTCCTCCCTTGCTCCTAACTAACTCTATGGCTGTTTTATACCTCTGAATCAGTTCCTCACTCCTGACTCGACCAACATCATTTCCTCCCACGCTAATGCAAATAATGGGATTGTTCCCATTACCAGCCATAATATCATTCATGTTGTTTATAATATCACCAATGCCAGCTCCGGGATAGCAAACCCTTAACCTGTTCCCCCTATCTCTAGCACAAAACGTTCTATCCAAATACCTTATCTGGGAATCTCCCACAACTAATGTTTGCTTAGGTACTTCCTTTACTTTCTGAGGGGCCTGCGCTTCCTTTCTCTTCGTTGCTTTCCCTTTTGCGCGATCCACAGTCTCTCCACAGCACTCGTCCTCCAAAACGTCAAATGAATTTGAAGTTGCTATGGCGTTTGAAGGCGGCTTTATCAAAGTCTTCTTAAGGCCCCTGTCTTTCGCAACTCTCCAAGACGAGGTCCCTTTACTGCTGGTCTCCTCCTTCGTTACTTCTCGTTGTTTTTTAAGCTGACGCACCTCCTCCCGCAGAGAGTCCAACTCTGTCCTCAGGGCTCCCACTAGAGTCACCAGGTCCTTCACTACAACTTCCATATTGCTATGATAATATCACAACACTCAGGAGCTCCGGTTAACACAACCTCTCACTGTGACTTCACCTGACCCCAATGTCAGATATATATATATATGACAATGTCAGACCACGGAGGAAAAATGAAACAGGAAATTTCCTTAAGTACTTTCGTATATTAAATACATCTTCAGAAGGTCCCAAAGAAGGTCATATTGGTCCATGTGAGGCAGGTCATATTGGTCCATGTGAGGCAGGTCATATTGGTCCATGTGAGACAGGTCATATTGGTCCATGTGAGGCAGGTCATATTGGTCCATGTGAGGCAGGTCATATTGGTCCATGTGAGGCAGGTCATATTGGTCCATGTGAGGCAGGTCATATTGGTCCATGTGAGGCAGGTCATATTGGTCCAAGTGAGGAAGGTTATATTGGTCCATGTGAGGCAGGTCATATTGGTCCATGTGAGGCAGGTCATATTGGTCCATGTGAGGCAGGTCATATTGGTCCAAGTGAAAAAGGTATATTGGTCCAAGTGAGGAAGGTTATATTGGTCCATGTGAGGCAGGTCATATTAGTCCATGTGAAGGTTATATTTGTCCATACTGGTTCCCAGAATTGTACTGGGCACGATCCAAGTGAGGTCTTAGAAGCGCAAGAATAAAGTGTATACAGAACATAATATTATTACAGTAAAAGTGTTTTTTATTATTATCGTTTCAATATTAAAAATCCTTGTACCTAATTGCCTTTATTTCAAACATTTATACTCTGCTTCTGGGCTTTCGATCTTTAATAATCACGATTCTTCACCCCTACTAATTTTCCGTCCACTTAAAGTCAGGATTCTTGTATTGTGATTTGTGTATTTGTACTCACTGAATTTTGTGCGCCCCTTGAGGGACTTGAAGTGGAGGGGGGAGGGGGTAGAAATAGCCTAAGCTACTCTATCCCTTTGAGATGTATTTTCTTGTCTCAATAAACATACTTGAACTTGAAGTCAGTTTGTGTGAATTTATTTCCCGTCATATTTAATGTCACCATTAAATTTACTAATACTCTACAACTGTCCTGTATACATTTATGTACAGTATATAATGAGCATTAGAGGCTTATATTGTGAGCATTAGAGGCTTATATAGTGAGCATTAGAGGCTTATATAGTGAGCATTAGAGGCTTATATAGTGAACATTAGAGGCTCCAGGACAGAGCCCCGAGGCACTCCATTTATGACTTCCCGCATTCGGATTTAGTTGATTGATTGACTGATAAAGATTAAGCCACCCAAGAGGTGGCACGGGCATGAATGGCCCGTAAAGATTTAGTTCTGGCCTCAAGATATTTATAGTGCCCGGAATGCCTCCTTGAGAGGCATACAGAAGAACAGATACAGCCCTGCTCCTGTGCCAGGTAAGTCCACTACGGGCTCGCCATAGCCCGTGCTACTTGGAACTTTTGTTCCGAGTAGCTGAATCTAAAACAACAACAACCTCCTTGATCAGGTTTTTGAAAGCTATTAGAAGTGCGATAGCTTTATTTATGCGCTAATATGATTCTGTTTGTATGTGCCCCCAGAAACAAGCTCTCACTTAGATCGTTATCGTTTTCAGATTCCTGAAGCTCCCTATTCTGCATTGTATTCTGGCCTTGTGGTCTCTGAATTTATCCCCCTTTGATTACCTTAAGTTTACTAGGATTGAAGTCGACTAACTAACTCTCAGACCAGCTCTACATTAGTCTAGTGTTTCCTGCAGCATCCTACAGTTCTCTCCCATGTTAGCTAATGATAATGATAATGGCATCGTTTATTTAGGAAAAAGTACATGCATACAAAATGAGTTACAAGCAGAATGTTGGATTTCTAAATAGTTCATTTTAGCATCTTTGTTCCACACACAAACATAGACATGTTTGTCTATGTGTTTGTCGAGTTTACTCAGGGACAGATTCATCAATAAGCCAAATAGGTCATGGCCTAGGGGCCTACCAGCTGTCCACATGTATATATTTATAATTTGAATAGTCACACTGACCAGAGGGTGGAGCCCCATTTACCTGTTTTTGTCCAAGGGGGGCCCCCAAACCCAGTTGGCTCCACCCCTGTGTATTTCCTTGGTTAGGCCATTAACATGTATTGGGGACAATATTAGATGCCTTACAGCACACGCTTGCCACACCAGTCATTGTTATTTGTAGCCTCTGACTGTCTCTTTCTCTTTCTGCCACCAACTTAACAGAATTTCCTTAAACAAGGCAATGTTTTTCCTGTTCCTCCAGAAGTCTAAAAATATGAAATTAGTCCAGCCTTCCCTTCCTCTTAGATAGCTAAAGGCTAATTATATTAATGTTACGAGAGTGTCAGGCAGACTAAACTCGTGAAATAAACTGGTTCTGAGAGAGAGAGAGAGAGAGAGAGAGAGAGAGAGAGAGAGAGAGAGAGAGAGAGAGAGAGAGAGAGAGAGAGAGAGAGAGAGAGAGAGAGAGAGAGAGAGAGAGAGAGAGATAGAGATAGAGATAGAGATAGAGATAGAGAGAGAGAGAGAGTACCTACCTCCAGAAGAGGTACTGTCATCACCAAGCCGGATACCAGCCAGATGGCAGCGATGAGGCCAGCTGTCTTAGGCCCAGAAAACAAGCGTGGGTATTGTTTGGGTATAGCGATCAGCACACACCTGTCGGTAGAAACACCTGTCAAACACGTGTTGGACTCACCAGTCATCAAAACACTTGTGAGGAGAAAAGTCGATACATATATATATTCTTAAGAATAACATTTTAATTTTGTTTCAAATTATTCTAGCGTTTTCGTGAATTAACACATTTTCAAGATGTTTTTTTGTGATTACGCCTTATCTATGTATACCTGTTGTTGGCTTTGGGGGTCAATGCCCCCCTGCACAATATCTACAGGAAGAAAACATGCGTTGGCACATTAACATGTTCAAACACGCATGAGACGAACACCTATTGGCACACACACACACACACATTTTCATTAAATACACGTGTATACCTGTATTTGTTTCACACACAAATCATATGACAGGTTAAGCATTGTTATGTTTGGCTAGTAAGCGAATGGGTACCTCCCCTTCCATGGTCATAGAGGTCCCCCCCCCTCTCCGGCCTTGGTTATAGAGGGGGGACCTCTATAGCCTAAACAGGACTTCCCGTGTTATCATCTGTCAAACATCTACTACACACCTCATATTGCCCTAACTCACGTGAGTCACTCTTCAATACACCGGCTATAATACTCAAACATGTATACGACATGTTCACTACACGGAACATCTAGATCACCGAATATATGTGATAATACATGTTAGTAACGTTGCAAGAATGCACCACTTACATCAAAATATTTTTCATACACAACCTATTGTACCTTCTTGTATATAAATAAATTAATTAAACATAATTGACATCCATAAGATTCAAATTTGCCCAGCAACAAAAATTTTCTCTGTGATAAAGGTATGCGGGAACTACCATAGACGGAACTGAGAATAGCATCATGCACAAACAAAACATGTGAACTACAATAGCAAGGGTAAACAAACCAACAAAACACAAAAAAAAAACGCGGAAAATACCAGAAGAGGAAAAGAAAGGAAAGAGTCACGCTGGCAGAGGAAACTTGAGAGCAAACTAAAGTCAAAAGTAAACATCATTGTTTTTCCTTGAATATGAAAATCATAACTATTCAATATGTTTTGAAATTGTCTTAACATTGTAAATACACATGAAAACCTTATTTCTTAGCCATTTTATCCAATCGCACCTGAAAATTATAACAGAAGGACTGTGGAGAAATATTTGGATACCAAAAGCGTGACGTCAGGCCTCTGCCAGCACATAAATACCTAGATTTTCGTGCGCCAGGTGGTGGTCGTTGCTCTCAGGCAACACAGTACATTCTTCATGCTAATGCAGGCGATGAGTCACAATAACGTGGCTGAAGTATGTTGAGCAGATCACACACTAGAAGGTGAAGGGACGACAACGACGTTTCGGTCCGTCCTGGACCATTCTCAAGTCGATTGTCTTCATGCTAATGCCGCATCTCTATCTTTCTAACCATCCCTCTCGTTTTAGGGATGGTTAGAAAGTCTTACTAAGTGTTACTTACTAAGTACTAAGTGAAAGTGTTACTAAGTTTTATACTTTTCAATTTGAATGACTTAATTCGCTATGTGCTTCTACCAGCTATCGTAGTTAGATATCCAAAATTTGCCTAGTACATGCAAGTGATTGTAAACTTTCCACCGTCGTCCATAGGATAGATGAAGGGTGCATGATACACACATGTAAATTATATGTAACGAGCTCACCATAATGTAAATTGATTAGCTTAGAGATTGTTGTGGTCCAGTTTTTGAACCCATTATGGTGCAAAAGACTGTTGTTATATACATTAAACTATGTAACTAGCTTATCACGACTGTAACTAACTGCTTATCAATACATCTTGGGGTTCAGTTCCTCAGCCCATTATATGCCTCTGAAACCCTTTCTAATATAGCTCACAGGATGGGTAGTAGGTGCATAATAAATGAACTAAACTAATTTCATATTTTTATAATGAGTTTAATATTTCTTGGCTAGGCTTGGTGTTGTTCTATCAACCGCGGGAGGGTTAAGGCTTAGAGCTTATTGACCATCATGTATACTTTAGTTCTGAACTTAATCCAGGACTAAAGTATAAAATTTTAATACATATACATACCGAGAAGTGGGGTACTCCTCTCGGTGTATGTAAATAAAAAAATTAATAAATAAATGTTTATTCAGGTAAGGTACATACATACAAGAGGTTTTACAAAAATGTATAGATTTATAGATAGAGCTAGTACATACAATGCCTAAAGCCACTATTACGCAAAGCGTTTCGGGCAGATATACATATACGTATACATGTATTCCCATGTATACGTTTTAACATACTATCACCCTATATAAAACCGTAATCAAACGAGAACTTGTTTTCTACCATATGGCTTTTTTAGCCCATGCAATTAAGGCAAATGAAAATAAGAAAAACCGACAAGGGTGAAGAATTATCCAGGGGGCGAGCCAGCAAACAAGGGGCGCGAGGCTAAGGCGGTTAACGAAGAACCAATAATTAGTGGGAAAAAACGTTCCCACGCAAATATTTGAACAAAGTCTATAGAGTTCAATAATTTTCTGTTCAGAACCACCTACACATGTTTAGTTTTTCACTTCATGAATTTAATTTTATATATGAGTTTCACGTTAACATAGGTAAGATATGTAAATTAACATAGGTAAGATATGTAAATTAAGGTGCAACCCGTTCTCGCACTTTCGTATAGTCAATATTGACTTATTAAATACGTGCACATGTGACATACTAATTTATTGTGAATATTTTAGTTTACCTTGAAAAGCTTCATAGAAAACACCGACCTTACCTAACCTTCTCACGAGGTGGGACGAAGTCACCTTGAATATGGAGTCGAATATGAGTCTCACCACTACCCAATGCCCCTTAGAGAACCCGTTTTCTTATATCCTGTAATTCTGCTATCCATACTGGTTGCTCAGGTGGGAATACACTGTGCTCCTGGAGCATGTTATTGTTGTTGCTTTAGATTCAGCTACTCGGAACAAAAGGTTCCAAGTAGCACGGGCTATGGTGAGCCCGCAGTGGACTTACCTGGCACAGGGGACGGGAGTAATATCATGCAACTGGCATGGGACCATATATGCATATCCTCCCTCGTCTACATCACCTTCTCGGCGAGTCAAACAGGGAAACAGTACATTACAACACATACAGTTAACAAGAACTCCAGTGCAACTTTATCCTTATCGGACCAGAGAACCTCGGCCCCTGGCGAGAAAGCGCCAGGGGCTTTCAGACAGATTTGGGTTCCAGGGTCATCGGAATAACAAGAGACCCAAGGACAGCCTGCTTCATTTCCCAGCATCTCTATGTGGCATCCTCATTTCCTGTCCGCCATGCGGGGAGCCGGTCGGCCGAGCGGACAGCACGCTGGACTTGTGATCCTGTGGTCCTGGGTTCGATCCCAGGCGCCGGCGAGAAACAATGGGCAGAGTTTGCTCTGTTACCTAGCAGTAAAATAGGTACCTGGGTGTTAGTCAGCTGTCACGGGCTGCTTCCTGGGGGTGGAGGCCTGGTCGAGGACCGGGCCGCGGGGACACTAAAAAGCCCCGAAATCATCTCAAGATAACCTCAAGATAACCTGTCATTAGAGGAGTTCAAATAAATCCACAGCTTCTTAAGATATGTAGTTAGTGTTCCATTTTTGTAATCGATCAGTTTTGTAACTAATTAACAAAATGGAAAAGGCCGGAAATATAAGATAAGATAACATACATATGAAAAAAGGGCCTAGATAAAAGCCTAACGTGTATGAATACACTCTGGCTTCCTGTCCCCAACACAAAGAATTATTATTATTATTATTATTATTATTATCATTAAGCAACTTTTCAGCCAACCCCATTTCCAAACCCACCTGTTGACAGCTATTGCGGCTATAGAGAGGAGCTCGGCCTGGATATTGACATATCTCAAAAAGACGAAGACGTTGCATCCCCTGTCATCGAAGAGGGGCTTGCCGCTGGTCATATAAAGAGTGAAGAGGTGAGCGGCAGAGATGGGGAGGATGGTGACACAGAAGATGCCCTCAGCCACCGCTAGATTCACCACCAGATAGGTCGCGGCGTTCCGTAGGCGGGTCGGGTAGGGCAGCGCCAGGATAGTCAACAGGTTTCCTGCGGAGGCAGAAGAAGTCTACTTCGGGGAAGGTGCACTCATAGATAGCCAACTGTCATAACCATAATTCCTAAGAATACCCGTAGAAGGTGCGCTAGCGGCAACTGTAGTTCCGAAGCACACTCATAGATGGCGATCTATTGCAACTACTGATTCAAAATACACAGATCTGGGGCCAGATTCACAAAGCAGTTACGCAAGCACTTATGAACCTGTACATCTTTTCTCAATCTTTGGCGGCTGTGTTTACAATTATTAAACAGTAAATGAGCTCCGAAGCACCAGGAGGCTGTTTATAACAATAACAACAGGTGATTGTGAAGTTTCATGCTTGTAAACTGTTTAATATATGTAACCAAAGTCGTTAAAAGATTGAGGAAAGATGTGCGTATTTGCGTAACTGCTTCGTGAATCTGGCTCCTGAAGCATACATATAAATAGACAGCTCAATCTTCTAATCAAACGACAGGAATATATGCACACTGATAGGCGTCCTTCTTAGTGAAAATGCACAAAGGTTACTTAAGTCTTGAACTTTAATGAAGTCTAAAGTATTCTTGCAAGTTGTTTAGCAAGCTTCGTTACATCAAAAATAACCCTTGCAGTCGATAGGCCTTGAGCCCAAAGGCTAACCAAAGCCAATCAATAGTCTCCAAAATATATAATACAATGAATGTGCATTTAGGAAAATAAAGTTATAAATTAAAGTGCTCGAGAAATCTTTTAGTTAGGGTCCCGTTGTCAGAGACCACGTTTAGGTGTATAATAAATGAACTAAACTAATTTAGGCTTTATTATCACTGGGGTTAGGCAAAGTTAATAGATGGGTTAAATTATTTATATCTGAAGCAAGCATATATAGAAAATGGCCTATCGTAAATATAGTTCTGAAGCGCGCTGATATATATATATGACAGTTTAATAGATAGTCATCAATGTACTGCCATTATTGAGAACAGGTGGCTGGTATAAATCAATAAATTGCTGTGAGTAAAGTCTATAGCTTAAGGCAGATTTGGGTGAACTATAACCAGATGGTAGACTGATTCTGAGCATTTTATCATCAGTACTTTATTCCAGTTAGGAATAAGTCTTAGCAAGCTGCCATTTAAAGCTAGGATGCGAGTTAAAGCCTACAAGGAAAAATACCTTACTTATTGAGACAATTCATATTTTTCCGCGAATAAGTGTTACCAAATTAATCCAACATAGATATGTTTTACTATAGTATCATCCAAGATACTACTCAGAGCTATTTAATAATATGTTTTTAAAAATTACTCAAATCAAGAAAAGTATAAGTGATAAGAAGTCGCCAAATAAAAAGTAAGAAAGTAACCAGCAGAATAAGGCGCTAGGCTAAGCCAGGATGACTCTAAAGCACCGCTCAGGTAAACAAAAGGTCAATTACATATTACTCAAGATGCCGATACGAGAGGAAAAAAAGAACACATGAATGTAGATATATTAAAGCGATACGATTCACTAAGAGACCTAACGACAGTTAATGATTTAAGTGTGATTTATGTTAAACAAAATTTTCGGTTATGTTAAAAGTTTGGGATTTAACTAAAATGTATGGAGAAATATATAATATGAAATTACTTCGTTATGGAGACATATCTAAGAGTTGCCATGTCACTTAAGGTTATGTATAAATAATTATTATCAAATTACCAGTGGTATTTACTTGTGTAAAGGAGGAATTGTATATGTTTATCTCTCAGAATGTTTGGTAATATGTTTATTGTTTGTGATGTGTCTCTATGTATGTATTAACACGATGTTCTGAACGGGGTGAGAATAGCTTGAGCTACCTCATCCCTTTATGTGTATTTTACCTCAATAAACTTATTTCAATTTAAATTTAAATTTCAACCAGTGGTATCCAGGAAGAAATGTTACTAAGTCGTCACCCGGAAGTAAGGGACTGAGGGAGAATAAAAAACATTTTACAAACTCACCGAAAAATCCTAGTATGGAGATGATGACGGCGGCCACAGCAGTTAACACAATTGCCCAATCAGGCACCTTGTCTGTCGCTGACTCGGCCGTGGAGGAAGTGGAATCCATCTTGGTGATCAAAGCGGTGCTGAGAGTAGTTATCGCGGAGTGTCTGGTTCCACCTTTCCCCCTTCGCTCTGCCAAGGCAATTTCGCCAAGTTTGTGAGTCCTGAGAGAGTGTGTTTGGGAGGTGTGGTGGTGTAGGGGTATCAGAGGGATCTGGTGTCGAACCCCTCCCCACAACCCTAGACAACGGACGTAGATCTTCTGGAACCGTTCTTCTGCGCAAATCACCAGTGTTTATAGGAGCGTCTTTACTTTATAATCTTTATCGTTATCTGGTATTTCATCCAGCATTCTTTCCTCTTCATTGCATATTTACTGAAACGGAAAAAACTAAGGTTTTAGCATTTGTTGAATACGGTTCACCAGGAAATAGATGGATGTTTTCACAAAATCATGCACTGTATAAGAAAGGTGTATTCATCTAGTTGTGCTTGCGGGGGTTGAGCTCTGCTCTTTCGGCCCGCCTCTCAACTGTCAATCAACTGTTTCTACTATTATTATTTTTTTCTCCCCCCCCCCCCAGGAAGCAGCCCGTGACAGCTGACTAAATCCCAGGTACCTATTTACTGCTAGGTAACAGGGGCATAGGGTGAAAGAAACTCTGCCCATCGTTTCTCGCCGGCGCCCGGGATCGAACCCGGGACCACAGGACAATGGTCCTCGGGACCAAAGAGCCAAAGCTCAACCCCCACAAGCACAATTAGGTGAGTACAGGATCACGTACCCAGCGTGCTGTCTGCTCGGCCGGCCGGTATGTGTGTGTGTGTGTGTGTGTGTGTGTGTGTGTGTGTACACTAACCTAACTGTACTTGAGGGGTTTGAACTTCGGCTCTTTAATCCCGCCTCTCAACTGTCAGCCAATCAACTGGTGTATAGGCTCCTGACTTTATTTGGGCTCTGTCATATCTACATTTGAAATTACGTATAGTCTGCCTCCATCACATCACTTCCTAGTGCATTACATTTGTCAACTATTACGACAGAAATGACAGACAGACAGACAGACAGGCAGATACGTTGGTCAAAGGGTACAATGAAAATATAAAAAAGGGAGCAGCTGTCTTTATAAGATTATTGTACCTCAATGTCGTGAGATGTGGTGGAGGAAGGAAAACAGGGACAATTTCTTCGAACCACATCCAGTTCAGGAGAAAGATTATTTAGAGGCAAAGTGGCACAGGCATCCGCACGCACACTCGCTCAAAGCATCTTAGTATAAAAGCATCTTCAAAGTACATGGAGAAACTACAGAAATAACAGAATACCAAATAGAAGATGGAGAATACCAGAGGGCCAGGAATGAGTACTTCAGTGTGAGAAGAGAAGCAGAGAGACAGCACGAAAATGACATAGCAAATAAAGCAAAGACCCAACGCAAATTGCTTCATAGTCACATCAGGAAGAAAACAACAGTAAAGGAACAGGTAATGAAACTGACAAAAGAGGCAGGCAGGTTCACAGAGAATTAACTGACAGATGAAGATTAAGCCACCCAAGAGGTGGCACGGGCATGAATAACCCTTAACACTGAGAATGACAAGGTGTGTGTGAGGAACTAAACAAGAGATGTCCCGCTTTCTGTTTGTCGGTCCTCCGGTTGGCTTGGATAGGGCACTTTAGTAGGACAGTTTCTTGACGTTGGGACCGCTGGCAAGAACGGGCTGAGAGGAGAGGCCAGTGGTCCTCCGTGCGGGCAAGAGGTGACACGTATATCCCTTAACAAACAGGAAACTTCGCCTTCCTGCCCAGCACTCTGGCTCCAGTCATATCAATTGTCCTAACAAAAAACATATTTTTTATTATTTTTATGTTACTTATTATTTTATTATATTTATATGTGTTATTTTTATTTACTTATTCTTCTTCTTCCATTACCATTTTTCAAAATGGTCTTCATTATCGTTTTCTTGTTCGTTTTCCCTAAGTTTACTTGTTAGGTTTCACATGCTTGAAGTGCTCTGGTTACTTGCATTGATTGTGTATTCTTTAAGCCACCTTAAATAACTGCAGCACCAGATAGCTGTACAGGCGAGGAGTCACAATAACGTGGCTAAAGTATGTTGACCAGACCACACACTAGAGGGTGAAGGGACGACGACGTTTCGGTCCGTCCTGGACCATTCTCAAGTCGATTGAGAATGGTCCAGGACGGACCGAAACGTCGTCGTCGTCCCTTCAGCAGCTTCTAGTGTGTGGTCTGGTCAACCAGATAGCTGTCATTTGCACACGTCGCTCGCCAAGAATCGCGTTACGTGATTACAGACAAGATTGGAGTGTATGTGTCCTCGAGTCTAGTCTGTAGCCTCAACTGCGTCCTCCACAACCTCCACTAGCTAGCGGACACCTCCTATCTTCATTATTTCGTCCTTTACATTTCGTCTACATTTATTCTGTCCTTTTTGGTTTATATGATCTAACCTACACTTAATCGCGTGCACAACTGCTTCATATCCGAGAACGTTGGCCGTGTCGCAGGATATAGTGTAGCCTACTCGTGTCCTGCACTACACGTCATCCGAAAAATAAGTAAGAAGGCAGGGGGGGATGTTTGACCTATTAAAAACTACAACAAATTATTTTTACTAAAGCGTAGGCTACATACGAGATAATACTTGATTAGTAAATAGAGTTGATTTTTTGTTTACATAGCCTCTCTGTGTATATAAAACGTAGTGGCAAATGAAAACCTGTGGTTGTTGTTTATTGTTGGTGTTGACCTGGATTGTTGTAATGACTTTTGCTGTTGCGTTGACGGTGGCTGTTATGTTAACTTGTGTTGTTGTGTGTACTGTTGTGTTAGCATTTGTGTTAGCTGTTGTGTTAACAACCAGGTATCAACCAGCATGAGCTCTTTTGTTGACCGATTCTATTTCGTTAGCATTGGGCAGTTGTGATGACTATGTTGTCTGATAAGTCTGTTGGCCTATGTTGACACGGGCAGTTGTGATGAGCCCGGGTTGTTATGTTGGTATTGTGCTGTTTTGTTAGCATGGGGTGTTGTGTTGACATGTGCTATTGTGGTGACCTGCACTAGTGTGTTCATCTGAGCTATTGTGATAAACCGTACTGCTGTTAGGAGAGCTACGAGAACAAGGCTTTTGCTGGGACATGAGGATGGGGTGAAGGAAGGGTGTCTAAATAGATAGCAACGCTATTACTAAACAAAGCCCATTTAAATTTAAGGACCAATTATGAATTAATTATGTCTTTAAATTGACTGATAAAACTTAAGAGCTAAAAGATTTTCACCAACAAATTAGTGTATATATGTGTGTGTTATCACTTATGTGTTATTAGGGTCGAGCTTCAACTCCCAGGTTCCATCTTTCCAACAATTATTATTTTGTGCAATGACTATTCATTCGATTTTTTTCATATTTAGTTTATTTACAACTCTTTTACTAAAGTTCTTTTTAACATCACTGAGACACATTTCTCTAATTCCCATCTTTGTCCCCTCATTTTGCTGCTCTTTTGCATACTTTAGCAATTCTCCTTAGAATCTTATATATCGATACACCACTGCTTCTCTCCTCCATTGTGGTGAGATCCGGTTCTCTCAATATTTCCTCATAGATCAGTCCTCTCAGCTCTGGAACAAGCCTTCTTTGGAACTTTTCTAGTTATATTTGTTTATTTTCAGATTATACTTATGCAAGGTCTGCATATTCAAGTGTGAGTCTTATGTAGGCTGAATAAGTCAATCGGAAAGGCTCTTGTATAACCAAGTTCCTAAAGACTATCCAGACATTGACCAGTTGACAAACACTGTCGTGGGAGTTGTATGTAGGCTGAATATGGCACTCTGAAGACTCATTTATAACCAAGTTCCTAGAGAGTATCCAGACATTGACCAGTTGACAAACACTGTCGAGGGACTCTTATGTGGGCTGAATATGACACTCTGAAGACCCATTTATAACCAAGTTCCTAAAGACTATCCAGACATTGACCAGTTGACAAACACTGTCGGCGTTATTTCCACTAACCGCATAACACCACATACTCAGCCCCACTCACACACTATCTCCAAACATCAGCGTCCGGGAAGTCTATAGGAGTCAAGAAAGACGAGCATGTTGACGCTAGCGGAGATGACACATCCAAGAGTAGCAGCTGTCGAGGATATAACGGAGGATGACACATCTAACAGCTGCCAGGGAAATAAGTAGTTATCTAAAGAAAAGCGTTAAGCGTTGTCTAGCTACATATCGCTCAAGATGTCTATACGATAAGAAATACGATGGCGAATGTCGGTACATTTTCTGGTAAATGAATTGTCCCATTTTCTATGTGAATATAAGATGGTATTTCGGGTGTTGGTAAACATTTACATGGTCCCTTTTTCAGCTCAGTCATTTGTGGCAACGTCTATATGATTGGGTACCAAATAGAGCTCTTCCTTTTTATATATGTGATATAGATGAGATATAACTAAAGATGAATTTCCCTTAATATAAGATAATAAGCATTATAATAATAATAATAATAATAATAATTTTTATTTAGGCAAAGGTACATACATAAAGAGATTTTACAAAGTTTGTTGGCTTTATAGATAGGAGCTAGTACATACAATGCCTAAAGCCACTATTACGCAAAGCGTTTCGGGCAGGAAAAAAACATTTACATGGTTTACATTTACATAAATGTTTACATTTACATAAGACTCAAAAGCCATTAGAGTGTTCAACAACACCAGTATATGACTGCCCACTTATCAAAACCAACTTTCTCCTTTCTCACAGCATAATATTCTACTGCAAAACAACAAGATATACGCCAAGAAATGAATCCCACTTCTAGATTATATAACAGAACACTTCCTCTATAAGAAAATCGAACCTGGGCCAGCCGGGTAGCGGTCCAGTGTGCTAACCAATAGACCACCATCAGATCATTAAAAGGACTGAGAATCGAGCGGCTTTTCTGCGAAACTTAGTTCCCAATGACGCCAGATGATGGTTACAGATCAGACACACACATTTTTCTATCAGTCATATTTACTAGGGAAAACTCGTGCCTGTACCTACTACCACACATTTGCAAGAACGCGCAAGTTATATTTAACAAACGTTTGTTAAATATAACTTATGGGTTCATGCAAGTGTGTGATATATATATATACTGAGTTTACTTTCGTCCTTAACTCTATTTAAGGGTACCTGGTGGTATTAGAGGGTACCTGGTGATGTTGGAGGGTACATGGTGGTGATGAAGAGTACCAGAAGATGTTCTAGGATACAAGGTGATGTTGTAAGGCACCTGGTGGTATTGGTGAGTACTAGGTAGCGTTGAAGGGTATCAGGTGTTGAACATGGGCAATATAGAATAATGCTACATACGAGATAAGCATTAGAAATAAACGAGATAAGCATAAGAAAAATTATTTATTAATTGTAGTTATTGGAAGGGAAAAAGCAATTAAATAGTTGTCATGACTTGAGTTTGACATGAACATAGAACGTTAGTAACTCCTGATGTGTCAAAACATCATCCGGGGTATGCGCGTGCGTACGCATGCGGGCACACGCACACACCCATACCCACACACACACACACATACACACACACACACACACACACACACACACACACACACACACACACACACACACACACACACACACACACACACACACACACACACACACACACATACACCGCGAATCTGTACATCAGTTGATTGACGGTTTGGGAGGCGGGACCAAAGAGCCAGAGCTCAACCCCCCCCCCCGCAAGCACAACTAGGTGAGTACACACACACACACGTATTAGAGTATTAAACACAACTCATGAAAATAGAAAGCTTGCAGACATCTTGAGAAAGTCCACTGTAGTTCCAATATTCAAAACTAAAACAGACTTGAAGCCTAAGATATAGACAGGTATCAGCAGTAACACGCATATCACATTCTTACATTCTAAATGTTGGGAAAGAGCAAATTCTGTAACTGAGGGACAACATGAATTCAGAGGGGAAATTATATCAGGTATACTTGTTGAAATTCTATGACAGGGTCACCAAAATGAGGTAAGAAAACAAAGAATGGGTAGACAACAGAACACGAATCAATGGGTAAAGACAATATTACATACTCAGAACACGAATCAATGCGTACATTGCGTGTTTTGATTGTACATTGATTCGTGTTCTGAGTATGTAAAGTTGTCTTTACCCATTGATTCGTGTTGTCACCTCACCCAAAAACATTTAGGTCATATCACCTCACCCAAAAACGAATATAGGCATGAAACAGAGTATTCAAAATTATCTTTGAAAATATAAGAAGTCTCTTGCGAAAGGCTTCTATGCGTCAGACCATAAATAAAATGTCAAAATGAACTTTGGAGAGTTAATTTTTCAATTACCCTCGACAGTGAAAAAAACTTAACAAATATTGAGAAGATTCGTGTTAGAATCATTAATCTTACCCTTACGGTCATATTCAACAACATATGTTTACAAGAAAGATTGCTACCTAAATATACTAACATATATAAATATATATAAACCCACCAGCGATTGCCGACAACCATAAGAGATTGGAAGATAACCAGATATTCGGCTAATTACAGGCTATTTTGAATTTTAAATTGGTGACGATGTTCGGCATTCAAGTTCAAGTATGATTATTGAGACAAGAAAATCTCAAAAGGATAGATTAGCTTATGCTATTTCTACTCCCTCTACTTCAAGTCCCTCCATGGCGAGTACAAATCCACAAATCACGTTATGCATTTGGATTGCTGATAGAGACAAGAGAAAAAGAATGTTAGCTTTATCGAGGTCCCCCCCAGCCAAGAGTGTGGCTTTCCGCGCGGTGGCCAACACAGTTACTAGCCAAACCGAAGAGTGTTTAACGTGACTTATTAAGTGTTGTTGCCGCCGAAGACGGCTAGTTTATTGTGCACCCCATACTTATCCTGTGAGCGGTAGCGCAAAAGCATTACAGAGGGCACAAAAAGTCTTTTATCAGACCTCATCTTAGAAGTGACGCGCACACATCCCACTCTGCGTCACGCCATTACGAGAAGGTTACTTGTGTAAAGGAGGAAATGTATATGTTTATCTCTCAGAATGTTCGGTAATACGTTTATTGTTTGTGATGTGTATCTATGTATGTATTAACACGATGTACTGAACGGGGTGAAAATAGCTTGAGCTACCTCATCCCTTTGTGTGTATTTTACCTCAATAAACTTATTTCAATTTCAATTTCAATTAAGAGAAGGTGGTCATCTTCTGCTGTAACACCCTGGATAAAACGTCTCCATCGCCACAGTAGATAATAAATAATACTTCTAGCGATGATGAATAGATATTAGTCATCATACATGAAGCCTCAACGCGAGCACGTATATCAAAGTGAACAAATCCACAAGGGCCGTGACGAGGGTTCGAACCTACGCCCGAGAAGATCCCAGACGCTGCCTTAATCGACTGAGCTACGACATGGTAAAAGAATTGCAACCGGGAAAATCATCCTGATTTAGTGTAGTGTGCATATCAAATTCTTATGTCAGAAAACGTCCCCTTCCACTTACCACACATATCAGGGCTACATCTCACGATTCCTTGTGCAATATTGCACCTGCCGAATACATTTTCCCGTACCCGCATGCTCTGTTTACAAGTGTATATTACTCTGGAATTACGTTGCAAACACCACAGGTAACAGCCCCGCTCCTGTGCCCAGGTAAGTCCACTACGGGCTCACCATAGCCCGTGCTACTTGGAACTTTTTGTTCCCAGTAGCTGAATCTTAAACAACAATAACGTTGCAAACAATACAAAAATAAAACCTTTTTACGTCGAGTAGAATGTTCATATTCGTAAATTTTGTGTGAATGTTTAAACTATGAGGATACAAACTATTAGATACAAGACGAAATTGGGGTCTCTTTGAGATGTATTTTTTCTTGTCTCAATAAACATACTTGAACTTGAAGACGAAATTTATTTCTATGGGTATCGACACTTCCAGTTTGTAAAACAACGTAGATTTTCCTTTCAGTGTTTTCCAAATTTCCTTGAACGTGAATGTATTAGAATATACTGAACTAAATTTCCATTGCTTACGAAGGATGTGTTTTTATTATCCTTTTGTTCCATAAGTTAATTCAAGAGACCTAATACTGCCCGAAACGCTTTGCGTAATAGTGGCTTTAGGCATTGTATGTACTAGCTCTATCTATTAATCCAACAAACTTTGTAAAATCTCTTGTATGTATGTACCTTACCTAAATAAACATTTATTTATTTATTTATTTATTTATAGTTATGCCAATACATTAATAACTAAATTGTTTTATAAAATTATTTAGTTCTAACACATTTTCTACGCAATAAATATGGTATTTTGGAGGGTATATTTTTAATACTAATTGATATTCACCTCATAAATAGAAAAGATGAGGTAATCAGACTTAGAACATTACTGAAGCCACAACTTTCCGGCTAGTTCCTGTAGATATTTGTCCTCATTTTTGGTGAGACATTCAGTAATATATCCGACACAAGCACGATAATCCTTTCTTAATAATCAAGTGCACAAGAGATTGCATTACATTACATCCATGATAATATATTCCAACAAGCCAGACAACGTGTGTTAACTGTTCCTTAACCACCACTAACCATAGCACATTTCAAGCAGCAGTAGTAGACCACGATGAAGGAAGTCAGAATGACTTAGAATTCTAGTGAGTGAGATATAGAGTAAATACCGTCGGCTCCTACCCCCACCACTGCCAGAGAGAGACTGAGGAGGAGGAGCCCGGACCGCCTCTCTCATCATAGCCTAGCTCAACTTTACTAGATACAGTCATTTCCTCTCCTTTACCTACCACTAGTGTGCTGATAACTTATCTCTATGACGATAAGCTCACGACTCACAACATGCTTAATTAATAGGTGTCGTTGTTCTCACGTCTGCAGACCAGGTAGCTAGCCGAGTTGTTGATAGAAAAACGGTGAAAAAGTTGATCCCCTCTCTCATGATAATTGCTGTAACTCTTATTCTTATGTTTTATATGAATACTTTGTCTTGCCTGACTTAAGAAACTAAATACTCTGTTTAAGACATTTGTTTGATACGATTTAAAATTGTGTTAATTGCTCGAATCACAGGAGTTATCTGTCTCACTCAATTGCATCCTAGGCTGCTTATCTTAAACACGTGTTATCTGTCGTAACTATTTGTTTAATCTATCTTAATCACTTGAATGTCGTGTTAGCCACTCTCATTGCTTCTTATTTATTTAGCTTTCGGTTTTAACCATTCGTTTTCATAAACATCTGTATTATCCGAATTTCTTGTACCATTTACCTTAATCAGAAGTATTGCTTGTCTTAATTACTTGTATTAATCACCAATAATTTCCTTTCTTAAGTAGATCTTGTATTGATCACCTGTATTATATGCCCTAATCACCTGTATTATACGTCTCTTAACCACCTGTATTTTACATGTTTTAATCACCTGCATTACATCTCTTAATTATTATATACCTTAATTACCTGTCTTAAACAATATTACTTGTTAATAACTTATATTACCGAGCCACAGTTCATCTTTCGCGCCCTCTTAACTAACACTTTAGTGGCCTCGACGAGGACAGGAAGCCGGCAACTTGTCAAAGGTCTCCTCCATTTGTCCTGATAATTAGTTCAAGCAAGAGTTTAAAGTTCAGAAGAGATTTGGCATTTACAGCTTCGGCGGGTAGGCAGTTCCATTAGTTTATAACCTTGTGGGGGAAAAAAGCATATCCTGTTTTTAGTCCTACACTGTGGCTTGTTTAGCTTGAAACCTATGCAACTTGTTTAATAAAATATTACGAAACCCGGCCAGTTATTCTAAGGTTCACGTCGAATATAGCTTGCAAGATCCGGATTCCAAAATATTCGTCGATTCAATTCACCTCGTGAGTCAAGGATGCAGGGGCGCATTAATACATAACCTCATTTGTGATACTAAGAAATGTAGACATATTTGATAATTTGGTTTAAATTTGTTAAAGCAGACTGTGTAAATATTATACAGAAATAAAACTACATGGTAAATACTGTATGTAATGATGGTGATAGTAAAAGGAGGACATTAATTTCCGAAGGCATAAGGTAGAATGTCATTAGATTTGTTAAGTTAGAGATAGGCCTATGGTCTATCTCTAATTCCTACGACGGCGCTGGAACCAATCGTATTGACGTTTGCCTTTCCATTGGAGACTTTCGGCGCCGTGGACGGGGGGGGGGGGGGGGGGGAGTTGCTGCTTGGGTAACAGCTTCTCTCCCTTATCACTCTACCCTGGCTTTGCGCCCTGGAGAGGTCACTCCAGACCGACAACCAGAGCGCAACTCCATAGTCTCCTGAGACTGATGGATGCCTACTACTACTATGGTTCTTACAGTGTTCGACCTGTGCTCACCTAACGAACCAATCCCTGGCACCACTTACCTTAATGCTTACGTGTACCGAATATTACAGTAATTTATTAAATGTAATATTAACATAATGACGGTGACTGTCCCCTCTAGGCATTGTAAACTATTCAGATACATCATTCAGTATGTTTTATGGCTTAAAACAAGTACTCAATAAGCGCTGCTAAGCTAGGTTGAGGAAAACGACCAGTATAGGCACGCCACCTGCGCTAAGATTTCCCCGAAAGTTCCTAGCGTCTTATTGATCAATTCCGGAAGGGAAGTCCTCTTGGGCTTGCGCATGTCAGGCCAGACCAAGCTGCCGGGCAAGACCAAGCTGCCAAGCAAGACCAAGCTGCTAGGCAAGACCAAGCTGCCGGGCAAGCAGATATACTTATTCCGTGATTCATTTAACAACAACAACAACAACTTTCTTTGTTTACCTTTCAACTGCAGATATCCTCTGCCCACCAGAATTGGTTGACTACATTATATAACGGTAATCTGTATCTATGTTTTTACAGACTTTGTGTATGCGAGATAGAAGCCAATAAGGTTGATTTTGGTCTAACACGCCCATGCACTAATGCATTTGTGAGCCCATTATAGGTATGTTTGGCCAAACCACACACTAGAAGGTGAAGGGACGACGACGTTTCGGTCCGTCCTGGACCATTCTCAAGTCGATTGTGATAGGTATCTCGACTTTAACCTTTTCCATTACCGCCCATAGGAAGATATGAGGTGCATAATAAATTAGCAAAAATCAATCAACTTAACATGTTTTGTTAACAAGCCTAGTTAAGTACTGGTGCTGGGGAGACAACCTATAGGATGTGAGGATAGGTCTTTAGAAAACATTTAATTGCATACCAAATTATAATGAGAGATAATAGGTATTTCTTAACATTAACTTTATATAACTTGTGTTGCTCAATGAGTTTATTTCATTATTGATTTAGTTTGATATTTTTGGTCCCTTTATTATGTGTTCATAGCCTGAGTCGGACTCTGCAAATGTCAGCTACTTATTGCTTGTGTAATATATCACTATGAAAAGTTTCAAGCCTGAGTATACAGTATATTATACTGCAACAGTATACTGCAGTATAATTTTGTATATGTGGAGACAACAAATCAACAGTAAGGTAAATATATGCGTGATTAGCCTACTATTAGATTTGAACAATATATTGTATATGTTGCCTGAAACAAATTGTTGTACGATGGTAATTTTGTTTTTAATGATTAGCTTGCTTGTTGAATCCCATACATAGGTATTATGAGTGAGCTATGGATAGATAGGTGAATAATATATAGTTTAAGAAGAGTAGAGGGATGCTCTCGGACGCAGGTTCGAATCCTCGTCACGGCCCTTGTGGATTTGTTCAAGAGCAGAGGGACATAACATCGAGCATTCGACTGTATGCCAACTTTTTCGGTATATCTGTATGATGTCTTGTGAGTATATCATCTATTATATAAAAATAAAGTACTCAAGGCTATACAGTATATCATTTATTATACAACAAAATCATAAAATTACTAGATAAAAATGGTTAGTCATGATATCAAACAACATTTTCTATATACTGCTTGATTAAACTGTTGTACAGCTGCATGTTTAGCACCTGTTCCTGTTCCAAATATAGTAATATAGCGCTCAGGTATCTTTATACAACCTGGCCAATTTAAATGAAAGAAAAACAAAATATTATTTTACACAATTGACGCTAAACTATTGGCTACAGACAATTTTATTATATTTTAATAACATTTTTATTATATTTTACTAAGCTAAGATGGCTTGCATGACACCGCTGACTGAACGCCTTACTGATCAAATATATATCATAAGGTACAAGATGAATTAGACTAGTAACACTTGTGTGTTGGGAGTGAGATAACCCCACGCCGAAACCACATAATTTAAGGGTTTCGAAATATGCCCGAAACGCTATGTGTACTAATGGCTTTACAAGAATGAAAAACAACTTAATTTCTATGTTCTCTGTTAACCCCCCAATGTACCTTCTTATATATAAATAAATAAATAAATAACAAATGTGTTTGAATAGGGTGTGTGTGTGTGAGTGCGCGCTGCCAGACGGGCGAGCAGCGGCAGGAGAGAGAGCTAAGATCCTCCTGGCAGTACAAGGCCGCAGTTGCCATGGGGCCCATCTTGCTGTAGTTACCGGACGTATTTTTCACCCAGTGCTAAGCTTCGCCTGGTGGGGGAAATTGAATGTAAGTTGTACAGAAACAGAGCCCAGAAAAGGAGCAAGGTGTCGAGAGTACGAAGTGCTAGTACCAGTGGGTCCCGAATACCCATTACACCCATGCAATGTATTAGCTGCGTAATAATAGGTCCTGCGGCTGGGGAATTGCAGTACACATTACATGGTTTTCTTCCCCACGATTTATGTGTGATATCTTATCTTTATGCATTGATATGAAGTTTTCTACATGTGCGATTATATATGAAATTAGGCAATAGGCTTCCTTATATTTTTAGGTTTTATATACGATTTATAATTTTGTCGGAAGGTTTTCGCCTGTATAACATAGTTAAAACAACGACAATTATTCTCCAGACAAGTCCTATGAAGCAATACTTGGGGATGTGTTGCATACTCAGTGTCAGTTCTGGTTGGTAAATTTTGTCTAGGGAAAACTGTTGACAAGCCTTACGTCACAAGGTAACTGAATGTGAATAAATTCAAGAGTTAGAAACAATTCTATTACAATGTTCAAGAAATGTCCGTGTACTGTATCTAGGATGATATATCCAAAATCCTAGCCAAGTATCCTAATTAGTCTGCCTTTTGTATGCACACACTGCAAGGTTACACTTCTTGCAAGTCTTAATTCCGTATCTCATGGGGACCGTAACCTTCCCTACAGTACTCGTATTAGATCGCTACTAATGATCCAATTAAGAGTACTGTATATAGGTATAATTAAGCACAAATATAAACTCACTGTATACGCTTGCCAAAAGTATTAATAACTGTATCTTGTAAATAAATATATGATCACTTTATTAGCGCCAATATTTAACGTAACGCTCCACATCATGTGTTGATGTGCAGTTTGGTCATTGATGTGAGGTAATACTCACCATTCTCCCTGCCACAGCCAACGACATTAATGCATTCATAAATCTATGTATTTACGTTTGTAGCTTAGCCTAACATTTTAAAAGCACTACGATCACCTGTGGTTGTTCAATAAATCTCTGAACTGTATGTTTGACAAATCTTTCACCCTGTCCATGGAGGACAGAAGAAAATGTATATGTGCTAGTTAGCATTGTAAATGTGTGGCCACGTCTGTGGTAGAAAATAATAATAATACAGCCACCGATGTAGCTTACTATTCTCACCTGACGATGTTTATACCATAAGGACACTGGTATGTTGATAGGGACACTGAGACGGGTCTCGGTGCCAGTTGGCTCCTACTCCTGCAGTGTTTACATACAATACGTGACGTCATACAGCCTTGACATCATACATGTTTATAATATTCATTTTGGGAGTCAACGTTCTTTTAAGACGAGTGTACAAAATCATTTGTGAATGAAGAGCCATATCGGGGGTTCTAGCTTTGAAGTTTATATTTGTTGTCATATCAACATAATTTTAGTAAGGTTGATATGAATGAACATTATAAATGTCGATATATTTATTCCCATTGTTGGGGACAGGAAGCTTGTTCTTAGGTTTATCGAGATCCCTCTAAGCCTAGGGCATAGGCCAATTATTCTGATCTTCCCTACGATGCATCCCACAACATTGGCCCAACTCCTGGATACCCATTTTTACTGTAGGTGAAAAGAAACGTGCCCAACCTTTTCTGTCCTCGGGAGATTAAACCCGGGTCTCATGATTGTGGACCGAAGGCGTAGACCACTGTACCGTTAATACTAACTCTGCCAAATGTACTTGTGGTCGGTCTTGAACCCATTGTTGATGTGACGATGTCCATTGAATTTTGTAACTAGCTCATCAAAACTGTAACTTGCTTAGCTAAATGAATTATGGGGTTCAATCCCTGAGCTCATTATGTCTCTATAACCCTTTTCACTACCGCCCACAAGATGGATATGGAGTGCATAATAAATGGACTAAACTAAACTCAGCCAAATGTACAGTCTGACACCCATCATGAGTGATAAAATGCTTGAGCTGATCTTCGTGAATATATTTATATAAATAAATTATTCTTGCGTTGTCACTGGAGAAACGGTGCGCATAAGCTGGAGAGTGGCGTCTGCTGCTGAACACACACGAGTTGTGTATGAGTAAATATGGTACACACATATGTTGCCGTAGCCTAACACTGGAAAAATCCGGGATGTCAGCCTTGTGCCGATTCACTAGTGGCGCAGGGAGACGACGACGGTGATTGGAGCAGCGCGGCACAAGTGCTGGCTGCCGGATGATGACAATGCTTATGTCAGTTACTACTGGCTCTTTATACCTCGCCCACTGGCCTTGTATACCTGCTGTATTATACTTTCTACAATTCGAACTATCCTGACGTTTGATTTCTTTGTCGATTCTGGTCTTAAAGTTGTGGATGGAGGTGGATTCAAACTTTACTTTCAGTACATTCCACTTGTTGATCACTTGACTTGTACATGGTGTGAGCATGAGCTACCATGCTGATACTGACCACGAGGATCGGTAAAAGTATAAACAGTGTATTTGTGTTGCTAATAAAGCTTAACTGAATCTAATGTCCCTGTGGCGTAGTGGTAAGATACTCGCCTGGCGTTTCGCAAGCCCTTTGGCCTGGGTTCCTGGCCGGGGAAGATTTACTGGGCGCCAATCCTTAACTAGCCTCAGTTTACCCAACAGTAAAATGGGTACTTCGTTATTAAACGATTTGGTGGGTCGTATTCCGGGGAATATTAGGATTAAAGATTTGCCCGAAACTCTGTGCGTGTACAAGAATTTAAGAAACCTTGTATATATAAATAAATTAATAAAATAAATAAATGTAATCATCCTAGGCCCAATAAACGCTATCTGTTTGAATAAATATGTTTTCAGATTTATTCAAACACTGGCTAGTGTAAAACTGAACAGTGTTACGTCTCTCCATTCCGGGCTGATTCCATACTTAAACTCAGAGAAGTATTTACAGGCGGCGAGGCCAGTATGCCCGCACAGCTTTTCTAGGGAAAGTAGGAAAATTTCTTGACATATAAATATTTCCTGGAAGGCCAGCTCCAGCAGTTGATCATACCAGTTGATGGGTATCGGCTTCAACAGGCGCGTTTTCTAGGCATGAGGCTATGACAGAGAGCGAATATGACATGAGAGCAAACAGAGAGCGAATACACTATAAGGAACAGTGAGAGGATACATAGTTATAAAGAGATGACGTAGTAAGGGGCAGAGTGGATACATAATAAGGGACAGTTAGGAAGAGGATACACAGTTGTGGAAGTTTTGGGTGTTGGGGTGAGAGCAAGTATTCCACGTGAGGTAGTGGTGAAGAGGGCGAGAGAGGGGGGAATCTCGGGGGGATAGAGGGAGGTGGGGGGTAAAGAGACACACCTGCAGTGAATGATTAGAATGGGGGAGTAACCCATGAGGTGTGAAGAAGGGAAGGGCGGTAACAAAGTCGTTATGGCGTCCAAATATTTTTATCTGTAAAGATAAACAAATGTAAATACTAAAGAATATGATCTAAAAAACATATATAATAAGGCTCTAAATGCACAGTCGTCCGAAATTATGTCGATATATATATACAAGCATTACAAATTATTAATGAATGTTATTAACATGCCTTCAGACAAATTTAATGTGGCGCCAGAGGTTTATAGGTGTGGCGCCAGATGATTATCGATATGATGCTAAATGATTATTGGTGTGGTTCCAAAGGTTAATTGATATAGTGCTTGAGGATTATAGGACTGCTGCCAGATGTTTATCGATGTAGCGTCAAAGGATTATCAGAGTGGCGCCACAAGATTATCATTGTGGGGGAATTATCAGTGTGGCACTAGAGAATTATCGGTGTGGCACCATAGAATTATCAGTATGGCGCCAGAGGCCTATTGGTGTGGTGCCAGAGAGTTATCGGTGTGGCGACAGAGGCTTATCAATGACGTGCCGGAAGATTATCGTAGAACGCTAAATGATTATATTGGTGTGATGCCATATTATCAGTATGGCGCCAGAAAGATTATTGGTGTAACACCAGATGATTATCGGTGCGGCGCCCTATGATTTTAGTGTGGGACCACAATTAGGTTCTAGAATCATGTTGATACATTTTTTTAATGATATACTAATATTTCATTATAACGTCAGTAGACTGTAGCGCGATGCTGAGATCACCATAGCGACGTGTTGTACGTGAAGGTTAAATCAATGATCCTTCAGAGGACAATCGTTTGAACGTGTGTGTGCTTAGCTTACTCTTTTTCACTACCTTCCTACCAGTGGGGAGTGTTAATTTACACTCGTTAGTCTAAGCTTAAATTGCTTATTCACAGAAAATAATTGACATATATTGCATTTATATAATGCATTTTATTACATATATTAAAAGACTTTTGTCTTCAGTGCTCATCTTTTCCCTTCAAAGCGACTGGTTTTGCTCTAGTCTAGTTATTCCTAACGAAAAAAGCTGGTAGAAAAAACTAGTAAATAAATAATTCCTTATTTTCACAATTGTGAGCTGGGTATCAAAATTTCAGCCACGTGACTGTGACTTATTGTCTGCAATTAATAGAAGGACACAATTTGTTATGGGTCTTTGTTATGGATGTATATTCGTTTTCTTTTATGTTGACGTAATGGGTGCGTCGGGGGGCTGCGCTCCCTACCTCAGTGCTGAGCCAACACTCGTGGTGGGTGGATTATAGCTCTCTGTGCTCCTTTTACCTGCAAGCATTTCTTTGGTAATTCCCTGCGTGAAGAGTGTGATGCTACTCTTTAGCATCATTATTAGCCTTCTGTATAGTCAAGTTGAACGTGGAGGTTCGGATTTATACAATTAGGTAAATTGGTTCCCCCAGGAAAAGACTGAAGCCGTCGCCAGCTTGAGCGTTGTGACACGGGTGACGTCACGTCCCTCTGTTTACATTATTTGTGTTGGGGGGGGGGGGGAGGGGCTGCATTCCTGACGTGTGCACGGTGGGCCGCACGGCTGTCATATGCACGGTGGGCCGCACGGCTGTCATGCACGATGAGCCACACGGCTGTCATGCACGATGGGCCGCACGGCTGTCATGCACGATGGGCCGCACGGCTGTCATGCACGATGGGCCGCACGGCTGTCATGCACGATGGGCCGCACGGCTGTCATGCACGATGAGCCACACGGCTGTCATGCACGATGGGCCGCACGGCTGTCATGCACGATGGGCCGCACGGCTGTCATGCACGATGGGCCGCACGGCTGTCATGCACGGTGGGCCGCACGGCTGTCAAGCACGGTGGCCGCACGACTGTCATATGCACGGGGGGACCGCGCGACTGTCATATGCATGGGGGGCCGCACGACTGTCATGCATTGGGGGGGGGCGCCTGTCTGAAAGGTTTTGTAATTCAAAGAATAAAACTATATACAAAAAATATTCCATTTATGTATGAGAGACAATCAAATTAGGATATTAAATGATAATATTGAAGATGTAATTTCAAGTAAATAGGTATCCAAGTGCAACTCTGAACAACAAACATCAAAGAAATGACACACTTTGAACAAATGACACTACACTTTGTGTAGTGTAGTGTGACACACTTTATTGTAAAGTGTAACCAAAGACACTAACCAATATAAGTCCTTATTTGAATATGACTGCATTTTTTTGTATTTATTTTCTTGTTTAGGGCTTCTATCCCTCTGACTCGTGCTCTTGCATCTTGGCTTAATTGGAAGAGGATTTATCCAAATGTCATCTTGTTCGAGGTAAACTAAAATAAATAACTGAAGAATGCATTACACCTATTATAAATTGGCACAACGTTTTGAACCTACATGGTTCATTCTCAAGTGATGGGACTTTTTGTCGTTTTAGATTTGGCAACTCTGAACAAAAACTTCAAAGTAGCACGGGCTATGGCGAGCCCGTAGTAGACTTACCTGGCACGGGAGCAGGGTTGTAACTGCGTGGAATTGTACTGGGCATATTGGATTTATACTATTAGGAAGGTCAGGTAAATAATGCAAACAGGTGAGGAGTACAGCGTAAAGGAGGGATGAATAAGACATAAATAAGGGACGTAAATGGGGACAAATAAAGTGGAAAAAAGGGAGGAAGCACATAAAGATTAATCAGGTGTAGTGGGCATGGCGTTTTGAGTAGTGTCGTCTACGGTGGCATCTTCACGTCCCGGTCTTGTTCTTACTCTCGCGGTGGGTAGAGTGAATAGTTCCGTTACTTCGGTATTTATGGTGGGTTCTACGTTTATGTAGATTGCTTTAAGAATTTGTAATCGGCTTACATCTTGGTTTTGTCTTTTATACAAGTGTTTTTATTCAACATTTCTCCTGTTAGGGTAATGTCATGGGCTTGTCTCGTGTGATTTTTCGGGGCACCTGATAGAAGATGACAGGTCAAACGCCTCGTGAGCTTGGTCGACGTTGCGTCGACGAACATCCACCTACGCGCTGGGTGTTCCAGAATTACTGACGACAAAGCCAGAGTGCATGGAGGGAATTGTGTGAAGCCTAAACCCTGGTTCGGTTTCAGTGGAAGCCTCGAGGTTGCAGTAGTATCCCAGGTTGCAATTATTTGACCATGTCGTGGCGTAGTCGACTAGAGCGTGCATCTGGGAACACCCAGCGCATAGGTTCGAACCTTCATCACCGCTCCTGTGGATTTTTCTCATTTGGGAGATTGTTATAATTTCCTTGGTTGATCGCCGATGGAAATATTTTATGAGCTAGATGTGGGTACCAGGGTTGTCTCTTCTCCAACACACACCCTCCCCATCTCCCCCAACACACCCTCTCAGCTTTTGCGAACATGCACGCCTCCCACACAGGCCGACATTGACCCCCATGACACTTTCCATAGACTTGCCAGTAATCCTGCAAATTTTAGTGAGACTAACCACATTAAAAAAAAAATAATTTTCTTCAAAATTAAATTAACATTATTGTATATGACCATACTGCACATATTTAGGCATAGATTAGGTTCTGTTGGCGATTATTTGTATTTGTAGAACGTGAAACATATACAGCGTTGTGGTTCGAACACAATTTGTCAGTGAAGCACTTGTTCCGGAAGTGTTCGGACGTCATCAGTTGAGTCGTGTGTAAACCGTTTTTCATTTATAAACAGCGGGTTTGGTGGGTGCATGGAATCACTTTTGGATCTTTGTTTGGAGAACGGGCTGACGACTCGCAACTGATTTCATGCGAACGCTTCCGGAATAAGTGCTTCACTGACGAATTTTGTTCGAACCACAACGCTATAAATGCTTCACCCACGTACCACAAATACAAATAATCGCCAACAGAATCTAAACACCACACCTAACCAATGTCTAAATATGCACAATATGCTAACATATAACAATATTAATTTACATTTGAGAACATTCCTATTTTGAACGAACAGCATGTTAAAATTGATAAATGCGTCTTTGGGGGTCGACCGCTGGATGGAATGGACTTGTTCTGAGGACGGGTTGAAATGCACAGGGAGGAAGGTGTTAGAGGGAAGGGAAGGGAAGGGAGAGATGTGGGTGGTGGGGGCAGGCGGTAGGGAAGGAAGAAGGCCGGCGGGGAGGGAGTGAGTGAGCATATGAGTCATGATCATTGATCTCGGGAGATTTTGTCTAATTTTTACTTTCCTAGCGCTGCTTGCACCTTTCCCCCTCTCCCCCTCTGCCCCACAACCCCCACACCTTTCCTAACTCGCCTGTGTGCACTCGCCTATATGTGTTGGCAAGACCAGCAGCTCTAGTTCCTGGACCCTGCCTTTCAGTTGCTGGTTGTCTATTTCAGTGGCTTCTAACCTTGTTTATCATATCATTTGAGTTTCTAGTTTCCACCCATATCCTCTCTTCGTGGCCAGAATCATGTTAAAGGTTCTTTCTCCCATCTGAAAATTACAGAATAATTACAGAGCTGCAGTAAAAAAAAAAAAAAAACTAGCAATAGTAAAACGAATCTTTGACTTCGTGAAAAAGAAGGTAAACTTGGATTATTGTATCCAAGCAGAGAGTTAAAAAAAATCATTCTAGTACTCCGTCAACTCATATGGAACGGTTGAGGGCCACAGCAAACCAAACATGATAGAACTAATCTCGCCGAAACTTTTAAAATACAGACACATTTGGAGGATATTGATCCATATCACTACTTTAAAAGGTCAGATGCAACACAATCAAGGAGCGAAGGTTTCAAGTTCAACAAGCCACAATGTAGGACAGAAAACATGTTTTTTCCACCCATAGTTTATAAAGCGATGGAACCGCCTACCCACCGAAGCTGTAAATGCCAAAACACTGCTGCAATTCAAGATCCAGCTCGATAAAATCACCAGGACAAATGGGGATGGGAACCTTTGACAAGCCCCTGGCTTCCTGTCCTATGTGAGGCCACTAGAGCGATTGTGGGCCACAGGTAAATTTTCAGGTATTTTGGGAATAGGACAGTTTGGATATTCATCTATTCAGATTCATCTTAACAGTATTATATTTTCGGCACACTAATGGAAAGGAGCCAATTTCACTATCCAGATAGAGGTAAATTATAGTCGGTTATAGTAATGTATAGTTTCAATAAAACAATAGTCTGCAGTCTACAGTGCTACAGTTGTGTATCTGATGTGATTAAAATATCCTGGTTTAGAATATTTGTAGCTTCTTGTAACAATTAGACCCAATGGAATTACACCACTGATCACAATAATGGTGTCCGTGGCAGAAATTGGTAAAGTGGAAATGTGATAGTAATGGTGGTAGTTTTTAACAAGCGGTGGTGTGTTTGTGACAATGATAGTGTTGTTAGGTAGTGGTGACTCCATTAATATGGTAGCTATGCTTCTGATCAGAGTTGCTGGCAGTATAGGTGATGCTACTTACAATTCGTTAACGGGGGCAGATATTCTGAACAGAATGTGAACACCTGTAAACATGAACAGGTATCTCCTTCCTGTTTGTTTATTTGTATTACCCCCTGTTTTCTTTTACTAGCTTTATAGGACTTTTAACTCCCAATTTTACTGCCAGTTCAGTCATAGGTAAGTGATTTTTTACTAGGTTTTATAATAAGTAGATTTGTACCAATTTACACATCCGTTTAAAATGTCAACATAATGAAGTCAAAATTTTGCAAACTGGGTATACAATACAATAAATAATGCCACAACCTTTATTATATTTTGCAATACATTGTAAGTTCTGCTGTCACCAGTACTAAACTTGCTCCAAGTGACTGTGATACTTGTTGTGGTATACTCATGTAATCCTACCACTATACTGTGCTCCAGGGCTGCCTTATTCATTTCAAACATACTGTACAATGTAGCAACCCCTCCAGGCGGGGTGAATCAAGACCCGGCCGCAGGTAAAATACTCACAAATTTAACCAGCTTTAGGGTGTGATTGACCCCTCCAAACTGGACAAAAGGAATAACTAGCATGTATACTTTTTTTTTTTATAACAACCCTTTCCCATGACAAAACCCCTGGCACTGCATGTTGACATTGTCAACATAACTAATGCCTTAGTTATTTGGAAAATATAATGCTGATAAACTGAATAGGTTTTGATTCATCTCTCTCTTTCTCAGAATGACAAGTTTTTCAAGACAGAAAACAGCTTTTCGGAGATCAGTGGTAAAGTGCTCAATTGTGCTAACAATGTGATGTAGAATAAGGTACGTCAGAACTAATAATTCACTTGGAAATGAGCGTTCTGTTGTGTATAATAACTGCAGTACACTACATTCACAATTTCTACCCTTCTAATTTGGAGATTTCTCCTATTAATTCTCTCAACCTTCCTCACCAGTATGTGTTCATTCTAGACAATCATCATCCCCTCCACTTAAGCTAACTCTGCAATTGGAATTCATCATCCTTGTTTCTTTGGTTAAAAAGTCACTTTGCTCAAAAAGGCTGTTAGAGTACAGTATAGGGATTTTCTTTTAATGGTATTCAGTCTTTCATTATACTATACCTTTCACTAGCATGATAGACTATTATAGCCAGGCTCATGTAAAATTTCCACGGCAGTATTTAGATTGTAAAGTACAGTACAGTATTTCGTAACACTGAGACCAAAATGAGCCATAATTTCCACCTGAAATTGCTACTGCTTGGTCGTATTCATTGCCACTACTGGTGCATTGCTTAAATGTACAGCATTTAATAATTACACATTATCACTCAACATGTCTGCTCATTTTCTTGGCCTTCCTCTTCTACTCTTTGCACAATTACAAAACCAGAAATTGGAGTTTCCTAACATATATTTAATTTGTTTTAGAACTTGACAATACTGTTTTCCCTTGCCAATGGATAAATAATTAGTTTTTCTTGGTAAAGGAGTACAGTACAATATAATTTTTCTTAAATTTCAGATAAGAGCTGATGTGGATTGAGGCATATTTCAAAAGCTTTGAGAATTAAGAGTCAAGAACTTAAAATTACAGCTTTACAAGACTTGTGTTAAAGTTATGGCAAATACAGTATTCAAGATGCCTGGAGGTGTTGGATATCAATCCTGTATTGATATTATTGAGATTTTGGAATGGAATTCAAAGAAGGTTCATTGATTCTTTTTGTACAAATGCTGTAATTCAAGAATTGCAGTAATTCAAGAAGTGCTGAAGTATTAGTATTATACTGCAAAATACATTTATTCTTAAATTTTTGTTCAAGCTATACAGACAGACATGTCGGCAAACAATTTGAAGTGCTTTCATTGTCCAGACTGCAGTAAAGAATTTAGCAAAGAGAAAACATTAATAAAACATTTTAAAGTGCACAGTTCAGGAAAGTCTTATCGATGTAAAATGTGTTATAGTGTATATCCAAGTAAGAGACAATACAATGAACATAAAAAGACACATTTAGAAAATGAATACAGTACTTGTAGTGAATGTGAAAAACAAGTTCTCAAAACATCACTATCTAGAAAATGCTGTGATGAATGCAATTTGAAACCTAAAAAGTATTTGTGTGAAAAATGTGGTAAAGCATATGATTCTCTAATGGGGGTGAGATTTCACATACAAAAGGGTAAGCACTCTACTTTATTCTCACAGTGCTTTAGCTGTGGCTTGACATTCCAGTCAAACATGGCACTATTTTTTCATCTGACTCAGCATCCGGATTTTAATATTAGAATAGTTGAGGCATCTGAAGAAAATGTTGAATATAGTGGCTCAAAATCAGGAAATCTGGAGATTGGTAACAGATCATTGCATCTGAAGCTGACTAAACCATCAAAGATGACATACCCAAGCCAGGAAGAGGAAAATGGGAAAACTAATAATAAAAGTTCAACACAAGCTAGCATGAGCAGAGATATGACACTGCAGCCGCCTATGATACTGGCAGATAAAACAGAAGAGATAATGAAAATGCCGAGTACAGTGGCACAACAAGGTGTGGAGTCAATAGATAGATTGTTAACACTAAACACAAAGGTGGGTCAAGAGAGGGCAGCTGGTGAACATTATATAAATTTGCAAGTTATGTCAAGGATGAATAATATGCTACCAGCAGAGAAAATGCAAGGAGTGCCCATTGAAGGAAATTCAGTGGGGCAGCAGGCTTTTGTACCAAATAATACAGCCTTTAGTTCATGTCATGTTACTCTACCACAAGAGAGAGTAGCTGGACAGGTGTCAGTACTGCAGGATAACAGTGCAGCACACACTTCAATCCCCTCATGGAATATGATTGGTCTGGATAATGCAATATCCCAGGAAAAGAAAGTTTTGGAGGATGAAACATTAATGATGAACAGTGACAAATGCAGGAGTTCCAAGCCAAGTGGCATACCACAAGAAATAAATTTGACACAATATGGGTTAACAAATTGGAAAAGGGAGTGGCAGCAAAATGGATTTATCCTGCAAGACAATTCGGCTCCTCTGCAGGTCTGTGACAGACCACAAAATAGCAAAGATACACGTGGAATATTAAATCAAGAAGAACGTTTAATATATGAAAAAATGTTTGGAAGCGAACTGAATATGGAGAGGAATAGTTCACTTGAACGGACATTCACACAAGTGCAAAACATAATCAAAGATCAAGCAGGAGTGCAAGATAAAATGACACTGCAACATGGCTGGACAAATGATTACTGTAATGCATTATTTAATGGTATGTATGCAGAAAAAGCACAATTACACCAAAGAATGAAAATGGGCAATACAGTAGCAGTAAAAGACAAAATTACAGAAGAACACTTCTTGTTGGATTTTGAAGTGAAAAAGAACAATGAACTTGGAATACACACTATTAAGGAAGGAGATATTAGAGAAAAGAATGAAGTGTTGCTTTTGAATGAAAAGGGTATTACAGAGGAGAATAGTATACAAAATAGGCACTCAAAACGAGGTAGTAAACAGCTGCAAAATGCCGCCGCATTCCGAGAGTTTGAACCAGACTATGATCAGGCAAGTTGGACTAAATCTACAGTACAAGCCGAGAATGGCTCACAAATGTACCACCACAAACTAACAAAAAATGCCCCATTAGAAGCCAATAAGATATTTAGCCAGAACATGAGACATGATTTACTTTTGGTAAGTGATATAAAAAATGAGACCTTGTTAATGTACAAATTATGGTTGGAACGTAAGAAGGGTGCAGCTAAGGATAGTGAAAGACAGGAAGAATGCAGCAATAATTTTTTGGAAATGCTAAACTTAGGTAGTGAAGAAAAACAGAAGTTGAAGTTAAACTCAAATCCTACTAAAAATTATTTAACCAATTCTCATAATTTTGATATTCGAAGTTCTTTTCATGTTGGAATACAGTGTGCAAACAATGAAAATTCAATTTTTAGCATGGCTGATAAAAATGTGTGTGATCAGTTTGGTGAAAAGTGGTCAACTATTCCTCTACAAAATTCTATTGTTACAGGTGGAGTTAATGTTGAAGATTATATTAACCACCTTATGTGGCACTAAATGTTAGTTTTTGCAAATTAATGTAATATAAATTCTTAATACAGGAGCCTAGCAAAGTTAAGAACAACCTTTTTTACCCTACTTTAAAGCATCTCACGATACGAAAGGAAATGAAGTATAAATCAATATACCAACAGCTAGTGTGCTTAATATATATAAACCGGTATTTAATTGTATGAACTCAATTCCACATTGTCTCCACGCATCTAATTTGGCATCTTTGCTAAAACTACTTCTTTATGGATAAGTAATCAGTCAGGATTATTGAGTTCCCTACAGATTCTACCACCTGAACTCTCCGTTAATTTATTGGGGCTATCAAAACTAACAAAACCTTGAGTTACCTTGAATGAAAAAGAAGCCTTGCCTCAGGCCAAGCTGTAAGTAGAATTGTTTACAAGAGCATAAGTCAAGAGTAAAAGAGATGAGGAGAAGATAAAGGCAAACAGGTTTCCAGTCTTAGCTCTGTAGCAGAGTTGTGGGGATTAACAGGCATTTTGCTTAGCAAAGAAACCCAAATGATAGTGTATAAGCTATGACCTGGTTTATGGGGCCATCTCTGGCTCAATCAAGTTGCTCTTCTATAAATTTATACTGCAGAACAAAGCCTATGGTCTGATTGCCTGAGCATTGTGGTAGTCATTAAATATAAAAAGAGGGTCTTGCAAGAGATGTACAAAAGTTGGGTTATATTAATTCAAAGTACAATCCTCTGGCATTCCATTAATTGTAAATGTTTACATACAAGTATGCACATGTTTAAAATAATAATAAATGTTAATATTTAGTTTACAAATCTGGTAACACAAAGTAGGTATTGTATAACATGACAGTATGTACAAATTTAGCTAAATATTGTGCCCTTGATTTCCTCACTTTATTTTTAATTTCAGGGGCATGTACAGTATGTGTAATTGCAATGAAGTACAAATTAGTTTTTAATTTCATATATAAACATACGAATCTTTTTGGTCTTTGACACATTTTTTCTAATGGTATTTGTTGGAAAATATGCAAAGAAAGAAAATGGCTGTCAGGCTTGAAGTATAGGTATATTCAAAGTTTCAGGTACTTTAGCAAAAACTGGGAAAAAAAATAAAATTATTCAGAAAGATGTAAAGTTAAGCCCACAGCTTGGTACAGTATTTATCTCTAGACATAAAATTCTTTTATTCAGTAGCATAAAATAGTGAGAGCGTTTGTATTCCACTATTACAGCAAGTTATTAATTTTAATGATTTGTTTGATAAATTCCTACAATATCAATTAAGGAAGTTACAGAAAATGGGTAGTGTTTATGGCAGTTTCCTGGCATAGTCATTTTATGCATAATTTTGATCATTCCTATTAATTTCCTAGGCCACAAACAGGAAAGGTATGCAACTGCAAATAAGGATTTACACCTTGGAAAAATACCCTTACAAGTTTACAATCATCATTTTAATGGAATTAAATTCACTAGTGTTGTAATTGTTTGTATTGATAACATATTAAAGGTAATTATGCAAGTACTGTACAGCAAGCATGTTAAACTGAGGGTCCCCCAAGGGCCATATGGGTCATATTTGTTGTTATAATGGCTACACATGACAACTAATTGAAGTCATTTAATGAAAATTATTGCAGAATATAGTATGCTTTGTATTACATAGTAATACGTAAAGTATTAGTGTCCTTTGTGCGGCCAGCAGGTGTGCTTGCAGAGGGCTGCATGCAGCCCGCATGTTTGACATGCCTGCTGTACAGTTCAGTACTTGTATAATTACCTGTAATAAACTGCAAGGCTTCCAACAAAGCCTTGCAGCTTTTACCATACAGTAAGAGCTCGGTAATCCAAATTTTGGTAATCCGAATAAACTTGAGTTTTAGTTTTCGAGTGCTTAACTTGTAAAAATTTGGATTACTAAGATTTCTGGTGAACAAAAACCCAAATAAATTCAAATTTTGTCATTTTGGTCTTTCCCGGTAAAAATTTGGCCAACTCGTTCATCTACAAAAATTGGATTATGATTTTATCATGGTATTAATGTTATCATTCATACCCTAACATTTCCAAAGATCTATGGGTTAATTAATTAATTTTAATTTGAACCTATTATTGGCACCTGTTAATTAATTTCTTAGTCCTATGTTTAATCAACCTAGACAGCAAGAATAGGCACCATGGAGGAAAAGAAGACAGGTAAAGAATCCAAAAATTTTTTTTTAATTTATTTACAGAAAACTATGAACTAGAGGGGAATGACATTGAGGCTGTAATAAAGGAAATTATATAAGGAAAGACTAACAATCAATGGGAATGAAACTATCCTATGAAAATATTTAGGTTCTTTTCAACATCAACAGAGCATATTTATAGTCAAGAAAACTAATTTTTGCTATTTCTACTCAGTTTAAACACTAGTTAAACACTTAAACATTATTTAGTAAGTAGCTATGAAAGTCTAGTCTTTAATCACTATGCTGACTCGAGCATGGTCCAGGCCTTTTATACAGATGTCTCGGCTATGGGGATTCCATTCGTGGGCTTTATGGAAGGGTCTATTGCTTTCTCTCTATTGAAAACGTCCATTTGTGGGTGCATGAAAAACCCTAACTATACCTGATTGTAACACTATCATATGATGAACCACTACTAGGAGAATCTGTCTGCAAAGAGATTATCACATCTAGCTAATTTCCCATGTCCAAGCCTAGAAATCTCATTAAAAAAAATAATTTTTCTCATACATATGTGAATGAAACATGCCGACTGAAAATAAACCATAGAATTCTATTTGAAATATGCTTAATGGCTTTCCCAAGACTCCAACTTTCTGCAAAAATAATTTTAAATGTGATTGGAGCCACAATAATTGTTACCATTTATACCATAATAGTTCTCTTCCTGCGAATTTATTTCAATTATCAAAATTTTAATTTCAACAGATCATAAAAATGGATAACTACCGCGGGAACCTAACTGCAAAGATATTTCACTCTCATTGCCAGTATTTCTCAGGATTCAACCCTTTAAATCTTATTTTTTAGAGGTTAAGACATAACCACAAATTGGTGTACTTAAGGGCCCAGTAACCTTCCCACAAGTCTGTGAACTCCAGCCCTGCCTTCTAAGCAAATCCACACATTACCCACCAGCAAACACTTGTTCAGGAAAGCGGGCGAGTAAACCCGGCTGGCAAAGTACGTGTTGCAACTGGAGATTTGCCAAAGTAAGGTTTGCCGAATCAAGGTTGCGGTACATATCTAGCTGAGCAGACAACACTCGGGAATCATAGTATAAAAACAGTAAATAAATCCCTGGGAGTTAGACACCTGCTATGGGGTGTATCCTGGGGTATGTGTGAGAAAATACATGTAGTAGATATGACAGGAAAATAGGTTGGAAGTCAGTACATTAGACAACTGATGGTTAGATGTGAAGGATGGGATCCAAGACCTAACAGCTTGATCCTGCAGGTACAAATAGATAATCCACACTAGTGTGTGCATGATATACACGCATACATATACATATATATACTGTATATACATACTGTCGATCTGGAGAGACCATTCCAGACTGACAACCAGAGCACAACTCCATAGTCTCCCGAGACTGATGGATGCCTACTACTACTGGGTATATATTTATATACTCCCTTGCCTCCTACCTTATGAATTCCCTATCAGGTGCCAAGGATTCCCGATGCATATTTGTGATGCTTTATATTCTTGCCCTGTATCACAAAAAGTTGGCAATCTGCAGCATAACTGATCAATAAAATGAGCATGAAAAATTTTGACAATGAAAATGGAAAAGTTTAAAAAGATAACAAATGGATTAGGATGAATTAGGACGAATGTACACTTTGGATGACTACCAGAAGTTGAGGTAACGATAAAGTAAAGATAAAATGCAGGTCAGAAAACTGACAAAATAGTAATGCTGCTACTGGTAAAATGCAGGTCAGAAAACTGACAAAATAGTAATGCTGCTACTGGTAAAATGCAGGTCAGAAAACTGACAAAATAGTAATGCTGCTACTGGTAAAATGCAGGTCAGAAAACTGACAAAATAGTAATGCTGTACTGGTATCGCATAAAATAACTTTTGTTGTTTAGATCATTGGGGGGGGGGGGGGCATGTGCACATTTAGCTAACATGGTTGGAACACTGCATTTAATTGAACAGCCCAAATAACTGTTGGGATCACACTAGCAAGCCAAATAAAAGAAAAACTAAAAGTTATACGCAAAATAAATTACTGAAGAGATTAATGAATAGGGGTAGGAGGATGTACTTTAATACTTTATAAGTTCCCTCTGTATGCATTACAAATATTCAGAAGGGAGGGTCGTACATAGAATACAACATATACATATGTATATATAACATTCTTACCAGTTTGGTGTGTTCAGACTTGTGCTCTGAAGCAATGTTTGCCGGTGCATGTAGCAGTGTTCATTTATGTGTGTGCTGTGGGCACTTTAAGGAAGATCTGCACCTTACTGTCAGAGCTGCCTTTTTCTGCAAACTTTTGCTCACCGTCTTATAGAATATCTTGATTTTCAGGATTGAGAATCTTTTTTTTTTTCCCCTATTGTTCCTTCGTCTTTGTGTTCTTGTAATGGAATCCTGAATGATAACTATGAGAAATATTCTGAACAACAAAGTGCTGTATAACCAACTGGCAAAGTGTTACTTTTTTGTTACTTTTATGTATGCCATGAGACACATGCTACCTTTGACAGAAATTATTGTTTATTGTATACCAAATGTGTTGTAAATGTTTTTTCTGAAAGAAATGTGCATAATAAATTGTACTTTTAAATATTATCCATTATAGGTGCACTTGTATCAAAGGAAATCAGAATTTTTCAGCAAGTCTAGTTCCAGAACAAAACTCAAGTGTCTTGAGGCAGCACAGCATGATCATGTCTTTTAAAACCATAGAATGAGAAAATTAGGAGACATGAGAAGGATTTGAACCTGCACACACCTTGAACTTCTAAACCACGATGTGCTACAAAAGTAATGTAACCTGGGACTCCACCGAATCCGCTAGGGTTCCCGAGGCATCCTCCTCATAGTTCCTACGGATTTTCTCATTGATTCAACGTGATAATGTGAATTCTTTGTATACTATAAACTACACTGTGATGCACATGGATTAAAAAACTACTGTGGTATATAGAAAAATTCAAACCTCTTCCAATGATATAAGCATTCCTTGGTCAGCCCTCTATCAAGAAAACCATCTCACTATATTGTATAATGTAGTTCCAGTTTAAAAAAAATTATCGTTGCACAGCATTTGTGGTATAATTTGATGTGAAAGCTTAAGTTTCTGATAATTTCCAACGAAGCTTTTTTTCATCGCAGAAAGTATTATCACAAATATTAGTTTGTGACAAAAGTGATGTGTAAATAAATAAAACTTGTAAAGTTTAGCACTTGTATTTTTTGTACATCTTTAATGTATTTTTTATAAAAACATTTTATTTTATTCTTATCTGTAAACTATTCTTGCAACTTTTCAACATGTAAATGATAATCACATTATCTATGAGGAAACTTGGAGCAATACCTATGATATCTTCTCAAAATATTTAGGACAGACAATATACTGTACTTGTATTTTTGGATATTTTTTTTTTTAACCTGGTAAATATAAACAAATTTAACTTCCTCACTGGCAATCAATCGGTAAATCAGACTTCCCAATATCCCACTCAATACCCTGTGTCCCTGTTTACATCCCACTCAATACCCTGTGTCCCTGTTTACATCCCACTCAATACCCTGTGTCCCTGTTTACATCCCACTCAATACCCTGTGTCCCTGTTTACATCCCACTCAATACCCTGTGTCCCTGTTTACATCCCACTCAATACCCTGTGTCCCTGTTTACATCCCACTCAATACCCTGTGTCCCTGTTTACATCCCACTCAATACCCTGTGTCCCTGTTTACATCCCACTCAATATAAAGTTAACAATCTTTATCATACATGCTAACTATGAGTAATATGACATAACATTGGGCTACACAGTTACATCAGTGGTACATTATGTAGACAGCAGTTGCAGTCTCGCTCCAAAAATTGTCCGCTTATACCAGTGTGTGTGTGTGTGTGATGTTTGTGCTACCTTATTTTGGTCATGTTACATGCTGCCATGATAATTAAAAATCATAGATTAATTAAAATTCAGTTAACCTCTATTCTGCAGATCCTTCATTGCAGTTAATGAATGTTCATTACAGTATTGCATATTGAGAATACAGAAGCTCACGAATTTCATAGTAATCGGAACTTAGCGGGCCTTCTAGGGATATGCTGCCAGAATCTTGCTGTTGGAAAGAAATTTTGATTTAATTAAATTTGTACAGTATATATAATGTCATACCTAACAGCCAAAGTTGCCTACCAAGTCTAAATTTGATAAAATACATTTATTTGAAGTTGCAGTGATAAGATACATTGTGTATTTTCAAACATAGTTTTGGTTAATTCACTGTGAAAGCTGATATCCTCTCCTTCACTGGCTAATAAATCATCATCCATATTTCATGTAAAAGAAAAAAATCTGAATGAACATGAAAAGTGTCTTTTTGAGCAAGACATTCAGATGCTCCCTCAGACAAGATCACTAAAGGCATCATTAGCAGCCTGTCCAGGCTCTTTAAAGTGCCAGCCGGCCCCAAAACATATTCATCAATTTTAATATGCTGTATATTAAAAATGGGTTTGTTCTAATATGCAAGTTATTTATTAAAGTTCTATGTATAATTAGGTGTAGGTTTGGCTAGGTTAGGTGTTTAGGTTCTCTTGGCAAACACTGTACTTGAAGTACATGGACGAAGCGTTTATGGAGTTGTGATTCAAACGGAGGTCAGCGAAGCAATGCTAGAGAAATGTTCAAGTGTCATCAGTCGCAAATCATGTGTAAACCTTTTCTCATTCATTAACAGGAAGTTTGGCAGCTGCATTAATAAGCATTTGACCTTTGTTGATGAGGGTGGGCTGATCGTTAGACAGGAAAGGGGGGGAAGGGTTTGATTACAGCCCTTCCAGGCCTGAGGACTACTTATATTCAATTCTAAAAAGAATGAATACCCTGTCCAACTTTTAAGAAAAGGGCAAGGGTAGTCTATGACCAAACAAAAATCACACAAGTATGATCACAAAAGGTCATGCATCAGAGAGAAAGGGGAAACAAACTGCTCGCTTGTACATGAAACTAACCAGATTTTCCCGAGATACTTTATCAGGGTAAATGTTTAGTATTGGAGCAAAGCACCATGGAACCACAAATGTATAAACTGCTTTAGCATGTCTGCAACCTTAGACCACTGCTCAATGAAACCTAGATTTCTAAATATGTAAACAACACACTCGACTGAATCTGGACTTGCGCCTATCCCACTTATCAAGCGGATGAGTCACGTAGCAATGTGCCGAGACCCAATGCAGAGTGCCCTAGAATGGTGTGAGTGCTGTTATCTGGTGGTTAGCCATATTGAAGGTAGCTATGTGCAAAACTGGTGCTTTGTATACAAGTGATTAAATTTTCTACAGTTGGGCTGGGCTGAATTATTCTCCAGTGACTCCCTAGCACCAGTATGGCATGATAGAGATGTTTGAAAAGATTCCTGTTGCACAAAAGCAAAATATCACTCTGCCAAGATGTTATCCTGTCCAATGGGCCCTTTGGTGATCCTGCCTTGGAAAGCATCCATAAATAATGGATAAAAAAAAGTGGAGACATAAAAGAAAAAATTAAGGTGTGTGTTGAGAGTGCAGAATGGTGCAGCTGTAATTAGTTGTGGTAATCCTTCTTTTCAAACCCCATAAGAAGGTTTAAGCACTTAACCCTATTTATTTAGATAAGAATTGTAATAATGGATGAAGACATTCAAAGTGTAGCTTTTACTGAAAGAGGACTTTAGCAAGATAGAAAATGGATGAACAGCATAATAAGGTATTGTATCTGAGAAGAAACATGACCCAAGAGCTGATTAATAATAATGTTTACTTACTTTTTTGAGAGCCAAGGTGCCATTAGCGCACCACAGAATACCAGCATTAAATTCTGAATTTATTCCTGCTCGACTAAGAACCTGCTTGAATTCACTCAGCCGAATATCATTGATGAAGACCGGACAATGAGGGGGTGCCTGGTGGGGAAACAAAACAAAATTGTAATGAAACACCAATTTCTGGGTAAGCCCCGGCCGCTCCCTAAAGCTACTATACTGATCAAGTGCCAACCCACTCAGTGCCATCGGTCATAGAGTTCTTATTGGCCTACCAAGGACCATGAGCCAGAACCTGACCCCCCCCCCCACCCTCAGAGAGGTGCAGGGAGCAAGGCTCTATAAACAAAAATTATTTGTAAATTTATTCATGTTAGCCGCGACCAAGGAAAGACAGTCAGAAAGTCAGTAAAACAAAACAGACAACACTGCTTGGTTAAAAACAAGAATTTTCTTTAGAGTAATGGCAATATTAATAGTAAAAAAAAAAAAAAATTATTCTCTTCTGGGAACCATACTGCCCTTTAAGTTCACTGTTCACTCCTATTGTAGCATGTCAAAATAAATATAAAAGTAGCCATTAATTTTACCTGTTCTTTTGGGACCAAATTGAGCACTGCCATTTCACTATCGCGCTGATTTTCACTGGAGATAACTGCAATACAAATATTTTGGTAGTGGATTAGCAAGATTAATTTACACAAATTATTATAAGTGGTCGCAATTGGCCCAACTCACAATTGTCAATCTCTCTTTAGAATTATTCTTCAACATCTGTAAGTAAGACGGATCAATTTATATGGATTTATATGTCAGTAGTTCAACCTGCAATTGAACCTTGATATAAGCTTAAAGTATATGTATATACACAGGCTTCCCATCTCTGACAATGGGAACTTATTATTACGTTCTCACTAAAAGCTACATGCTTCCACATCCCATGGGAGGGGTTTAATAGTTTAGTCACAATAACGTGGCTAAAGTATATTGACCAGACCACACACTAGAAGGTGAAGGGACGACGACGTTTCGGTCCGTCCTGGACCATTCTCAAGTCGATTGTCGACTTGAGAATGGTCCAGGACGGACCGAATCGTCGTCATCCCTTCACCTTCTAGTGTGTGGTCTGGTCAACATTACTGAATCTGACCATCAGAAAAAATATTTATCTCCTTGAACACAAATACTTGGCCAGAGACAAACCTTGTCTGTCAGCCCCTTCTATTGTTTCATCAGTGATTTCTGCCGGGAAAGAAACACAGCCATCTACCCAGGCTACCTCCATGTCACGCCCTGCAGGCAGCAGCATAAGTGATGAAACCAATGATTCTGCAAGCTTGATCTGAAGAGGAAGTAAAGTATTCAATTAAATAAGGCCCACAGTGACAACATATCAACCCAAGAAGCAGTGAGTGCATACCAAGTGCCCAAATCTCAAGGAAATTTCACTAAATATGAGGCATAAAGTTTAATAGCCTTCCTAAGTGTTATTGAATACTGGACTGCAAGCGATGAGTCACAATGACGTGGCTAAAGTATGTTGACCAGACCAGACACTAGAAGGTGAAGGGACGACGACGTTTCGGTCCGTCCTGGACCATTCGCAAGTCAAGTCTCACAATCGACTTGAGAATGGTCCAGGACAGACCGAAATGTCGTCGTCCCTTCACCTTCTAATGTGCGGTCAGGTCAACTGGACTGCAATTTTCAAAAGATGTTTATCTACTTATTCCTCTTAAGCTGCCAAATATCATGAGGAAATGGGCTAACACTGCTTATATTTTCAACCTTGGAAGATATATTCAATTCATGACTCACTTGGTAAATGTGGGACTCCATTGAGGCATTAACAACCTGCCCGAGGGTTGGGGTGAACACCTTTGCTCGAGTCATGGTGCGGATGTTGTCGGAAAAAGCTTGTAGGTCTGTTTGGGAGCCTCTCACCAGGATCACTCTTAGTGGATGCATTGCCTGGAAAAAAAAAGTATAGGCACTAAAATATCTCTCATGACAGTTCTAAAAAACATGTTTTAAATAATAAATAAATTATTAGCATGTTCATCTTCGGTGCCAAGTTCTCTACTTTTTCCATGCCTTTCAAGACCTATTCTTCTCTGCTACACTGTCAAATTAGGGTTAATTAGCTATATTATCCCTTTTGTTCTTGAGGGGGATGCGCTATTCTGTGACATCAGTACATATCTGGGCAATGAAATAAATACCATCATCTAATTTGTGGAGGAAAATAAAGTACAATACTTTATTGCAAAAGTTCCTAGGGAATTATTTTCAAAACATATTACTGGAATCATCCAATGGCATCACTCCATGCATGAAGAAATTTTCACAATTATATTTATTCACTTTCAAGCTATTGCTCAAGGTCTTCTTCCAATATGTTAAAATAGTTCTAAAATCTACCACCAGAGGTCTATGTGGCTCACTAATAATAGGTACATTGAGAAAATCAACCAGAGCTCAGAGGCGACTGGAACCCACGACCCATGCTTCAACCAGCGTACTGCTTGCCGCAACCTCTGCCACTGCAGGTTCCAGTCACCTCAGAGCGCCAGTGGATTTTCTCATTGATATACATCTCGTTATTTGTGAGGCCCTCTGTGTGAGATTAGATTTTCCACATATTGCTGAACTGCAAATGTTAAAAAAAAAAAAATAATAATAATAATCACAAAACTATAAGGTATTCATTCCTGTTGAGGATACCCAATACCATCCACCCAGTCACCTCAACTTCCATTCTAAATGTCACCATAGCGAACCAACACAGTTACACATCAAGGAATTAATTACCCACAGCAGTGGTCTATTCCTTTGTAAGACTAGGGGGACACAGTACTCCTTATATGTTAACAAAAATTATGTTAAAACATTCATAGCTTTTTTGTAAACAGAGTCCACATATCCTCATCCTTCTTGTGTGCTGTCCACAGTATAGCCTCACTTCTTTAATCACGCTTACCATGCCTGCCCATCTTTTAGACATTACTCTCCTTCTACCCTAAAATTCACATAACTACTATACTCTCCATCACTATCATCATATTGCCCAATATTACCAAACCATCTCTATACACTCCTCAAAAATGATAAACCCGGGTGTGGAATACACTGATCTGTGAATAGTACATCAACGAACATCTTCCCAAACCACTAAGATATAAAAAGAGATCATAGGAGAATCTATGCATGAATAATTCAATCGTGGGCTTCCTTCATAAACAGAATTGAAATGGAAATAAATTATTGTCTTTAAAAACCATAAGAGACATTCATCTCACCTCCACAATCTTACGAATACTCTCGCCATCACTGCGACCCTCGAAGTCAATGAAGAGAATCTGGGCTGCAACTCTGACAGTTACCGTTTGTGACACACATTTCGATGGTACCTCCTCAATATCTGGAAAATTGCCCATACCAAAAAACACCTTTTCAGTTAAATTTGGGTTATACTGAATACATATATAGCCTAATAATATTTGTATTTAGCTCTTTATCAAACTAACTGTAAACTAGAAATATTTGAACTGTAGCTGATCAAGGGGGCAGATAATGGCTATGAGGTCGAATATTCATGTTTATTCAATATTATTAGTGATAATTTGTAATGACAATAGGGTCTGCATATATGAACTTGTGGAATTAAGTTTGACTGAACATATTGTAGCACTGTACTTCAACCATCAGCCTTGTGCTCCTCAACACTCTTATCTCACTTTACATTAGGGACTTACCTCTCAACTTGTTCCCCACACTACTCACCCATAATATCCTCGTCTTCAAAAGGAATTTGTATATCTATATTCTCCTTATTTTCTTCCTTCATGGATCCTATGTCAAAGTCTTCAAGGTTAATGAACTCTCCGTAGTCATCGCCTCGTACCTGCAATGTATTTAACAAATATGTTATCTTGAGGTTATCTTGAGATGATTTCGGGGCTTTAGTGTCCCCGCGGCCCAGTCCTCGACCAGGCCTCCATCCCCAGGAGCAGCCCGTGACAGCTGGCTAACACCCAGGTACCTATTTTCCTGCTAGGTAACAGGGGCATAGGGTGAAAGAAACTCTGCCCATTGTTTCTCGCCGGCGCCCGGGATTGAACCCGGGACCACAGGATCACAAGTCCAGTGTGCTGTCCGCTCGGCCGACCGGCTCCCTGAATATGGAAGCTGAATATGTAAACACCCAACCCACACATTAGATTAAGATAGCTGCTGAAGAAACAAGGTGACAGACTGGCAGAAGCTCCACACAAAAAAACAGTTGTCATTCATACATGTACAAGACAGGAGACAATGCTTAATGTAACAAATTTAATTAACTTTAATTTGCAATTTTAGTTCTCTAATGAAGCTTGATACAGACCTTCCATATTCAGCATGGAAGAAAGTTAGGAAGATGAAAGATGAGTGAATGTACAGAACTCTACAAACTGTGATTGAACTCCTGTACTGGCATCTCAAATCATGACTTACAAAATCTGCAAAATATATATAGTATGTATCTACAATTTCAGACAAAATTATAAACCATACCATAAATGATGCATCATACAAATGCTCCAGGACTTAACATTTGTGTATGTACACTGAAGGTTGCAAAAAGGAAGTTGATTATCTAAATGCATTCCTTGTGCCCTGGAACTCTGTTCTACAAGATATGTTTCACTACCATACAGTAAAATAAAAACTGCACCAATTATACATTAAGGGTCTGGTTCACCACAAAGTTGTTCCACAAAGTCAGTCAAAATATTTTGTACAAGAATGCTTGACAATGGCTCAGAGAAGCAGTGTTATAAAACATCCTGAATGGCTATGTGACCTTATGATGTGAATGTCTGGTGCAATACGCGCTCACTGTGAAATGCACTCTTCTACTTATTATGTAGCATTGAAAACAGATGATTTGATTCACATTGAGCGGCTAATGCTACAGACCAAACATGAATTCCGATAATACTTTTCACTACAACTCATAAGTGTTCACACAATGTATTGTACAGTACTTGTATTTAGTATATGAATGTTACAACCATACCCTGTACAATTTTCTTGTCTTACCTTTTCTTCATGTAAAGGAAACATGGGATGGTGTTTACGACTTCGAAACATGCTCTGGGTACCAGCTTTTTCATGTAGCACAATAATGTCATGCTTGCCCGCCTCCAGCCCTTCCTCGCCTTCACTGTCGCTTGATGATTCTACCCTAATGGTCAGACATAAAACCTCATTACTCACGTGGGGGGAAACTACGTACATACGTTAATACAGTGAATCCAAGTCTAGCACTCTCTGCAACTCAGTCTCTTTAATGTTCAACACACAAAATAAATGAGATGATTTCTTTTGAATCAATGTATAAAACAATGAAGGTTTATATTAATGATCATGACAAAAATAGGGGCCACAAAAAAAGGATACAGACTATCCTTTATGTTGTATTACATGCAACAGTTAAGTCTGTAGTTTCTTTTATGTGATATAGTTCAGTATTTATGCATCTCTCTACTTTTTTGCTTTTTGAGACCAAATAGATAAATCAAATATATATAAACAGTATATGTATTTAAATTATATATACAAATATATATAAACTTCTTCAAAACTTTGCAAAAGAAAGTAAACAGAAAATGTTCATATTAACTTTCAAGCTTACTCTTCCATTTTGATCCTCTGTTCTTCCTCCTCCTCTTCTCGCTTCTGCCGGTAGTGGTCATCCAACTCGGGTCCCTCCAGCTTCATTCTTCTCTTCTCAAGAAGTTTAAAAGTTTTAATATGTGGGTTTTCTATAAGTCGTCTTGCCAGCGTGTCTGGGCCCGTCCTAGAAATAATCCCAAATTTACAATTTTGATACTTACGAACTACTCCTGTTAAAAACAAGCTTTTAATTGCTGCGGAGAATTAACATGGAAAGTTCCTTTCTGAGATGTCTTATTAGGCTGCTCCATCATGCATGATCCCAGTCTCCTAGACATCAGTGCAGAGCACAACATAGCACTACAGGAAATTTTGAGACATTCCTGCAGAGTCATATTGGGCTCAGCCACAGAAAAATTGATCACTGCAGCCCATAAATGATCATCAAGAGCTATTCCATAAGTAATGTCTTTACTTGACAACACTTTTGATTGCTAAACGAAGGCTCTCACTAGCTACCAGGTGGGTTGCCTGTGTGAGGAAGAGGCCTATGTGTCATGGCAAACATGCTCAACTATCCCTAACTTAACTATATTTTGACTCCCAACAAAGGAGAGAGAGAGATGCTTGTGGGCATATATCACTTATATAAGTGTCGCTCACTCTGCCAATAAAGCAACCTGGTGGGTAAACAAACTGACAACGCAAACACAAAGGTGAGGGATGGCTGAATGTACCCAATGCCGAGATGTAAACACCTGTGACCATGAACCAAGAACCAGAATACCATGAATAAAATGACTTTGCTGATAGAGCTTAAGCCAAAGCTGTGAACATCAGCACTGAGAGAGAGATAATCTGTGACCATGTACACACATAATGCAATCTTACCTTGAGGTCAAGATGATAGTGTTCTTAGGATTGGTGGCCCACTGAACAAACAGTTCTCGGGCATATCCACATTCCAGGTCAGGAAAGCTAGCCAACACAACCTGTCCAAATACAATAATATATTTAACTTACAGTACCATGAAAGCGGAAATGCAGTAATGATAATGCTCATGTATAAAAATTATTGATCATCCTGTTAACGATCAATATACTGAATGCTGAAGGGTGCTACATATTATCATCATTTATTCTTCCCCATTATTTTGCCCTTTACAGTCTTCACAAGCTTTAATTTAAATTTCTATTGGATACTTTAAGCTATTCCTCTTGCTCTTACTGCACTACTAGTGTCTTCAGTCTATTTGTGTTATGCATAAGTTCTCACAGCAGCAGGCACAAATAGACATGATGCATTAGCATTTTAAGTACTCTACTAAATACTTGATATACTGTACTGCATAGGTAGGAATCGATTAATGTGTGAAGATTTCAGCTCAATATCATAGGCAAACAGCTCTTGAAACTGGTTTGCCATTTATATGCACGTGTGTGTGTACTTGTAAGTGAATAAACACTTAAAATAATAAATAAATAAATAAATAGGTGAATGAATAAATAAGTGAATGAATCCAGACCTGCAATAATTGTTAACAGACACAAGTCATGTATCACAGGTTTTGTAATAATGTGTGCAAGCTGTACAATACCTTTCACTAACAGCAAGATCCTTAACTTAATCTCATATATTCAAATGTCACTAATTACCACATAGAACAATTTCTAAATATCAAAGTATAGAACACAATACTACATTTAGAAAATAAATTAGTTATTGAAAAATTTCTTGATGCAAAGAGGTGGACTATAATTACCTTGGGAGAGGGATGACAGCCAAAGTCAGATTATTTGATTAAATTAGTGTTTACAATTGATGTAAACACCAAGCAAAGGCTACCAACTTTATTTTTGGGATGGGGGGGGGGGGGGCATGCAATTTTTTGTTTTTTTTTTTGCTTTATCTAAGAAAAAACAGCAACATTGGATCACCATGGGAGAGGGAAGGCATCTAAGTTCCATTTACATTGAGAAGAAAGACAGCCAATGTGAAATTACTTTGGGAGAATAGAAGGCAGCCGAATTCAAATTACCTTCGGAGAAGGAAGACGGTTGAGGTCCGTGAGATTATGGCAGAACTTTAGATGTTTGAAGCTAAACGGGTTTGTTCGCAGCGAGTCAAAAGCTTTAGTCAACTTCTCACTCATCCACTCAATCTGTAAAGATGATATTCATAAAGAAAATATAATTACAAATTTTCACTTTATCGAAGAGTTGAAAAAAAAGAGCAGATTGCTGTACTAGACAACTTTAGTTTCCCAGGATGGATTGAGTAACAAACTAGATGAACATACAATATAGAAGCAGATAGGTTTAAGAGTCCCCCAAAAAAGTAGGTCCCATTGACCAACAGTTGTAATAGGTACATAACATTGGGTGATTGTGTCATCCACCACTGCCACACTACCAAATGTTTGTAACATATAAGCTGTAATTTTCCTATATAAAAAAAAATGTATATACAGTAATGTACATTAACAAATTACTATTTAAAGAGAATTATGACATTACCATCTGTTTGGCAAAATGTATGACGTGGTACCCTGTGTTTGACAGGATACACAAGGAATATGCAGACAATCCGCTCTCCCGAGTACTCCACATTTGCTCTAGCATGTGTGTCATTTCCAATACGCGCCCGCCCGTGTCAGTGGCTATCAGAACATTTCCTCCTGCCCGGCACGTCTCCTGGAGCTGGGCTGAAAATATAAAATTTTGTCAAACAAAATACAAAAGTAAGAGTGTCATTTTCTAGCTCCATTTACTCAAGAAAAATAGTGTTTATTTCACTATTTTTTATTACAGTATTTTTCTTGAGTAAATGGGGCTACAAAATGACACTCTTATTTTTGTATTTTCTTTGACATTTATAGTAAGAAAACTTCTTACTCTTTCTAGTTGAAACAATGTGGTGATTTTACTGAAGTACTGAAGTTGCACATAAAAAAAAACTAACCTACAAGCTTTTCATCTCGGTGGCGTCTACGTTCCTGTCTGTACGAAGCATTAAAGGCATCAGTAATAAGGAGAGATGGGCGAGTGATCTTGTCCAACTCACAGCCTCCCAAATGACGTTCTTTCTTGTGGTTGAAATCAACAGCATACACAATATCCTGCGAGGAAAATTATATGTGATATCAAGTAACAGTACATGCATTCATGAGTTAAAATGTTTAAAATAAATATTCATGCCAATATTTCAACAAATTTTCTTCAAATGGACAGAAGTTTGAGATATTAGCAAGGTATTAGACAATTTTGGTATTAGGATGCAGTGATTCTATTACCACTGAGGTGCTATAAGCCTCTCATTCCCCTGCAATATCAGGGGTTGGAAGGGAAAGGAATTATCAGGGGAAAGTGCCAAGCCACTACGACTATATAGCACCTGGAAGAGATCAAGATAAGGATTTAGGATGGGACGGGGGGAAAGGAATGGTGGCCAACCACTTGGACGGTCGGGGATTGAACGCCGACCTGCATGAAGCGAGACCGTCGTTCTACCGTCCAGCCCAAGTGGTTGGGATATCAGCGGTTGGAGAGCCAGGAACCAATTTTTCCCCCTAAAGGCAAAAATGGCTCATTTCTCATTTTAACATCAATAACCTTTGATTATAGTATCATTTCCCATCTTTTTACAGGCTGGTGGCTCCTCACTCTCACAAGTGGGAAGCAGGATAATGACAATGGATGGATGAGCAAAGTAATTCCTGCTCTGCATTTATAAAACTAATCATAAAGCTAACTTGGTTACAGTACTTTGTATTTAATAGGTTTCCATATAAGAGAAAGGAATCAAATATCATTCAAATGAGCAGGCTTGTAGAACAGCTATAACCATTTAGATTTTTTCTTAACCAAAAATTATATAAGGAGAAAAGCATATACATATCAGTTGGTGTGTTGTTTAGTGTCTAGGAGGTGGGCTCAAGGGCTCACTTAAGCTCACTTAAGCCCCCCCCTTAAGTAACCACCCACAGAAAAATAGCTAAATGTTTAATGACTCTTACCATATATTTCAAGATTTATTTTGTTGTAGAGATTTATGCTTTACAAAAAAACATTTTGCATTCAAAGATTTAACCTAAAAAAAAGAGCCAATGATCAACTATATTTTGAAATCTTTTGCAGCTTATTTACAAACATCAATATTTTAAGATGTCAATGCAAATCTCAATAGTATGTGTGGCTTGGGAATAGGAATCAACCCTTATCTTAAGTGTCTGCTTATTGAAATTTCAATGGGTCACATTTAAAGTTAAAAAAAAAAAAGTCACAAAGAAATAATTGAAACTTGCAAAGCCACTTAGGGTTCGATACAAGTGACAATGTGACCCAAACCCTACCCTCCTCACCTTTATCCCTACTTGATCACCATTTGATTTCAGGTTTGCAGTATGCGGGGACCACAAGCTGGCTTGGATGGTTTGAAAACGTAGGGGAGATTTAGTCTAGAATTTTTGTTTTGTTTAATGTCAGTTTCAAATCATTAAATTTATTATGATTTTTTGTTTTGTTTTTTTTCCATTATGGTGATGAATAGAACTTACACCTTCTCCATCTTTCAATATTCTCCATATGGAGCCTCCAATCATGTGACCTGCAGGCTGGGCAGAAATATTCAGTCCAATTCCCTTTCCTGAAAAGGAAAATAAAAAGCCAATGTGAATGGCTATACATTTAAATAAAATAAGCAACCTACACCCAATTTTTCTATCTGAAAATGATATACAAGTACTGGACCTGAACTTGTAAAATTATCCCTAGGGCATACTGTATATTGCAATGCTTCTAATCTCCGGCATGAATACATTCACACAGAATACTTATTTAGCTCTACTAAGGAGAGCTAAATAAGCTCTCATCTACTGGAAGGGGTCAGGATAAGTATTTAGGATGGGACGGGGGGAAAGGAATGGTGCCCAACCACTTGGACGGTCTTATAGCACTTATCTACTCTCTACAAACTAAGGATATAATACCAATCTACCATGATTGGCTCAGTTTTCCATTACAATGTGTTGTATTAGTGTAGGACAGAAACCAAAAGACAGACACAATGTAGGACAGAAAACAGGCGATGCTTTTTCACCCATAGGGTTGTAAACCTGTACATCTTTTCATGAATGTACATCTTTTCAATTTTAAACCCTACCTACAGCAATAAGCAACCAGTGCTTTTTAGGTATTTTTGTTTCTATAGCATGTATAACAACCCAAAGCAAGAGCACCTTCACTATGACCCATATTCCTGCCTTTACTTCATGGACAATCTTAAGGTTATCTTGAGATGATTTCGGGGCTTTTAGTGTCCCCGCGGCCCGGTCCTCGACCAGGCCTCCACCCCCAGGAAGCAGCCCATGACAGCTGACTAACACCCAGGTACTTATTGTACTGCTTTTTATATTTTACAACATCACAGATTAAACAGGCAAGTGGCCAAATGTAGTTTTGCCTTTGTTGCCCCATTACGTGTTACTGGTAAGAGTGGCGTAAATACAGGGTAACTTGTGTTGGAAACTACAGAGTGTGCACACTGGCCTTACCTCTTACGGGCTCACCATAGTCCGTGCTACTGGAACTTATCGTTCTGAGTAGCGAATCTTAAACAACAACAACAAACCTTACCTCTCATTGGTATGCTCTGGTTGTACTTGATTTGTGTGATGAGCTCAAAGGCAGAGTCCACATCGTCCAGTGTAAAGTGTTCCACCAAATCATAGTTATGGTGGCTCTGTAAGTAAAATTAAATCGGCATCATTAAAAATCCAACTGAGGATATGAGGCATTTTATTCAATATTACTGTACATGATTGTATGTGAGCTGTCATTTCTCAAATACAGTACAGTACCTTACTTGCAAAAAATTCCCTTTAGTCTTTACAGTATATACATTACCAATTTACACACACTATTTTTGCACCATTTTCTCGGGCACAAAAAATCTAACAGGAATTAACACTGCCCTTCTGAGTCTGAAATTGAGATTAACAAGTCAATCAGACCAAAAAGTTAAAGGCACAAACCAGGGTATGTACTGTATCCCTAATGCTTCAGTTTGGAATGTTGATGTGCCAAGACTGTGCAAAGTCTTGTTCATAAGAACATTAGGTCCTTGTCTAAGGAAACATAGAATGGTATGGCTAAAACATATTTAACTGCTGTAATCACAAAATATTATATAAACTAGTTTTATTATTGCCCTTAACCTATAACTGATCCTAAGTTACACCTTAACTTCTTTGGCCAATAGGCCTTCTGCAGTTACCTTCATTCTTGTGTTTTTATTTGTTGTCACTATTAATAGTTGTATTACTGTTAATACCAATATCATTTCTACCAAAGAGTTTGTATGATACATTATAGTTAACAGAGTAAAACAATTATATTTTTAGTGCTATAATTATGTTATTAAAATGTTTTATATCCTGCAAATATATTACAATTTCTCATTCTAAATACAACCATGATCACACAATACAATTGCCATTATCTGTTATGATAATTAGTACCACTATTATTATTACTAGTATTAATCATTAATCAAGTTGCTTCAATTTAAGTAGAGCATAATAAAAATTGTAATTGTATATTGTAATTTTTTAACTTTATTATTATTATAATAATTAGGTGAGCCTCAATACAATCAACAATTAGAAGCTAATGGCCCACAGTAAAATAAAACACCGAAGACAAAATATTAAGACTGTCAACCTTTAAGGAGGCCTGGTCAACGACCGGGCCGCGGGGACGCTAAGCCCTGAAAACCCCTCAAGGTAACCTTATCCAGAAAGATTACTCACCTGAAACCAATCATACATGAACATCTGGCCCATCTTGAAGACAGGTATGGTAGCATACACCGGGCATGACAATTGGCACTTTCCTACCAAGTATGGCAAGGCACCCATGTGTAGAGGGTCGGGATATGATATCAAAACGCAATCAACGCGTGGAATGACCCTATGCACGATGAGAAAGTTATGTTAAGATTGCAAACACGTTATAGATGATATTTCAATATGTTGTCAGAAGTTATGAAAAAAACGGTAGTTCAGGTATGTAACAAATTATAGGAACAGTTTACCATCATAGAGCCATGCACTTATTACATGTAAAGTTGAACTATGTTATATACAGGTCCTTTGATAATCTATGTACACAGTATGCTCATATGACATGCAGAACTAATATACAAAAGGGGGGTTTCAATTTATATTTGGTACAGCAATATACTGTAATGTACAATACTATACTAGTAAATAACACAAAATTTATTTGTATTTCTATAACAATTCACATAACATTTGTAAATACAGATAACTTACAAGATCTCTAATTTTAGATTTCATTAAACTATGCACATGACATCTAAGATTTTTTAAATAATTAAAGTCCCAATATTAAAATAAACAAGATTTTAAATACATTACTTGATTCTAGCAGAATATGTATTTTTACCTATACTATATTATACTGTAATTCAACAAACAGTTGTAAATTGCATTAAGAAATTTATATTTCCTGGTTGTTAAACGCTCTGGCAGGTAGCATTCTGGAGAATGTTAGGATTAAGGACCTGCCTGTAATGCTATGTACTAGTAACTAGTAGTGCTAGTAGCTTTACAAGAATGAAAGAACTCTTGTATATTTAAATAAATAAATAAATAAAATAAAATATGAGGTTCTAAACTTACTTTGCCAGCCGGTCAATATAATTTTTGTCAAACTTCTCATCCCAGCCACAGTCGAGGAGGAAGGTGAAGTCATCAACAGTTAGGAGGTAACAGTGCGGCGTCTCCTGGCCCACGCCCCAAATGCCCTCAAACTTAACAATGGATGTCATCTGAAAAACCATCGAAAAAAGTCATCGACGGAGTATATGAGAAGCTTGTGAACAAATTTTGAATTTAGTGAAGAAAACACATTACTGTAATGCCATACACAACTAAATATGACTATTATAAAAGAGGATAAAAATATATCAAACTGAAAACACAATGTATGAGTATGGTTTGAATGGTTTTGTTAATCCTTCAAAAACTGAACACTGTACATCATATAATGTGTTCAGTGGAAATTATGTTGTTTTCAAGAAGCATCAAATGATGACGCATTGATTAGTGCCAAATGGTGCCACAGTAATTAAAACCCAAAGATGTCAGTCATTGACTCAGCATTCACAGTCCCCAGGAGCAGCTTGCTGCTTTAGAACCTTTACTAATGGTGGAGGGACCCCTCACTGCCTTCTGTTCCCAGCCTAAGTCCCACTGGTGACTGCTACTTGCTACTCCACTTATTTTTTTATTATGAAAGGAAGGGCATGTTAAAGATGCATTTACCTATTTATTTAGTAGTAATAATTCATTGTCAGGGGACAGGAAATCAGTGTATATGTACAGGTCAGGCTTATATTGAGGTCCCCCCCCCCCCCCAAGGTCTAATTACTAATCAATATCCCCCCCCTCCCAGGATGCAAACCCACAACAAGCTGACAAACTCCTGGGTACCTACTTACTGCTTGGTGAACAGGGGCATTAGGGGATAGAAAATGCACCCAACCACTTCTGTCTTGCCTGGGATTCAAACTCAGAATTCTCAATTGTGAGCCGAGAACAAATCCGACTGTAATAAGAATTTACTACAAACCGATCACGATCAAAGTTCTAGTTGAGTTCGATCAGTCGGTGGACATTAAGAGGTGTTATGTTTACACTGGTTTTTATGATGCACAGATTATGTACATTTCTACATCATGTCATTGCACTTCAATCAGTGTCTATAGTCATACTTGGTAGAAGATTTGTACTCTGTTTATAGTGCTATATTTTGGCTCTAATATTAACCAATAATTTATATATGATATGTATAAATTTTGTGTGCAGGATGGTAGAAATATTTGGGGTGTGACCCATCTTGTAATTACCTAAGTGTAGTTACAGGATGAGAGCAACACTCTTGGTGTCCCGTCTTCCCAGCACTCTTTGTCATATAACGCTTTGAAACTACTGACGGTCTTGGCCTCCACCACCGCCTCACTTAGCTTGTTTCGTTTACCACTCTGTTTGCAAAAGTGAATTTTCATATATTTCATTGGACAGCTTTTTGAGTTTGTGTAGGATGTGTTGCGCATGCCACCAACTACCTCAGCGCGTATGAAACAACTACCCACTGGGAACAATATCCAAGAGTGACATTGGTTCCACAATGAATCAATGCTATCAATGTTAATTCAACATTGAATCAACATTGATTCAACATTAAATTTATGTTGATCTTGGATACTGGCACCTGCTGGGTATTAATTTGGTAGGTGTAATTGAAACTTACAGTACAACACAAAATACACCTCGATGTCACTTCGTGCAACAAATGGCTTGCAACATATGGACAAAACGTTCAGCAATCCTCGTTGTGTAGTGATTAAGACGCTCGCCTGGCGTTTCGCGAGTGCTTTGGTCCTGGGTTCGTATCCTGGCCGGGGAGGATTGACTAGGCGCCAATCCTTAACTGTAGCCTCTGTTCACCCAACTGTGAATGAGTACCTGGTTGTTAAACAATTTGGCGGGTCGTATTCCAGGGAACAATTAGGATTATGGACTTGGCCCGAAATGCTATGCACGCTAATGGCTGTACAAGACTGTAAGAACTCTTGTATATATAAATAAATATATAAAACCGTTCAGTGTGAAAAAACCAGTGTTGGAAAGGACCATATGCTGACTGGACCATCACTAGAGATCACGACACTCATGTCACTGCACCAATACAGAAAACACCAACACATGAGAACCTTCATTAGAACCCAAAAACGTGAGAATAATGATCAGAAACCCCAGTAAGTAATTATCAAAACAAGACCGTATCAGAAACCAAGACACCTGGCTAGGTTTCCCCCCTTATTTAAGACGCCTCAACACCGTCTTACCCCTCTAAATTGGCCTTTCTCGTTGTGCTGGGAATGTGGCGATTCGCTAAGAGCGATTTTCCCCTCTTATATATCAAAGTTTACGAGGCCATTCGCGCCACCATTCTTGTTGACACCGCCGCCGCCATATTTCATTATTTCCTGAGCACCACACGGTTATTGTTTAATGACGTCACTCTATCTAGCGATCTAGCGATATCTGTGTCTAGTATCTAGCGACACACTATGCTATCATTTTCTTATTGTTTTATGACGTCACTGTATCTAGCGACATCTGTGTCTAGTATCTAGCGACACACTATGACACACTATGCTATCATTTTCTTATTGTTTTATGACGTCACTATATCTAGCGATCTAGCGACATCTGCGTCTAGTATCTAGCGACACACTATGCTAACATTTTCTTATTGTTTTATGACGTCACTCTATCTAGCGACATCTGTATCTAGCAACACACTATGCTATCATTTTCTTATTGTTTTATGACGTCACTCTATCTAGCGATCTAGCGATATCTGTGTCTAGTATCTAGCGACACACTATGCTATTATTTTCTTATTGTTTTATGACGTTACTATATCTAGCGATCTAGCGACATCTGTGTCTAGTATCTAGCGATACATTATGCTATCATTTTCTTATTGTTTTATGACGTCACTGTATCTAACGATCTAGCGACATCTGTGTCTAGTATCTAGCGACACACTACGCTATCATTTTCTTATATTCCTACATACCCGACTACTTAGGCAGGACGGTAGAGCGACGGTCTCACTTCATGCAGGTCGGCGTTCAATCCCCGACCGTCCAAGTAGTTGGACACTATTCCTTTCCCTCCGTCCCATCCCAAGTCGTTATCCTGACCCCCCTTCCCAGTGCTATATAGTCGTAATGACTTGGTACTTTCCCCTGAAAATTCCAATTCCCTTATATTCCTACATCTAGAATGACACAGCGTAACTTTCTTATGACGTCCCTGATCCTAGGCAGCACATAATCAGTGTCTTGTACCGTTCCTGTACATCATTATGTTTGTATTAATGTTAATAATGTTAACATAATGTTACAAACATTATGTTTGTAGTTCATCTTCAATGTATGTACCTTTACCTGAATAAAAAAGCTAAATCTAATTTTTTTTTATTTTTACGTCGGTGGGCCATGGCGTATGACGCTCATATATCCTGGGCGGCACAAGGTCATTGTCTTATGACGTCATTACATTATGAGCAACACACGCGGTCATTGTCTTATGACGTCACTACATTATGAGTGATACACGTGGTCATTGTCTTATGTCACTACATCCTGAACACCTCAAGATCACTATCTTTTGATGTCAATATCAGCGCGGTCAGGTCACAGCCAAAGGGTCCAGGGTTTGATTCCCATGGTAGGACTGGATGACGGAAGCATATGGTAAAAAAAAAATCTTAATTCACCTGATGCTCCTGTTCACTTGTAGCAAAAAAAAAATCTTAATTCACCTGATGCTCCTGTTCACTTACAGCAGTTTGGCGATTGTTGTGGGTTGCATCCCGGAGGAAATTAGTCGATGGCTTAATTAAGGACATACCTTGATAAGATTTGTGCAGGTTTTCTCTTCCATTTTATGGAAAACCATAGTACAGTACTGTATTAAGGTGAGCCATATATCCCCTCTGCTTCTTAATAATTCTTATCTATAGCATGTTAGATTTAGTTCCTTTTACCTGTTCATGTTGCTTTATCCTCCAGGAATGTCAGAGTTCCTCATACACCTAACTTACCATCATGGTGCTTCATTTGTCTCTACAGCTTAATCACACGATCTTTGCAGTTGTTTTAATCTTTACGTCTATGGCCTCAAATGAGATTCAATGAAATGATAAGCCAATTTGTGAGGTAGGTAAGGCAGTTATCTTATTCATGCATGGAGCCTGGGAGGTCATACAGCAACGAAGAGAAATTTAATACAGAAGATGCGATTTAGAGGTGAAGTTTGTAGGAAATTCCGAACCTTTGTGTATTTAAGGAAGCAAGTTAAACAGTTGATGTTAATGCTTTATTAAGTTTGGCAGTAGGTAACCAATCAACTCTTACCTTTCCTGCTCCCAAGAACATCCTTAACACACTGGGAACATGCCTCACAGTGGAAACTATGCTGCAAGTGTAGCATAAAGAAGCAGGGGTGCTCATCAAAAGATGATGTGCCTTAAGCAGTGTTTGGTCCTGATAACTTCAAGCTGTCACTTTCATGGCCTCTTGTTACCAAGTAAATTTGAGATATTCAGATGACTCTTAGAGAAACCATGCCAAGTCTCTAATTAATCTACAATTGCCAAAAAAGATATTTTTATATTTTTGGTTAATATGGCTTTGGGAAACTTTCCCACCATCAATGTTAAACTAATCGGGCAGTAGTTGGTTGTACATGTATGTAATCTAAGTTATAAGGGCAAGAGGGAGTTGTTAGCTAGTCAAATCAACTGTTTTTAGAATTAACCAGACAGATTGGTTCATCATGGAGACCCTAACAAGATGGTTTGGGTACGATGAATTAATGGATGATGGTAGACTGGCAGTGTGTATTTGAGTGAATATACTTGGGAATATATTCCTAAGTATATGGGAATTTGGGCAAAGCAAGAGAAAAGCAGAGACAAATTTGGATGTTTATGGCAAGAGTGGATAACAGGCAGAACAAAGCTAGACTTGGCTCTTGTAGTTGCCATTAGGTAAACACATGGAATACGCTGATGAACGTGGCTGGGTGGAAGCAATTTACAAGGAGGGAGGGACCTATCGGCGAAAAGTGCCAAGCCATTACGACTATATTGCACTCGGGAGGGATCAGGATAAGGTTTTGAAATGGGACGGGGAAGAGGAATGGTGCCCTACCACTTCGACTGTCAGGGATTAAATGCCGGCCTGCACCAAGAGACCGTGGCTCTACCACCCAGCCCATGTTGTTGGGCAAAAATTTATAAGGAGTATATGTGTACATTTTTATTTTGAGGATCACAATAAGGCTCACTGTACACTTCATTATATGAAGCAATAGGGGTGCTGCTGTGGATGGTTACTAGAGTGTAATGCTTGCTTATCAGTGATGCTATAGTACAGACAAATGTTACCGTGATATAAAATACTATATATATAGAATAGTACATCATAAAAAGCATTTTTTACTATCAGTATATTTGCTCCTTTTTTCTAGGCTGATGTTTCCACTCCCAATGATAGTACAAAATAGGGTAATCAATTTATGAAGGATTACTAGCTTGGGCCATAGCAACATAGTCGAATGTGGAAAAATGGACACAAATGGCAAATTTCTTTTATTCAGAAAAACCCCAGAGTAAGTATTGGTTTGGAAATAAACCTCGTAGATTTATAAAACAATTTACCAGGTAACAATAGCAGTTACATTTTTTCCAAGAAGGTTAGACATTCATGGATTTTTGAGGGGTTGGATATAACTATGTTGTTATAGATTCAGCTACTCTGAACAAGTTCCAAGTAGCACGGGCTATGGTGAGCCCGTAAAAGGATATAACTAGGAGCAGCAGTGCACCCAAGCCAATAGGCCTTAGTTTCCTTTATTCTCTCAATTCCTTGACAGACTTGTAGCCAATTTCTAGAACTTTACCTATCTCGCAGCCACGTTTTCAGGCCCTTGTACAAATGGGATACTTCATAAGAAATGATTAAGGCTCTAATTTTGTTGTGTGTGAACTTCAGCTGGAAACAAGTATTTCAATTTCAGTAGGGATGAATACACAGTATACAGTATATATATAATTTTAATTTCTTTCAGTAATCATTCAGAATAAATAAATCAATAGGGTTATTCCATTTCTATGTATGATGTATTAACAAATTTCAATTCATTGTGGTTCCAATAACAATGATTACTGAATACTCTCTCGACAATTAAAAATATTAAAAAATATAAACTTCGTGCACCTTAAAGGAAAAAAAAAAAAGATTTGGTACATAATAGATAGAACCTTACAGTATCAGCAACACCAAATCTCTATCACAATATCCAATGAACAATATGCTACTAAAAGATCTAGAGAAACGCTCAAAACTTATTATCATGTATATGAATGTAACCAACAAAGCCATTTAAGCAAATTTACATAATATTTATTAGAATACTGGAAATGTGCATCACTGATCATGAATTAATGTTCCACAATATGTATACGGTATATGATTCATTTTGGCTTATCAATACATCTATCGAAACTGCAATGGAGATATACGTAGGCCAATGGAGTCCTTCCCTACTTGGGCGACAGAACAGACTCTGCAAGTGATGCCCTTGTGCTCTGGCAGGTATGATGCTCCACATAATGGGCACTGCACCTCTGGCTTACCCCTGTATATTGGCACATATGACTTTGCGCACACAGTGAAGGGATTGTGTTCATCATACTGAACTACCATTTCATCAACAGGGTTTTTCTCACAGGCCTGAAACAAAGAAATTTAATATTTATACAGGATAAGTTAATGTGTAAAAAGGTGCTGCTAAGTATTTAGTGCATTCTCTCCATGGGGTTACACAAATTTGTACAGAAAAAAATCCAACGCTGCCCCAAACAGTAGAAAGAACACCATTTACCTACCTGTACAACTTTTCTGATATTCTGAGCCACCTCTGGCCTTGGTCCCAGATTTACCAGTCTACGTCCGAAGCTCATTGCCATCTTGTAATTCTTCATCTTGAATGCCAAATTAACAGCAGTTCTTAAAGTAAGAATCTGGTGGCCAGGCTGTAGCTCACAATGAGTGAAGTAAGCAGCCAACTCGAGAGAGCGTTGTAGTTCTTCCTCCGACGATTTACCGAGGCCTTTACGATGAAGCTCCATACTAATGCCAACCACATACTCCTTACACACACGTAGCAAATTCTGTGCTTCACTAACCTATAAAGGAACATTGATTTCATCATATACAACAGCAAATTAGAGAAAAACTTAAATCTTAATTTTGAAGCAAATAGGCCTGCCAATATGCAACTAAAGTTTACATATTAAGTTGTTTAAAAAACCCATCCTACTGTCTACTTCCAAGGAAGTATGTGTGAAATTTCTAAATGGCAAAACTTATAAATTTACCATAGATTCAGCTATATCTTTCTATGATAGGATAAAACAAAAATTTGTCTAGTCGAAAGTACAACAAAAATAAGATAAACCAAAAATGACAGACGTCTCCAGTATTTATTTTTAGTTCATCATAAAAGCTATTCAAGTTCTCGGCTAATTAGATGAAACAAAGATTGTACCTGAAACTACATTTTATTTAAATTCAACAGCTAGACAATTTGACCCTTAAGATTTAACAAAGCATTCATCATCTAGTCTCACCATTATACTGGGCAATAGGCCTGCAAAGATACTGAGGTATCTAGCATTCAATAATTGTGAATAACCAGAGTCTTTTTCCAATTAGGTATCTAATAACCTAAAAAAATTATAATGTTTAATGTGAAGACTTGCCTCTTGTTTTGTGTCTACAATGATGAGGGGCACAGCCAGGAGGATTGCTTTAAACTTTTCAACGGCTTCAGAAAATTTGGCTGCGGTCGTTAGCTGCGACGCTTCCTGCAAACAGACACCAGGAAAAAAAAATGTTAAAAGTAATTTGTTCACCATTTTACAATTTCAATCAAATTATAGGAGAGTACTGTGCAAAAATACTTAGACCTTGTACCATTAGTAGTAGTGGATTACATTACATTTACATAAAGATAGAAATTTACCTTTAATTTATCCATTAGACTTGACAGCTTTAAACCAAGAGCAGGCAACTGATCCTTTGTCTGTGCTGTCCGCCAATTTCGACTTGGGTAGGCAAAGAGAGATGGGAGGGCTGGGGCACCAGGATAACTAGTGCGAGAGTGGGCAAACGATGACAGGAACAAATCACGATACGGCTCAAAGTTCACTACACCAACCTGGAAGCCATAAAACTCGATAAAATCTAACTGAATAGTAAACAGAAACAATTTGACATTTAACGTTAAATATGTAAATTACACACACTCATCCAGACTGCCGATTCACGTCATATAAGAGTACAGTAACTACATACAACTCACTTGATCGTGCAACAGCCTGGTGGCAGATTCAAAAGCACCAGCCAGTATATGGTCAATGGCCAGTTGGCTGCGCTGTGTCCATCCGTGTGTGGGAGGATGACCCCTTGGAGGTGGCACAAAGTACCCATCTTCCCCATCAGCACCACCAACCGTGACTGCTCCTTCCAATTCAGGTGGCAACTCAAGGTCATCATCCACTTCCCAGCCTCCACCTTCACCATCTCCACCTACAAAATGGATACAATCGTTAAGTACCCAAAATATCAAGAAATGGGCACAACAAGAATCTAAAATGAACTTTCACATACAAAATTCTCATCCGTCTATATTCCCCAACACCTTACTCCATCCTGGCAGAACCGTGGTCATGACAAATGTTTCTCCAGGTTACTACCACACAAACCTCTCACTGTTTCAAGCTCTCGCACTTCTGCTTTCACATACGTACAAGTTTTATATTTAAGAATTGTATGTGAACAATAAATTGTTTGTCCAGCTATAGATATATAGCTTGATTAACAGATACAAATATATCTATGTACAGGAAAGGGAAGGAAATATTTAAATAAAAACTAACAATATGCATGGATATACGAGTGCTAGTTAATGTTGGGTTTGTCTTCAGAATTTTCAATTGTATATTATACACATATTAGATCACATACCACCAAAATAAAAAACAAACAAATACTGTTACTTAGCGTCTTTACAAACAAGCCAAAGCTTACCTTCTAAGGCCATGTCACCATCTCCAGTCTCCTCGTCGTCATCGCCCCAACCGTCTCCAGCAATATCACCAGTAATATCAACAGCCATGGCTGCCACAGTTCCCCCACCACTCTTTCCACTGGCCACAGCAGTGTCAAAGAACCCCTATTGATACAAAAAACAACTTTATAGTCTTATTTAGACACAAAGTCAAATACGTATACTAACAGGGAGCATCTGGGGAAAAGCTCAGATATTACAAAATTATTCAATATAAATGTCAAATGTGTCAACACAATCAAAAATAATTAAAATTGAAAATCTGATTTACTCATTTCAGCTCATATCAGTACTCTGTATAGTATAAAGTTGCCATATAATGCATCATGAAAAAGAATTCAACACAGGCAACGAATATTAAAATAGTAACTTATCACTTGCTTTGGCAACAGTGAGTAGTGGCCAGGCTGTGTCCATTGGTTGGACTGGCACAGGTGGCTGCAACAACTGGGCATTGGGTAGAGGTTCAGGAATGGTGCCACCCTCCACATGGGATGCAAGGGACTCTGCTTCCTGATAAGAAAAACACGTTTCCTAATTAAGTTAGATAGATAGATATATATTTTATATATTTGCCTTCAAACCTTTCTGTCATATTACACAAACAAACATTTTCCACATTGTGATTGTATTAAATTTATTAAGATACAAATTCTGAAGAATAACCTGAGTGTGGCCGTGAGTGGCAGCCATCAGAAGTGCCAGCGACGTCTTGCCGCATGCCTTCAGAACCCTAATGCGTTCCGGCACATCTCCCAGATACAGAGCATTTGTGTACCAGCCCTCGTAATCCTTGCGGATTTCATTGATCTTCATCATGCGTCGAAGTTTGGCCAAATTTCCAGTGATGAGATATAGGAAGGAGAGCTTATCATAGTTCTTGGTCTGTTGATAACAGTACTCTACCACCTGTAAAATATTCATTATTGTTTATTTTGCAAAGAGACTTCAAAATGGAAATGATACATTTATAATGCCAACATTCAAAGGATATACTGCTAAATTATATATCATAAAATGTCACCTTTCACTAAAAAAAAAAAAAAAAAAAAAAAAAAAAAAGGTAGAGGGCCTACAATGTTTACACGTTACTTGTGATAATGGCAAGAAATGGAGAGAGAGAGAGAGAGAGAGAGAGAGAGAAAAAAAAAAAAAAAAAAAAAAAAAAAAAAGGGAGGGAAAAAAGTTTAAGTATAGTGGTATGCTGATCTTACTGGGTGGTTGCCATGCAGGAGTGCATGTTCTGCCAGTTTCTCCCAGCATCCCTTGTCGTCAAGAGCCTTGGCAGCATCTAAAGCAACATCAATATTTCCACACTCCAAGGCCAAGAGAAATCGTGTTCTCTCGTCTTTCACAAAATGAAGGGCAACTTCTGGGTAACCTTTCTTCTGCAAGTATGCAATGATCGACTGTCCCACCAGTTTGGCGCCACGAACCATTTGCAGCACCTACACAATATGGGAAAAGAACAAAACTAAAAAAATCCAGGCATGTAGAAAACAAAATTTTAGATGCTTTTACTTACACAAATTAATAGCCACTTCCAGATGTCTATTCGGGATTCTGTACTCATTAATACCACTTTATGAACAATAAAAAAAGATTAGTCTCCAAGAAATTTGCAAGCAAGTGTGACCACCACCTGAGAAGGTAATGGATGTAAATAGATGGCAAAAACAATTTAAAAATGTGTGTACAAACCAATATCTGTCGTTCTGTGAAACTTACTTCATCATACTTGCGTTGAACTAGTGCCAATTTGAAGCGGAATTCTGTGGAGTCAATGGTGAGGACACGAGGTGTTGCTTGACGGTCCAGACAATACACCGAGCTACCAGATACCCGTGTTACATATACTGGCAGCTCCAGAGTGCGGATGATGCCATGGTCGCCATTTGTCAGTGCATACTACATAAAAAAAAATTTTGTTTTGATTTGGCAAACACTTCAGAATTATGGCAAAGTAATCAATAAATATTAAAGCTAAATATTGCAAGATTGCAACAAATTTTATATGAACTAATCTGATGTACATGTTAACTGATATGGGCAAGAAACATACTATCTAAGGTCTTGACACATTCTAGTACAAATGGGCTCGTGCAATAGTTAATTTTATTCAAACATGAAATTATAAAAATGGCCTTTTAAAGACTAAATTACCAGGCTAGTTATTCAAGAAAAACACCGGAAATGAGCCGATCATGAGAAATTTGAGAGCTTGTGGAAAGTTGGCACATTTAATCTTACCTTGATATGATTACTTGTTGTATAAACAAATACACCACTATCATCCCAGGAACCCGACTTGACTCTGTTGGTCTCTGTGATGGAGCAGAGACGTTCAAGCTTGCGGTTGCAAACAAGAATTGTATGCTTGGAGAGCAGGGCCACAGTAGTCATACTAGCAGACCACACAACATAGCGGCACTTGGCAATGCGAGCAGTTCCCAGTACTCTGCAAGGTAGAACACTTGGTTAAATACTATTACACTTTTATGAAGAGAAACATGCCTAACATTATTCAAGAATGATTATAGAGCAATACTTGCCTCTTCTGCTGGACATCGAAGAGAGAGACCCCATCACTGTCTCTAAGCAAGAGCATGCCTGTGCCTGCATAAAATATCTCATCACAGGGAGGAGTTGTTACTTTTTTGGTAACTTCATTCTGCATATTCTTGATCACCAACTGGGGAATAATAACAAATATAAAATATTTTACCCCAAGTCTAAATAAATGCACAATACTGCATAAACCTCAACTATTAATTCAATTCAGCTTATAACAATTTTAATCTTATTCTATCCTATCATAAGTTCCATTAATTATTGAGCCTATGATATACAGTACTAATGTAACTTATTTGTACTCGCCTGGTGGCTTTTGTCCATAACGGCAAAGCGGTTCCTGGCCACCCACACGGCTGTTAACCCAGCAGATCTCTTGGAATCGGGGGAATCAGGGTTCTGGGGGTCGGAATCCTTCGGTATCTGCAACACCAACCCTCAACTGCTATATATATTTTGGCATATACAGTGTGAGAGAGCATGCATGGTAATGTCCCCATAGTTGTTTAATGTACATAGGAATAAAGTTGGAGAAGCATATGAGAAAATACTGGGAAATGAAGTTGGAATGAAATGAAAATTCCATCATACTAAGAAGACTTAGTATGGTGGAATTGAATAGTGTATATCTAATTTTATGAATACAGGTGATGTAGTTCTGATAAAATTACAAAAGATATATGTAGACTAGTTAGAAGGTGTGTGTTTGACTATAGACAAATGCTGTGTACAAAATAATGTGATGGTGGTGAAGAAAGAAATTCAGTATATCGGTAGGGGTAAAATAAGCTGTGCTAAAAGGGGCAGATCAGTTTAAGTGCCAATAGTCTAATTTTTTATTTTATTTTATTTATATATACAAAAGTACTGTACTTACATTCTTATAAAGCCCCACTCATATACAGCTATCTGAGCAAGTTCTTAATCTCGACTATCCCTTAAATATGACACGCCAAATTGTTTAACCACTAGGTACCCATTCATTACTGGGTGAACAGAGGCAAACAGTTAATTAAGAAATGGTGCCTAGTCAATCCACCTCGGCCAGGATACAAACCCATGCCAAATTGCTTGCGAAGCGCGGGCGAATGTTTTATCACTGTACCACAGGGACTGCTTGAAAGTAATGAAAGTAAAGTTTGTGCCAAAGTCAGAGAGATTGTCACACAAGGAATTAATTGGCTGGTGCAATGAAAGCCTTGAATAGAAAGAAGATATGAAGAGATATGGCTCGAGTGATGCATACAGATGGTGAACTTACAACGCAGTGGTTAGTGCAGTTGGCTAGCAACCGAATTGATTCAGAATTAGATTCTTTGGCATGAAAAGTGTTGGAAAATTTGTTTTCTTAAAATGTTAAAAGAGGCCAGGCAAGATGACAATTCCCTGAATGCTATCATTTACCCCAACTAGATTTAACACACTTTACACACATTTATGTTAGAAGTTAAACTAAATTGTGTTTTGTCAATAATGACTATACTGTATAGCAAATCAAATTGAGTTCATCCCATTGAAAGAAAAATGCCAGAAAATGAGAAGCCTTGACTATAACCAATGTTTTAACCAGGATGAATAAAGGTTTGTCGTTGTGTGTAATTTGTCTTCGCGTCCTTGCTGGCAGTGCCTCTCTCTGTCCAGCTCACCTGATACAAGTCATAGTTGCTGTTGTCCATGTTGTGCGTACGAGTGGTGAGGAGGACTGCATTTTCCGCTGGATTGAAGGACATGCTGTGTACTGGTGCCCGGGAACCTGCACGCAGCTGCATGACAGCAACATCCCTGTAAACATGTAATACTGATACTGGCTTTTCTGTAAATTGGTACATGTAGGAAATATTCCCACTCAAATCACATGTATTATGTATCACTCAATTTAAAATTAATAATTACTGTGGATGAAGCTCATTCAGAAGACTTTTAGAGTATGTATATGCAGTATATAACACAATAACGAATTCATATCGAAGAGAAACCCCAGGATGGGGAGATGCTTAATAAAATACATATACACCAGTTAACAATTTGTTACATGTATTATTCACACTGGACTACTAATTAACAGTAACTACACAGCACCTACTGGAGTGATATTCCCTCTTGGTCTATCCAATATCTAAAGCAATTCTATCTTTGCTGGGTATCCTAATTACATGTAATTAGAACATTGAGAATTAGGACAGTTTGTTAATTCTTCAGTTACCTAAAGTAATAAATTTGAATAAATTATGATTTATACATTTTTGCTTAACGGCAGTGCAAAGGGCAACATAAGGAAGCATGTCTGCCAATCACCAGCGAGGTTAGAGAGGACGCTCACATTACTCCATGAACAACTGTGCGTGCAAGCACTGAATACTTACACCACACACTAGTAAAATGAGAACGTTGTAAAGACAAAGCTTGAGATGTAATGTAAAGAATGTAAACACACTACAAGATATTCAAGCAGCGAGCACTCACTTGTTCTTTGTCAAGTCAAGGCGACGTAGAAAGCGCTCCTTCACATAATACAAGAGGTTTCCATGCAAGGCATAAGCAGGTCTCTCCCGCTCCAGCTGGAAATGTAAACAGTTTAATTCAGGGCTATTACCTATTTAATCATTCTAACTACTCTAAAATTAAAGGCTGAGGTAAGTGTGTGTTAAGAAAGCATGTCTTAAATTATATTCATGTGAACATTGACTACTCTACAGTAGATTAATAATTATAACAAAATGAAAATGGAAATTAACAAAAACCACACCAGAATTACCTAGTGGTCATAATATGGGAAAAAAAACTTTCTTCTCACCTTAAAAATGATCATGCCACTGTCGTGTCCAGCAGCAAACAGGTTGAGCGAGGGGTGTGCAGCCAGGACCCAGAATCTATCATGTTCTCGACGGAAGGTGTGGAGGCATATTCTCTTCGCCATGTCCCACACGCGAATGGACTTGTCCTCAGAGTTGGAAAGAATCAACTCTTGCCTTGGGTGGAACATGACGCAGGACACATTATTGTAGTGCCCCCGGCAGGTGTCCACTTCCCACGCCTGAAATAATTTACAAATTAGTCCCATATCCAATTATGCTACCAGTAATATCAAACCATTTATAAACACACGAGGACACTTGGACATCTGCCAAACTATGACAACCCTCAGCAATGGTATTTACACAGAACATTACATGTACAGTATGCTAATTAACATTCACTAACCTTGCAATCATTCATTCTCCAAAGTTTAACCTGGCGGTCATCTGAACCAGAGATGACTAGCGGCAGTGTGGGATGGAATGCAGCCCAGTTAACCCCCCGGTCATGACCCTCCAACACATGGCGTACTGTGGCATCCCCTGCACTAAACAGTTCTGGGTTGCGGGTGTGGTGGTCGTCACTTCCCCCAATACCACCCATACCAGGAGATACATTCTTCTTGCGAAGACCTGCCCATGACCATTTAAAATTTTAAATATATTATATACATCTAATGACCTTTAACATTTGCTGAAATTTAAATTAGAGATGGCAACTAATTTTAGCAACACGATAAACTAAATTACACAAGCATTTTTTTTATCCACAAATCCCACTTGGCTGAGTAAATTATAGCAAAGCAGAAGCAAATGAGAGAACAAAAAAGTTAATGCATGCAGAGATTTATTGATCACAGATTCATAATGTTATATTACACACATACTGTATGTCTAACATTCAATATAAGCCATTATAGCTACCCTATTTCAACATTCAAGGTATTCAAGTTCAGTTTTACTGTTAATTTATTATCCTTCAGTATTCTAAACATTAAAACACCACAAAGACAACAACAAATCATTGATAGAATACTATCCAACACTGTCAAGTACCAAGTACTGTACATCATGCTTTCAGTCTATGAAACTGTTTAACAAGTCCTCCAACCTTACAGTACTTTGGAATTTTATTAAGAAATAAAGTACTAAGATTCGTAATAGCTCAAATGGTGAATTAAGTTGGAATAAACCCCCCTTGGCACTAACCATACTAATAGAGGCTTTACTGCATAGGTTACTTACACTCATAATTATTAACAAGTACATTTTCTCCACACACAAAACATCTGCACAAATACATTGGATAGCTCAAATGGTGAATTAATATTCCCTGCCGCCTTGGATATGACAACATTCTAAAATGACTAAAGATCTAGGAAGACGGCCAAATAGGAAACGGGTAACTTCAAGTTAGGCCGACACGGCCCCCCTAGTCCTATTATAAATGCTCTACTACAACTTTCTTGTTCAACTTTAGCATACTGATGTCCAGTGATCAAGTCAGAACTGGCATGAATCAGGGTATTCCAACTGTCTTGGTAAAACAAAGCATTATAATGGGTCAGAGATGGATATTGACACTGATTTCTGCCCAGTGCTCTGAATATCAAAGTGAAGACATTCAACCAATCGGAGCCATCGTACAGACAGCATGCACACATCTAGAACTATTCAAACAGTGATCAAATATTCTTCACCAGCCACTTCTCATTTGTTGGGAAAGTCCATTTGCAATCACAGCATCTTTCCACAATCTTGTCTCAAATTTTCATGAATTACCTCTAACTTTAATATATTACTGCAATATTTCTATCATACTCTATATACAGTACTGCAACCTTTGGGGGCAAGGGGCATGGCAGTCTCTGCGGTATGAGGAGCCAAGGGGCCTTCCAAAGATGGGGAGTGGAGGGAGGGCCTTACAGTGTGGTGGAAGGGTTAGGGGTGAGCTAAGGGGTCTTACGTTGTGGAGGAAGGTGGTCCAATGGCTATGTAGTGCATTGGAAGGGTAGAGAGGGGATGGACCAAGGGGCCTTGCAGTGTGGGGAAATGGAAGGGATCCAAGGGCCTTATGGCATGGTGGAATGGAGGCCAAAGGGTACTGCAATAAGTATAACCAAAGAAGTCAACCATGAATAGAGAAAGGAAGACCTTGTACTTTCCTCACAGCAGTGTTTACACGAGTAACTGGGACAAGTCAGCGACAATAATACTTAACAGTAATAATTCTAACAAACACGTCATGTACATATCAAGCCACACAAGTAATAGTTTAACAGACCAACATTATTTTGACACTAATTACTATACAAAATACATACTGTATTTAAATCACAAGTGATTTAAATTTTTTGGAAAAGGCAACATGCTACACACAATAACTTATGCACTAGCCACAGAACTTGTAAAATGCTCAAGCAGGACAAACAAAACCAAATACTAGCTTAGCTAAATAACTCAAGGTGTAAGGTCTGCATGCACCACAACAGCCAAGTGTAAAATCCAAATCATATGAAGGGGGAAGAAACAAAACGTGAAAAGAATAAGCAAAGCTGTTCACGAGTCTCAATTGTTTCAAGAACTCGAGTAAATGAAAAAAAAAGGGGGAGGGGAATAATATAACGTGGCATTCACATAATGAAAAATTATTTGCTGCGACAAACATGAAAGAATGATAAACCTTAAATTTTGTGGATATGCTCTTGCCTTCATAATCATCCCGATACTGCAACAGCATATAGAGCTTCCTCTCGCAATGCCCAAATCCTTGAGCTTGTCTAGATATATCCTTTAGGACATAGGAAGTCTACATAATTGTAAAGGTCCAAGAGTATGGCACACAGTCATCCATCCATTTACTGTCCAAACCCATTGTAGATTGGCTTTGGTCAGGAACTGATTGAGTACTCAAAATGCCCAGTGCCCCCTGTTTGATCAAGTATTGTACACACAAACAGTAACTTCTCTCTCTCTCTCATTCCATACTACCAAAATTGCAACACCTTGGAATCTTAGCCAAGACAAGTGTGACAATTTCCATCTCCTTATTCCTTGCCAAAATAACCTGACGTTTTCTTCTGCATTTTGATTACCTTTTGTAAGCAAGTGGTAAATACTTTTAAAATTTAGCAAACTACAAAGTATGCAGAATTAATCTAGTCGTTTTGTCTTTTGTAACGAAGTGCAAGAATGATCATAATGCTGTGGATCAGTCATCGTACAATCCCACTTTGTAATGCAATATGGATACTGCCGTTTATAGTGGTCAATCTTCACATTCGCTATCATCATCAAAGTTCTGATAGTTAAGAGATGTAGCAAAACTAACCTGATGGCCAAATTTATATAGGATGGTTAAGGCGCATTTATAGAGCACACCACTGCTATGCCTTCAATAAATATTAAACAAGAATGTTATTACTTTTCATACTAAAATCTTTTCAAAAATGTGAAATGCCTAGACAATGGACATGCACTGAATGTACTGAAGTAGGAACACAAAAAATTAAACTACACATCTTCAAAGCAGAATTGTCACTCAAGATACCTGAATAGCGAGGGTAACAAGGCCTGCAAGACGTTATAAAGCAGCAGCAGCAGAAGCAGCAGCACTACTCACGCTGGTACCCAGGAGTGGTTTTGCTAGCTTGGGTCAGGGGCACAAGTTGCCCGTAACCCCCCACCACCACTCTTGCTCTTGCTCCAGTTAATATTGGCTGGTTAATTCTTATCACCAATGTGCAGAATTTATTAAGAAATTTACAGACTAACATGTCACATTATAGTGTGCTGAATATCACACAGTCATTCTCTGTTACAAGTTTTGGTTGAGACTACTACAAATTTTTTTTTTTTACGATTGCCAGTCTTGCTGTCAGGATTCTACTTTACAATAACTAAATAAAATCAAAGTGCAATGCATATAATTTTACTAATTGTAAATGCTAAAGGTCACATATGCAATGAATGTTTAGTGGAGGAGGAGAAAGAGTTAAAAGGACGTTAGCGGTGAATTTATGACTTTACAAGAATGACATCAAGGCAAGCAGAAAGGCTACAGTTTACTGTGGGATGACAACTGAATTTCTTTGATGGAGGAGGAGTACCTTCAGAGGAAGGTACAACAGGGTAGGCAACAGAGGAAGGAAATGTGAGTGTCAGTAAAGAGGGTAAGGGGACAACACGAGGGGAATAGTACAGAGGGGAAGGAAGAAACAAAAGAAAGGGAGGAAGGGGGAAGGGGATAATATAGGAAAAGGCAAGATGACAAAAGGAGATGGAGGAGGGATTGGTCAGTCTGTTTATTCATAATACAGCACTAAATAATGCAACGGTGAATAATGTTATTTCTGACATGCTTGCATCACAATTATTTAATGTATTAAGAATGTTACTTTCCAAATACATTATACCACACAAACTTTCTACATTCTACCTATAATACAATCACCTGTAAAGCAAAAACCCACAAATGTTACAAACTACAGTACACAAAAATATCTAGATACGTTTCCCCATTACTAAACATGTACAGTACTATACGTCCAACCTTTTCTGCAAGTGAAGGCTGTGAAGGAAAGAAAAGCTCACCCTCGACATACGTCAACTTGTCAATACACAAACTTGTGTGTTGACATTAACTAACTGTCAATGCACAACAATAGTTCCAAATTGTGTTGCAAAAATGTAATGGCGAGGTGCTATAAATCAACACTGCCACCCTACCCCTAATCATGTGTAAACACACACACACACACACACACACAATGCAATAAACCTTCTCTACATCAGTGTTTCTATATTCATCCTTCACAGGTGACTTAAAAAGCATATACTGACTAACTACTATACCTTTTAATTTCCCTCACAGACTGGTGTCCAAACAACATTCCCACTACTAAGAAATTTTGTATCGCTGTCAAATATTATCTTCCCTTCCCGACAACTACTGTACATAACCTAACATACTTTTTTTATTCCAAGATCAACTCTATGAAGGATTTGGCCAATAATAGTGTAATATTGAATTGAATTTTGTCTTAAATTTACTGTTCGCAATACCTTAATACCTTAAGTTGACTGGCTACTAGCAACCTATTCTGAAATGATAGTACATACAGTACAGTACACTGTACAGTACTCACAGTAACTATCTGGGCGACAGTACCAGTATGTAGTGATGAACCATTAAAACATTAACTTTCTTGTACTTTTTAAATTAAATTAAGAGTCCAGATAAACTAAAAACAGTCCTAGATATCTAGGAGAGGTTAGGTTCTATATGTTCCAGGAACCCCCTCCCCCCCATTTGGCCACATTTAATACAAAGTGTCAACTTTTTGGTGGTTCATCACCACATATTGGTACTTTTGATCAAATTGTTACTACAAGTATAGCACTGCTCTGCCATTTTATGTAGATGGGCTGGCTACTTTAGCGTAATTACATTTTTGCTTCAATATTAGAAAGAGGAACACTTGAGAACACTGCTAAGCAAAACAAAGAACAAATGATTCTAAGAACGAGGCCAAGACGTCACTGCAAATACATCTGAAAACTAGCAGGAAAAACAAAGATTAATGGATTTTCTACATGCACAACAACTTTGATTGTACTGTACCTACAAATGTATATGCAGTACACAAAGTACTGTTATATATATATGTATATTATAAACCGAGCGAGACAAACTTGGACGCCAGCACAAAAGGGAACACTGATGACTAGCAGACTGTGACAACTGGTACAGTTACAATTACTTTCATTCTGTTATCACTTGCACATTGGTAATCTATTAATTCAATGAAAGATAGCAACATTAATAAACACTTCCATAATTTCAATACACAAAAAACATTTAAACTGCAAATTTATCACTTCAGTGCCAATAAATGTTAAACTTTCCTCTATTGCCAAGATTGAAATACGAGTTCCTGGGCCAAGAATCTCCCCTAAAAAGCACACACACACCAATTCTACAGTATCTAATATTAATTATAGTAACCCTAAAATATTCATGCCAAGACCTACATACAGAGAAACCAGTGTCAAAAAAGCCAGATGGACACTACAACAACAATGCCCAAGAATACTACTCCTTACCAAAGCTGTTAGTACAAACATTCAACAAATTTATTATAAAAGACCAAGGTTCTTTTAAATTTTAAACAAGAGTAACAAGAAATACTTCCAGGTTAATGTAGGTTGGTCATATAAACAATAACAAGAGCTCTGCAAACATTTTGAAGCAATTGTGTGCCATTGCTAACCGCTGTATAGCACATTATAATACAGTATTACATACAAAATCTCTTAGTTAACTTGGGAACATTGATACAAAGGTCTGTAGACACTTCTTCAGTACTGCGTAATTGAGTTTTTGCTTAAAACTAGTTACTGTATATGGCAAGAGACCACAAAGTAGCGCACTTACTACATGGCCTTTCGTTACCGTACACGAGGATATTCTCTCAGCAAGTCATTATTATTCAGAATTGGAACAAATCAAATGAAACTCCCAACTAACTTATTCTCTCCCCCTTGCGAGTTGCTAGTTTCACACTAGCAATATAAACACTTAATACTTATTTACAACAATAACAAAACATTAAACCATTTGTGTAAATGTTAATATAACTGTGTGCCATTTAATACTGCATATTAGTGTTAATCCTGATATAGTGTTTGTGATTAGTCTTGCATTAGTGTTAATAGAAACATTTGCAATAAGTTTAATCCCAAATTATGGTACAGTATATATTGTGCACCAATGGCCACAGCACTGAATAAAGCCTCACCAAAGCCTCTCCAGACATGCAATTGCTTCAAATGATCTAGACCAATTAATATCTAGGCTACATGCACAGTGCAATTTAGAATTAATGTTTTATAATGTGACAAGAACTTTATTAATCTTTGTCAATTGACCCAAAAAATGAGTTAAAGCATGGAAACTGGGACCAAAACGTAGAAAGAGCATGACTGTATATTTCAAATTCCATGGGTACCAGCTCGAGCAATGCATACCTCCTGGTTTGCCAGGAATACCTGAGATATCCCACACTCGAACTGTAGAATCCAACGAAGCCGACACAATTAAATCTTGAGTTGGATGGAAGCGAGCGCACATAACATAATGGTTGTGTCCAGTCAGGATGGACACGCATGAACGACTCTGCCAGTTCCAAATACGTATTGTCTGGTCATCTGAGGCAGACAGAATCCATGGATACTCCTGTGGGGGGTGATGAAAAAAAAAATTTTTTTACATGCACATTTATTGTCTTGTACAACTAGACAATTTCAAGATGGTCTAACCTTGAGTACATCATTCATGGTAGTGTGCAATTTACTTGTTACAAATGTACAGCAAGACAAGTCATTCTCCAAAATGAACCACACGATGGCACACTTGGCTAGGTTCTGTTCCCATGGTGGAAATATGTATAGTCAGAATAGGTCAGCATTTGACACCAACAGTTTTCAAGAAGCAAAATAACTCCAGTTTTAAACTGTCATCTCAGGTTTCAAGCTTAGCTAAGAGCAAATCCTTTTTCAAAAATTATAAACTGCTTTAAATGTATATGGGTACATATTTTATAGCTAACATTTTGCATAAATTTAACTGTTTATAAAAGAACCTATGATAATTTGGAATTTTTGTATTTAACAATGTTGTATAGATTTAATCTATACAACAACAACAACAAAAATCATTACAATTTGACTATGCTTCAGCCATGATATTGTAACTTGTCATCTGCAAAGCATTTAATGTATATAAAGTCTTGGGATCATGAATATGTTCAGTTTTCCTAAAAGAATTGTACAAAACATTACACAGTTTGGCTCTGCATGGCTTCTCTAGGAACACTTCTCCAATAGAACAAAATCTACTGTAAGGTATATTTAAACTAGCCTCTTAAAGAGATTTTAATGAAATTTCCTTTATATATATATAGAGTACATATTTTTATGTATTTAACACACTGCAATAACCCATTCATTCTCAAAAACCCTCAACTCATGACTAGAAATTTAATTTCCAACCTATTTGTCATTCTACCTTACTATATCAGCAACATTTCTGAACTTTATTAACATGTGCATCATGATGCAGCTAAATGAGATTAAAGTTCCCTGGATCAACAATGCCACGTTTAACAAAAAATTAGAGCATTACTAACCTGATGAAACTCGGTAGTACGGATGTAGTCCAGATGTCCAAGTAGTGTGAAGAGACATCTTCGCAGCTTGTAGTTCCATACCTACCAGTTAACATGGGGGTTTATCACGGTTCCAGAAGTAGAGCACTGCACTTGGATAACACAGATACTGTGCAGTATCCCACTTATTTACTATAAAATCTTAAGAAAAATCGAGTGTAATTTTATATTTTATAACCATATAATTCTCACACATGCTCAATAGTCAATGATGACAGTGTTAGTCAGAAAACACACTGTACAATAAAGTAGCAACAATCAAAACCTCGTATGCATATTACAGTACATGTACACTACTTACATTACTGGAGCACAAACATTATAGAAATTAAAAATGTATGTAAATTTAAAGCTCTTTACAGGTATCTTTCTGCTCTGCTGAAAAAGGTATGGAACCAAGAGGTATTTACAATATGCTATGCTAAAATACTCTGAGCAACAGAGCTTAGTGAGACCATTAACACTTAATTTAGGTACTGAAACAAGGCAGCACAAAAGCGAATGCGATTAGGACAATAATCTGGCTATCTCATGTGGATTTTGGTTTTTAATAAATTTTGTCTCAATGGCATCAACTTCTTGCGAGATTAGGCAAAGATGGGCTGACCTTGATCTTGTAGTCGTCACCACCAGACACAAAGAGAGGCTGCTGCTGGTGGAAGCAAACAGCACGGACAGGTCCTTCATGTTCATCAAACTTATCCACAAGTGTGCACATACGATAGTCCCATAACTGGATGATGCCACTGTGCAAGCTGTTGGTAAACACGGATGAAATCACCAAGTTAATATACAGAACTTAAACCATAAATCTTTTAAAACATGGCACTTTATTCATGGGAAAACTAAAGTATTTATGAAATTAAAATTTAATAAATTTTAATAGGCCAAATGAGGCCTATGCCTGACCAGCATTTTCACTTTCAACCAGTCACAGCCCTTACAGGAAAAAATAATTGGTACAGATTACTAAGTCACCTGAAAAGCAATATGATCAAGCAGTTAATGGACTTCTATCTCTGTCAACCTTACAGATATACACATAGAATACACACTGAATGGGCTTAATCTTCCACCAGTCTTAAGTTCAAAATCTACCTCATCAGAATAATACCAAAAAATTAATGGATTTACAAGGAATACAACCTAAGCTTAAGCGCTGTTGAGGAAATTCCTTATACTGTATTACTCAACACAAACTCCCGAAGCTCAGCTTACGTATGTGGGCCAGACAGCAAAAAGTAGGATCTTGTATATCAAGGCTATATGTATGTCTACAAGGACACCCACTTAGCTCAATGACACACCCACTAGTTTTCGGGACAAAAAGCCTTGACCATATTATTCAAGATCAAAAGCACTGCACTGTTCTTTTAATAACATTTACCAATGTTATTAAAGAATGCCTGATGGTAAAAATGAGAAGTAACTACACCATTGGCAAGGACACTGTTCTTGGCTCACAACATGATCCTCCAGTCTCCACACCCTCCCTCCCCTCTCCTCTTACCCCTTCCTCCCTTCCCCTCAGTGTGCCATGTATACGAGAACACTGACCAGTCACGAGGCATTTACAGCCTTGGCTAGTTGCGGGAGAATTTGGTGGAGGCAAGTTTGGAATAGTGGGCTGCCTACACAGTTTAGCTAATTACAGTCATAGAATGGTAACTAAATTTTGATACATTTTTTAAAGAAATTACTACATGATGTTAAATACTGAATTATAAAATGAAAATAATTGTCATGGGGCCCCTACTGGCACCATGCCAATTGGCACTTTTCTTCTTCCAATCTCGACCTGACCATGTCGGAAACATATCCCACAGGAATTTGTGTACTAAGTTGGTGGCCTGGAGCGTAGACCAAGATATTCTAATTTAGATATACTGTACTAGAAGGGGTACCCCAGTGGTGGCCAGGATAGTCTCATGCCTTGCCCCCATATTCCTCTGCCTCTTCTTTCCACCTCACTCTCCCCTCGCCCCCCCCCCTCAATCTTCCCCTTTCCTTTTTCCTGGCCCTCTCTTTATCATCTCTCCTTCCCTCCTATCACTGTACTCTCCCTTCCACCCATTTCCCCATCTGGCCTCCAACCTCAGACACACATATTTCCATTTATATATATAGAAGAGGTATCTTGCCTGCACCTAGGTCCCCCCCCCCACCGCACTGCTGTTTCCACCTCTTCATCTATACTCTTCCTTTCTCCCCATTACTTCCTTGTCCCCCCCCCCCTTTCTCCTCTTACCACCTTCAAAAAATTGTTTATGAAGCACTGAAAATCTATGGAATATACACCAAATATTTCACACTTGCCAATGAAAATCCCATTCTTTATTAGTACCTAAAACAGGCTGAACCCAACCAGCCCTTGTCCATCCCATACCCCATGCCATTTCCCCCAGCAGTGTTAGGTGAGGTTGCTGCCGAGGCTGATATAAAGTAGGTGTAGATTAACTTAGATCAACTTAGGACAATGAGATGGAAGACAAGAACCTGCACATTCACTGTTGGACTCTGTACTGTTGAGCGAGAAGCAAAAGTGAAAGCGTAATGGCAGAAAAAAAAGGGAAGGGAAACCTGCAAAACTAACAAAGGTTTGTAGAGCTTAAGATACAATACCGTGATGAAGGCACATTCATTTTCTGTCAGTATGTGTGTGCGCACATGTGTGTCCCCCTGTGTGTTTTCAACACACACGGGGGAAAGGGAGAAAACAGAAAAAGGGAGGTGGCAGGTGTGGGGGGGGGGAAATTAGCAAGAGAAGGAATATAGTAAAAGAAGGTTATAATGCAAACAAAACCATCCACACTGCTACACAAGACCAGGTGCACAGTGCTCCTCGTGAATTGGCACAGTGTACACATTTTCACATCTTACATACCACTTCCACCCAGTTTTGTTCCTTAGCAACGTATCCCATGCTATGTCCACACACACTACTTCCTCACACTCACCAAGTTTGCCATCTCCTTTCCAGGCTTCCACAAATACAACAGAATACCCTCACCAGCCTACCATAATCTGTTCAACCTGAGAAGACCCTATCTTAAGGTTATCTTGAGATGATTTCGGGGCTTTAGTGTCCCCGCGGCCCGGTCCTCGACCAGGCCTCCACCTCCAGGAAGCAGCCCGTGACAGCTAACACCCAGGTACCTATTTTACTGCTAGGTAACAGGGGCATAGGGTGAAAGAAACTCTGCCCATTGTTTCTCGCCGGCGCCCGGGATCGAACCCGGGACCACAGGAGCACAAGTCCAGTGTGCTGTCCGCTCGGCCGACCGGCTCCCTAGCTGTTACTTCCCTCCACTCACACTATTATGTGGCTTAACCCTCTCTATATATATTCTTCCTAATTGTTCTCTAGTACAGTACTTCAATATGGAATGCTTATCAAACCTTGGTCAGTATTTAGGAGGGGACAGACAGGAAGGCTCAAGTCTTTCTACAATACTATTTTGTTTCCCAGAAGGTAGAAGATCTCTACAATAATGTTAAGCACCTGCTTAGCCAGGTGCTACATGACCTTGTGTCATGGTCAGGTTTCATGACTACTGCTTTCATTGATCGATGCAAAGTATTGTCTTGACCATCAAAACTATGGAATTCATTTTCTTCAGCCCATCAGTTTACAAAATATTTCAAAATAAACATAAAAAAATGAAATTACAGGTGAGAAAGTTAAACAAAAAATCAAACTAATTCTCTAATCCAGCAGCACGTGGATTAAATTGAACACGGTTCATCTTTATCTTCACATTTCTCACATCCCAGAGACAGTAAATCAGCATAGGTTAAATATCCTAAAGATACTCTAAAATCGAAATGATACTCTGCCATTCATGCAACCGTATCACTACTTCATTAACAGAATCGAACAATACATAGTTCCACAAATAAAATGAAAGTGATAAGCCTCAATCATCCAATGAACGCAAAACACACTAACCCATTTTTTGTTTCGTTTAAACCCGGTGAAGCTGGCCAGTGAACGCGGCTCGCGCAAGACAAGACTTCGAGCGTTGTTAAAGATTCAGCTACTCTGAACAAGTTCCAAGTAGCACGGGCTATGGTGAGCCCGTAGGGCACTTAACCTGCTACAGGAGCGGGGCAAGTAGCACGGGCTATAGTTAGCCTCGTCTCTGTGTGTGACGTCATGCGTATTACAGCACTTTTTCTAACAATTGTATCATTATCCAGGAAATGGCTTCCCCGTGATTGCAGCACCTAATCACTAAATTCAATAACCTGGCCACGCTTGAGGAGCAGAGCACGCCCCTCGCATGATAACTCAGGCTTATGTTAACATATAAAAAGGCCATATTCTTAGGAGCCATATCAATCCTTCCTTTGTGCAAGAAAACACTAGAAAATAGTTTATTAGTCTTGGATAAAACCGCTCTAAGATATCTATTATGTTTCAGGATATCTACCAAGGAGAGACCCGATATAAAGACGATATTCACAGAAGTAAAGCCCTCTAGAAGCAACACCAATACATAATTCACTATACAACACGGCTAGGAGCACTGAGGCGGGAACACAAAGGAACACAATGTTGCTACACAACAGTGCTGGCACAGCTGAAAATGGTACCAGGTGCGCAAAAACCACTGAGCGAGTGCATGGAGGGTGGAGACAAGGGGAGGGAAGGAGCCAGCCAGCCAGCTAGCGAGTGAAAGGTCAAGTCGAATAAGGTCAAGACGCTAACGGTGAATGACGACACAGGAAATGACCAATCGTAAAAAATTATATAATATATACAGTACGGTACTGTGTACAAGACAACATACATTCACTCTCGCTTGCCTCATACGTCACCCTATTGTATAAAAGATATATTTATACACACATTTATATATATTGTGTATATTTACACACACAAGTACTGTACATGTACAAACTCACAAGTACACATTTATGTAGTAAACGTCATTTTGTATGACCACTTACACGAGACCAGTCCTCGAGTATGCAACACAAGGAAATTTGAAAAGGTAGTGTAACGAGACATGTGCAAGACATTCGAGGGACGGAGTATTAAGGTAGATAGCTGGACCTATCTACCTATCTAGGTAGATAACGTCGCTAGGAGAACACGCACCGTAAAATACTTACGGGGATTGACAGGGTGGAAAAAAAAATATTCGCAATGAATACTAATAAAACAAGAGGTCTTGAGAAACAGACGAGCTATTGATATTTTTTTTGAAGACTCGTAGAAAAATGGAACTAAACTAGCAGATAGAAGAAGCCGATTCCATTCATTATTTTGAAAGTAGACGATAGAAATGTGAAATCATTGCATTAGACAACCGGCAGCTGGAAATGAAGGTCCAGGAGCTGAAGCTCAATCCTGCAAGTACAAATAGGCGAGTGAGCGCATGCGCAAGAACTATTTAGCAAAAGGATATGCAAGAAAACTTTGGATTTTGGTATTTTGGAATTCCGACAGCGGACGCCTAAGGAAAATGGCGCGCAAATATAAAATGTAAAAAGCGTGAAAATTATCTTGGAAAAAAACCCGGAGATCCTAAAAATATAGTTTTTAAATCATTCCGAGACCAGTGAAAGTTCAAATATTAACAACGGGTCGAGTTGTGGGAAAATGGCTGACTGGTGTGGTGATTTTTTTTGTACAATATATTCCAGCATTAGTATCAACCTAACAATAATAGATACTTACACAAGCCTCTACATGTGGTTGGCTACACGCAAAGTCCCCGAGAATGGTGAAATATCGGCTTACCTTTCC